GTTGTTTTATTTGATTTACTTTTATTATTGCTGGGCTGCCATAGAAGTTGAGGGACAGACAGATAGGGGGATCCCCCATCTCCCACACTGTTGAAGTATAATCATTTGGCGAGCCAATTTTAAGCATAAAAAGAAAGGAAAATTGCTCTGTGTCGGACATTTATGTGCTAGATTTTATGGCAATACTGTTTCGGCTAAAACAATAAGACCGCCACATACATATATATCCTGTCCTGCTAAAGGACGAGCTGAATCGGAATCTGATGCTCATTGTATGCGAGTGAAATGGTCGCATAATCTAATAATATTTTATGTGGATAGCATAAAAAGCACAGCCACACAGTTACACAGCTCAGTGGCAGTTCTGGCCACTTGAGAGTCCGTTGAACCTGGGACTCGCTTTCCATGCTTTCTTTTTTTTGGTACTTACTCGGATGTCAAAGGGACTCGCATATCCCGCATCCATTGACCAACAAAGACAGAGAAATCCGAGCCAATTTATTGAAGTTTTTTTCGCCATTGGCCGAAAAAGCAAGAAACCAAGAAAGAAAGGGCCATTACAAACAGAAAAGGAACATCCCAGATCCAGAGCAATGAGAATTTTATTATGATGCCTTTAAACACACAAACAGGACCCGAGTACCCTCCGAAAACTCAAACCCAAAAACCGGCATTAACGGCGCAATTAACATTCAGATTGCGCATACGCCGTGTATGCTGCACTATTTATTTGTATTTTTATTTTCGTATTCATTTGCATTTTCATTAGTTTATTATCCGAAACATTGTGGAACTTTTAACGCGCTCCAGGCATAAACGCCAAATGAGCTGTGAATAATGACTGGGTTGGGTTGGATGCAGATCCAGAGTGTGGGAGGGAGGAGATCCACTGAATACCATATACGAGTAGTTCTATACAATCCCCACTCCCTATTTGAGTATCTATTAACGTTTTTACGACTGTGGAATTAAAGGGACAAATTACTCGACGCATTAAGCGGAAATCGTTTGCGAATAATATCACTTCCACTCTGAAATTTTCCATTTCCAAACTTACATGACAAATGCGATGTAGAGGGGAGTGTGCGGATAAAATGATAAGTTAGTCAATCAGTTGATTATAACAATCTAAATATAACTCTGGCAAGACAAAAGCTTTAGAGAAAGATTTGTGAAATGAATAAATAAAACGCTAAATGGCTCTGGCCAGAGAGTAAAAATAAACGCGTCGGGCAGCGTTGAGAACCCAGAAAAGCCAAGCCAACAAAAATATATATGGAATATATATCAAATACGATTTACCCCCCTTCGAGCCCCGCCCTCCATTCATCACATGTTTGTACATCAAATGTACATACATACATATGTACATATATAATCTATATAGGAATGTATACTATATGGTGGGTATATGCCTGGCTGACTGTCTGTCTGTTGCTGACACATACCTTGGCATGTAAGTGTGTGCGTGGGCGTTTTGATTGCCATGTGTTCCCGTGTGAGTGTGTGTGGTATCGTAGGTGTGTGTGTGTGATCCAAAATTCCATCAAATCGCGACATGCCCCAAAACTAGGTGCCAGCTGTGACGTCACAATTGTGACAGAACGGCAAGCCCGCAGGGAAATTATAGCCATTGATTAGCTGACTGCCTGGCTGGCTGGCGGCTGTTCAAGCCAACTAACAACCACTCGCCGCCAATGACGATGATAATCACGATGATGAGGATAATGATGACGGCAGTAATGACGTGTCAAGCACGTTGGCTGCCACACACCCCGATAGCCCCCCGCCAGAAAACTTAAATTGCCTAATGGGCCAATTTCGCGGGCATTTCATCTGCTAGTTTTCACAGTGGGAAACTCTCTGCTGATTATGGGGCACTGGCTGGGAAAATTATTAAAAAACTAATAAATGTTAAATTAAAGAATACCTAATAAACCTAATAGATAAACTAAAAAAGAATTTAAGATGAATATCGTGGGGTCTTTATGAATTATTAAGTCAATATTAGGCTTAATATGAGATGATTCTTTATTTGGTATACTGCTTGATGATAAAGTTATGATAAATTTTAATAGAATTGAAATTTTTTATATAGTACAGTGAACAGCAGTCCAAGTAAGGGAAGAACCTCATGTCTTAGTTACTTACTTACTTTTAAAATATATAATCAAATAAACTAAACAAACTATATGTACATTCAGAAATAAACTATCCTTCTGCAATACGTTTATAGAAAATTATTTTTTTATCTGGACTAAAGTTATTTTATCTTGAGAATCGGATAAGAATTGGGGAAGATATCGCCATGCCCGTGGACCCTATAGGGCAAAACCCCATTTTCAAGGGGTTCCATCAAGAAAAAGGACAAAAAATAGAAAAAATATTTTGTCTCAGGGTTTTGATGCAGAATGGTGGAGAATCGATCCAGAAATCATTTTAGGTACTCCGCTTGAGAATCGGATAAAAATTAGGGAAGATATCGCCAGGGCCGTGGACCCTATAGGGCAAAACCCCTTTTTAAAGGGGTTCCATAAAAAAAAAGGACAAAATATCGAAAAAATATTTTGTCTCAGGGGTTTGATGCAGAATGGTGGAGAATCGATCCAGAAATCGTTTAAGGTACTACGCTTGAGAATCGGATAAGAATTGGGGAAGATATCGCCATGCCCGTGGACCCTATAGGGCAAAACCCCTTTTTAAAGGGGTTCAATCAAGAAAAAGGACAAAAAATCGAAAAAATATTTTGTCTCAGGGTTTTGATGCAGAATGGTGGAGAATCGATCCAGAAATCGTTTAAGGTACTCCGCTTGAGAATCGGATAAAAATTGGGGAAGATATCGCCAGGGCCGTGGACCCTATAGGGCAAAACCCCTTTTTAAAGGGGTTCCATCAAGAAAAAGGACAAAAAATCGAAAAAATATTTTGTCTCAGAGTTTTGATGCAGAATGGTGGAGAATCGATCCAGAAATCGTTTAAGATACTCCGCTTGAGAATCGGATAAGAATTGGGGAAGATATCGCCATGCCCCTGGACCCTATAGGGCAAAACCCCATTTTCAAGGGGTTCCATCAAGAAAAAGACAAAAAATCGAAAAAATATTTTGTCTCAGGGGTTTGATGCAGAATGGTGGAGAATCTATCCAGAAATCGTTTAAGGTACTCCGCTTGAGAATCGGGTGAGAATTGGGGAAGATATAGCCATCACAGTGGACCCTATAGGGCAAAACCCCATTTTCAAGGGGTTCCATCAAGAAAAAAGGACAAAAAATCGAAAAAATATTTTGTCTCAGGGTTTTGATGCAGAATGGTGGAGAATCGATCCAGAAATCATTTAAAGTACTCCGCTTGAGAATCGGATAAGAATTGGGGAAGATATCGCCATGCCCGTGGACCCTATAGGGCAAAACCCCATTTTCAAGGGGTTCCATCAAAAAAAAAGGACAAAAAATCGAAAAAATATTTTGTCTCAGGGTTTTGATGCAGAATGGTGGAGAATCTATCCAGAAATCGTTAAAGGTACTCCGCTTGAGAATCGGATAAGAATTAGGGAAGATATCGCCATGCCCGTGGACCCTATAGTACAAAACCCCATTTTCAAGGGGTTCCATAAAAAAAAAGGACAAAAAATCGAAAAAATATTTTGTCTCAGGGTTTTGATGCAGAATGGTGGAGAATCTATCCAGAAATCGTTAAAGGTACTCCGCTTGAGAATCGGATAAGAATTAGGGAAGATATCGCCATGCCCCTGGACCCTATAGGGCAAAACCCCATTTTCAAGGGGTTCCATCAAGAAAAAGACAAAAAATCGAAAAAATATTTTGTCTCAGGGGTTTGATGCAGAATGGTGGAGAATCTATCCAGAAATCGTTTAAGGTACTCCGCTTGAGAATCGGATAAGAATTGGGGAAGATATCGCCATGCCCGTGGACCCTATAGGGCAAAACCCCATTTTCAAGGGGTTCCATCAAAAAAAAAGGACAAAAAATCGAAAAAATATTTTGTCTCAGGGTTTTGATGCAGAATGGTGGAGAATCTATCCAGAAATCGTTAAAGGTACTCCGCTTGAGAATCGGATAAGAATTAGGGAAGATATCGCCATGCCCGTGGACCCTATAGTACAAAACCCCATTTTCAAGGGGTTCCATCAAGAAAAAGGACAAAAAATCGAAAAAGAGAATCTGGACTATAAAGTTATAGTTATGTTCTGGAATTATTTGATGTACATTTTATACTGGTGTACTCTCAATTATATAATCAAATAAACTAAATAAATTCTTCAAAGATACTCTGTTAGAAAATATACAATCCTTCTAGTAAAATGGTTAAAATTTAACTATTAAGTCTTTAATCTAATCTAATCTAATAATAATCTTTATTTTGGCAAATAATCTGGTATAAATATTTAAAGTTTCTATTCCTCGTAAGCCCTTTGGCAAGTTAAAAATTTAAAGTCAAAAAGTAAAGGTTCATATTTTATTTGTCATGTTGTATATGCTTGTTTAAGGATTTGTTCAAGGATTTTAGGCTGTTTCAGACAGGATACAATGTCCACTTGAAGATGGCAAAAAATATGAGCTGTCATGGGGTCAGAAATAAAACAGATTTAGGGAGAGCCAGAGTAAGATAACAATTTTAAACAATTTTGTTTTCGACACTATCACACACTCGTGTAGCCACACCATGGATATGAATTGATTCCCATATCCCACAGGCACGTCCACAGCCAAAGCGACGTGCTAAGCAGGACAGGATGGGTTATCGATGGGCTAGGATGTGGGCAGGAGATGTGGTCCAATCGATGGGATTTGCACTTGCATACGATTGCGATTGCGAATTCGAATGCGATTGGCAAATGCAAATGAAAATGCCATATAGGAGCATAAAAATGCCAAAGCCCATAAATTATGCGTTCGAGTCGAGTTCTGCTCTGCCGTTGATTGCCGGCCATTATGATGGAAATTACAATTTGTCACAGTTTGTTATTTATTTTGTATTTTGCAGGCACCATGAATATTGGCATCGCAGCACAGAAATGGGATAAATTGTCGCCGCGAGAGTTTTTGCAGCTGCAGGAGTTGGCCTCATGTAAGTGAAAAATCCAGTAGTTTTATAATCAAAAAGCCAATTTTAGTTATGAATATCTGATACATTGTTTAGTGTACACCGATTTAATTGATTGACACAGCAAGTCGGTGAATAAATTGTTGAAATCACAAAGAATATTACATTCTATTCCTGGAACTGGGAGAGCAATCACAGCAGTTGCCAGTTAGATGTGAGCCACTTTTTTGCTTAGCTGGCACTAGAAGATACCCCATGGCAACGCATCTTAAAGATGGATTCAGTGGCAACCTGCTCTGTCGTACACATCTGGCCCAAATCCCTTGGCCCACACACCTCCACCTCCTCCAGAGTTATGTCTGATGCTGTTTGCCTTCTTTTGCTGCAACTGCAGAGCTGTTTGACATGGCAAAGTAGTTTACCTTTCGCTGAGCACTGCACTTCACTTCGCCGAGCATCCCCATCCTTGGGGGTCCTGGGAATTACTCGAAACGGCAAATGGGAATGTTGAGCTTATAGATTATGGGATCTTACAGCGAGCACACATAGCGCTTGCGAAATGAACTTGAACTACATACTTTTAAGGATGCCAGCAAGCAGATGGAGGTTGGTGGTCCATCAAGGACCTCGCATACTTCAAACTCAACAAAGGATTCTAAATCTTTGTTACAACACTGAACGCTCAAGCAGTCTTTATGACTATTTCTGGAGCTTAAAAGTATCCAGTGGTATCCCTATTAAAACAAAGCCCCTAATCAGAGGGCCCGTATTAGCGTGTCCAGTCCTTGCGGGCGTGTCAAGGATATGTGGGTGTGGTGGCAGGTGCTTATTAGAGTGCGGTTAAACTGTTATCCGTCTGCGGTGGTCCGGCTACAAACGAAGCCCATCAAAAGTGTCGGCGGCAGCTGAAGCACTAAAGAATGGAGCATTCAAGTGCAGACACTCTGCACAATTGCGGTTGTGCACACACCCACACTCATTAGGTTAATAAAGCCCCGGGTTGCAACATTTCGGGCCAGAATATACTATGTACGCGTGGACCCCGGGGGAGTTTGTTTCAGGCATTTGTTGCGGCATGTCAACCATCGCATCCGCACCCTTAGCCGGCAGCCGCTTACACAACCAGCTTGTTTTCCATTAGTTAATTATCCCCACTGCCGTTCAGTTGGCACGCGCTGCACTTTGTGCCTCTGACCCCGACCTGAGTCACCTGAGACTCGGTTGGATAGAGCCACCACCCACCTGTCCTGCCCAGCTGGCCCACTTAAGATGTCGATTCCCCTGGCGCCAGCGAAGCGATTGACGTGTGTCCTGCGTCGGATGTTCTGTATTCTGTGTCCCGTGTCCGGAACTAGCCGGAACTTTGCATAATCCTTGGCTTACACTACTCACCTCTGTTCTCTGTCTTTACAGATTCCACACGCAAGCTGCAGGATGTGCTGCAGGAGTTCTGCTCTCCGAGCGCCACAGCTCCGCCAAAGTGCATCCCGGATGGGGTAAGTGTTGCCGAAAGCATCGCTCTGCTTTACCAATTAATTGAAAGCGGCTAAGAAGACCCTCATCTTGAGGCAAGAGTCAAGGACTCGGTTCGGTTCGGTTTACACTTTAATCCTTGGCGCAGTGACTTGGGAAGTCCGATGAAAGGCGATGCGAAGACACAGGAATATACATCTACACTGGGAGAAGAGTAACATAATCCCTACAAAATGCATTACAATCTCAATCCACAAAGTTAAATAAACTTTTCTCTGAGTATAATCGGCCTGACAAGAAAAAGGACCTTGATTTGGGAGCAATCCAGGCACAGGTAGCAATAGATTGAAAGTAAATCTTCTTATACGTACAATAAATCACAGACTTTTCAAGTTTACGCCTGAATACCAAATTGAAATTGAATCCCCACAGGGAGACTTGAGCTGGTCCTGGTCCGAGAGTCCTCCGCGCCAATGCCAATGCCTTTTTATCCAACCACCTGAATGAATAACCCGACAATGTTATACATTTTAAATTAATTTGAAACTGCCTGCAACTCCATCAATTTGCTCTTTGAATTTCAAATGGGAGGCTGGAGGAGGAGACCCTCTACTGGCATGACCTTAGTTCCTCTCAGTTTGGAAAGTAATTTTAGGAATTATCATTGCTTTTTCCAAGGTAACGATTTGTGGAGAGGATAATTAAAACTCTGTCACTCCTCCATAGAGTTGACATTTATTTTCGTGCGACACATGTTGGATTTAGGGCTTCTAGTCAAGCGAAGCAATGGAATTTACTTTGATATCGAACACTGTATTGCCGGTGGTGGTGGTCCTGTACGACTGTCTAGTCCTTCGGTGAACTGTAGATTTACTTTCCACATTTCAGCACTCAGCTGGGTTTTTGTCTTTCAGTCCCCGCTCACCGCTGGGGAATTTCCCGAACGGAATGTAATTCTTGTAAATATTTCATTCAATGAAATGAATTGAGATGCCACGGAGGATGTGCGCTGCCAGGCAACATTTTTTCTAGAAAAGGTGCCATAGGGAGCACTTCCTCCTGCTAGCTGCTGTCCTTCAAAATAGTTAAACGCGTAACCTGACTTAAAGACCATCTCTTTTAATTAGTTTGATTAAGAGACATTGCTTGAGAGAGTTGTTGCTGAGTTTCAGATAAAAGTTAAGTTGACTTTTTCTTTCAAAACTTAGACTTCAATTGTTTTTAATTACTCTAGTTCTTGGATAGTTCTGATTCATGCTGGCAAGCCTTTTAACCCTAATTATTGACTTGGAACTCGGGGGCTTGACATTGTATCCCACAATTGGTCACCAGCCGACTGTAAAAAGTACAACCCATAGGCAGTATCCTGTTAATGTGCTGCAGACCCCATATGGGAATAATTTATGCCGCAAACTGTGCACTGCATAATGAATGCAAAGCGCTGATTATGTTGGCCGAAAGGCGGCGAGGCAGTGTGAAGATGAGTGCCAAATGGCCCGGACGCAACATGTCTCGTGATTAGAGAGTGTAATGAATATCACGCATACGCACCGTATACCAAGGCCTCCCGAAATGTGCTTGAATATTTATTCATTAAGCCACGCGCTCACGCATAGCGACACATAACGCATCCATGGGAATACCAGCGGAGATTGAAGCCCAGATATGTACAATATAGGGAATGGCTTTTGGAGAAAGCAATGGTTGGGGGAGAAAGGAGAAAGTGATGGGAAGCTGTTCGCACGCGTATCTCTCTCGCTTCTTGTTGGCTAAATAAATTTTGCCAACGCAATTCGCGCCATTATTATAGTGCTTATGTGTGTGTCTCTGGGTGTCTGTGTGTGTGTGTGACTGGGCTGTAATTTATGTCCTTGTCTGTATGTGTGCCTGTGCCTGTGTTTGTGTTTGTATTGGTGTGGGTGTTTTACAATATGCCGTTGTAGCTCCACTTAGGCGTGGCGCTGCTATTTGCGCTCGATTGCTTCAAGCAGCTTCCTCCTGCCACTCGTGCCCCACGATGGTGTGGCACTGCTGCTGGTTGTAGTGTAGTCTAAACTTCCATTTGCCTGTATTCGGTTTCATTATGGCCAAAAGGATCTACTAGCACCAGGCAAACAACAGCCACTAAGTGGTTGGATACACATTGAAAAAAGAGTCAAAGCATAATCATATACATAGGTTTTCCATAATTGATGCTCATTCAAGCAAGAAAGTAGGGAGTAGATATATTCTTATTATATTTAAAGACAAGACAACCCACTTAATTCTTAGATAGACCCCTTATTCTCCCTGTGTAAGCCCAAAAAACTTCGTTGGGGCTTTTAATGTTTCTAGCTCTTGGTCCTGCTGCCGTCGTATACTTTGTTTTATGTTTCGAAATTTAAAACGATGCACGAGAATAGCATGGAAGGGGATGGCTCTGATAATGAAGGCAGATATTTCCAACAGCATGGATATATATTCATATACATTATCTTGGAGCTCCTCTTCGCTGGCTGTTGCGCAATTAATCGCAAGAAGGTACCCGGTTTGGATGTCTATGTTGCGTTATCCCTGATTAGCTGGCTTTTTGAACCTGATGCTGGCAACTGGAAACTGGAATCTGAAACTGAAACTGGCAACTGTAAAATCCGTAAAGCTCCGCGAACTGCCGCCGGGCCTAACGTCTATCAATGTCAGTCATCCTGCCTCCTGTCTGCTGTCTACTGTCTGCGTCTATCAATGCCGAATGTCCTTGTCGCATTGTTGATTCAAGCATCGCGCCGCAGCTGTCAATGTATTGGCATTACACGTGGTGCTGTTGACATGTAATTTGGCCCGATCCCCATTCAGCCAGGTTCCGTTCTGCATTCATAAAAACTTGCCCCATCCCCGGGCAGTTCCAGACTCCGGCCGGATGGCAAATAAAGAAGCGCCGCGAGATCCTTGAGGGACATTCCCCGGCACGTACGCTCTCGACTGGAGAACCTTTTTCGGGGGCAGAGCCCGGATTTATGTGTGAGTTCTGTGCACTGGACAAATGTAAATAAAATGGCTGAAAATGGCCGGGAATTATGTATTCCATGGGCGTGTGTAAATGCGAAAATTTTAAATGAAAAGGGCGGGTGTTGAAAAATCCCAGCTAAGCACTGAGTCACTTGCCGAGTGAGATTTACGGAATCAGGTGCAGGTGCTATCCCTCCGACTGATATCTGACCTTCAATTATGCAACAAATTGTATAGCCGTCCAGCACACACATTATTTGTCGGAGGAGCCACAAGATAAATGTTCCTGTCGTCATCAATGAGCTTCATTTGCCGCACCCAGAGAGCTGAATCTTTATCTGAATCTGTCACAATATGGCCACCAATTATTAATCATACGCTCCGTTGTCAACTGTAATAAAGTCGATGACGTCCCAGACTATAGCCTGGCTCTGGCTGGATGTTGCGTAAGGGAGAGAAGAGAGGTGGATGAGCAATGGGAGGCTTTCATTTAAGTCAACTGCAAAATGCTGCTTCGCCCTAACAACGTCAACATATTATGTTGCATAAGCAGCTTTCCACCACCAACCATACGAAGGACAACAAACCCGATACCGCTCGTAAAACTTGGCCAAAACGGGCAGAAAGCAGGATGGCAGGACGACAGGACGACAGGACCCCAGAATGGTAGGATGGTAGAAGAAGTTGACAAGCCGAGCAAAAAGAACTATGCATCGCCAAGTGTTTTCCACACACATTTTAGCTTGTCACTTGCGAATGCCCTGCGGCAGATTTATTACATACTTGTTATGTATCTGTATGCTATATTTGTGTGAGTGTGTGGGGGTTAAAGGATAACTTCAACATACAAAGGATATCCTTCGCCGTAAACGAACCGAGCCGTGTCCTCTGTGATGGCTTATTAAAAACTGACAAAACAAAAGCTGTATATAAATCACTATCGGAGTTTTTTTTTTAAAACTCTTTTCCTTTTGCAGGACATTGATTTCGATGGCTTCCGACGCTTCCTGGACGCCTTCCTCGACTGCGAGGCACCGCTGGATCTGGCCAAGCATTTGTTTGTGTCCTTCCTCAAGCCGAATGTCACCCAGGCCCAGCTGCATGGCCGGGCACTTAATCAAATGGCCGCCATCAGCAGTACGGCAGCCTGTGCGCCGGTCACGTCCCACACCAAGGGTAAGATCTCGTCCTTGTCCCATCCTTCCCTCCTTCCGGCCCTCCTCCTCCATTTTTTCTCCAACACCCCATGCCCCTTATGTGCATGTGAGTAATTGCGGAACATTTCTTTTGGTTGCCCCACCAACACATCCTGCGCATCCTTCGCACCCAACCGTCGTAATTAGGCTCCATACCGAACATCAATAGCATCGCCGAGCTGATGCCGCAGTGCAGCGGCGCGGGAGGCCCAGGCGGTGGTGGCATCGGCGGTGGAGGGGGCGTGGCTGGGGGCGAGAGCCACGCACCGGCCCGCAGCAGCTTTGTGGACAAAATCCATGGCATCACCGATAAATTACACCACTCACTGGGCGGACATCTTTCCCACGATCCCAGCAAGACTGGTAAGCAGAATGCAGCCAAGGTCTTTAAATTTTGTCTTTATTTAAAAATATAAATGCATGGTTAATAATGAGATTTTTATTTTATTTTGTATCCATTTCTAATGGTGAATACATCGAAATCGTTTATATCCATCGGATTTTATATTTTTTTTCTAATTTTATTCAAAAATGTTTTGTGGAATGCCATGAGAATAAAAGACCATACGATCCCCTGTCTATAGGCTATATCTTTTCCAAAATATATCCGACTCTTAAGAAAATACCTTCAATATTTTGTAAATGTATTTTTTTATAAATCTACTTTAAAACTTGAAAAAAAATAGGATTAAACTAAATTATTAGTTTGAACTAATGCTAAAGACCATATATTTGTTGATTTTTATCCGATTCCGACACAGATTGCCTTAAAAGTTTTTAGATAAATCCTATCTATCTATCCTTTAAACATAGTGGAGAATTTTGTAGAATATAGAAGGTTATATCTTTGCCAATATCCATTCGATTGAAGAAAAACACCTTCAATGATTAATAGTTGGACTAACTCTTGATTCGCATCAGAAACTTTATATTTGTTTAATTTTTTATCAACTTTTCTGGTGGGAGGGTAATGGAGATTGGAAAAAGGACCCCTACTGAAACCTTGCTGATCAAATGCTAAACATTTGTTTCTTTATTGCCTCATCCTTTTAACAGGCAGTGTCCATCCAATGCTCACCGTAACTCCAAGTCCTTTGGCCAGCGGACCCAGCATGTTCCAGGCCAATAATCCGGCCCGTCGCTCCGTGGACTCCAGTCCCTCGCACTCGCAGACCAATCACTCGCAAATGTCAAGGAACTCCTCCAAGAAGAGCAACAATTCGGTTAATTGCAAAATTGATGGTGAGTATTAATAAGGTTGCCCGAGGTGGTCCTCGTCCTTAACATGCAAAGCCCGAGTGCCAGGCACTCGTTCGCTTCCGTGACTTCAAATTACAATGTGCATGCGACTTCCGTCCAATTAGGAGGTTCATTGTTCAATCAGAAAAGGATATGTGGACCCAGTCAGGCAATCGGGCCAAAAGCCACTGATTGGTTGGTTAATATTCATCAATTTGAGCCAAAAGCAATTAAACATCCCATGTTTGTTGTTTTCCAATTAAAAGGCCATTTTGTAATTGACTTTGAGTTTATTTGAAAGGAGCTTTAATTACATAAGCCATCGATTCTTAAAATAAGTATTAGCAGTTTGTTTATCTAACTAACTCGGGGTAGTTTAAGGACATCGACGACACCCATTGAACGGTAGGTGAGTGGCGCTTAGCTGGCTTAGTTGGTAAGCTGAAAATTCCCCCTGTTTTGGCTTCTGCTGAGTTAACTTTTCGTGAACTTGGTAATTAGTGGGGGGGCAAGTACTAAAAGCAAATATCAGCACGAAGGCAAAATGAGGCAGATTCGCTAATTCACGAGTTCATAAATAATGAAGCCGAGAGTCCGGATTCCGGACCCACGCTGCACTGCCGGAAGTAAGCTTGACTTCCCGTTTATTCCTTTTCTTCTTTTCTCCCACTACCACCCCACACTTTCTTTCTTTCTAATTCTAAAAAAACATTCAGAAAAAAAAAGAAATAACTAAGCGACTCTTGTCTCAGAGATCGTGTCGTAAATCAACGCCCAATTAGAAACATTTTTGCATTTCACGAACTCGCAACTCGTAAAATGCGAAGCCGGCGTTAAATTAACATTTATTGCAGCACACAGGAGGGAAGGGAGGGAGGAGAGCATTGAAAACAAAACCCACACTCACACACCCGCACACCATCACACACTCGGGGCGGCTCACTTGCGGCCTGAAAGTATGCAGCAGAACTTATTTTTTTGCCTTTTTCGTCCTTGTTTTGCTTCCTTTTCTTTCGCTCTTTCTTTCATTCATTTCGCTTCGTTTGAAATGTGTACGAGAATGATTAATGAACGTAAATTTCATTTTTTTTTCGTCCTTTTTTTTTTCTCCTTTGTCGCTGGGCAGTTTCACGCATTTTTGCCGGCAATTGGTAGGCATTGTCCTGAAAGTTCACCGGGTAAAAGGCAAAGGACGAGGCCCAGTCAGGAATTTCCTATTAGCATTATATATTAAGTACAACATGGGCTTTCAGGGGGCCTGGATGTGGGTGTGTGTGTGTCTTCGTCCTGAGAGCCTTAAGCGCTAATTGGATTAGTTTTGTTTTGCTTTTTGTCTTCCACCCCGGCTGGATGCGGTAGTGTTTGGGCGAATTAAATTTATTAGTTCGACTGTAGGCTGGCAAATAAGTTGACATTGATCCTGCCTACACTCCATCCAGGGATCCAGCTTCTCTTTGGCTCCGAACGCCTAATTTAGTTATTAATAAAAAGGCCAAATATTAGCATTGGTATGTATTTTTTTAATTTATTGCCAACAAACGTTTCGACACTGGGCAAACATAATTAGCTAAAATGCACAGACACATCATCTCGACTGCCATCTCTTTGGTGTGTCCTGACTAAGTGTGTCCTAGCTGTTACTGACTGTGTGTGTGTGTGTGGGTGTGTGTTTGTCTAGCCAAGATGGAAATTTGTGAGCCCCTCTGTATTAACATATAAATTACAACATCAACAGCGAGAGCGCTCTCGCACACACAAATGGCCTGTCAAAATAATAAAAGATGGAAATCATTCATACTCACATACAAACAAAGCCTCTTTTGAGGTCCTTTCTTCCGCCACTGCCAGCACCACACCACCTCTACTCCCCCTGTCACTCCATCAAAAATTTCTAAGCAATTTGCTGCTCCATTCAGAGCTCTTTGATTTCAATTCGTTATGTAATTACAAAGGATTTGACTTCACGGCTCGTTGGGGAGAATCACTAAGGGAATATTGCAATAAAATCAAATACAGAAAAAGGTGAATAAAAATCATAATTAGTACGAAACAAAGTTAAACGAGCTAAATTATTTGGAGCATAAGATGAGAAAAGTTTTGGGCCCCAAGGAAGTTTCTGGCCAGGGCTTTACACATTAAACTGAAAAAGTGCACAACTCGGAAAAGCAAATTAAAGCCGAATTCTCGCACAACAACTCCTCTGGCCTTGCCGAGTTCATTAAGTGCCGTAACGAAATGCCTGACCCTCGAGTCCTGGCCCGTCCTGGTCTGCCCTGTCCTGGTCAAATGTTGGCAATTAACATTGAGCATAATGGGATCGAGCTGTCAGCTGTCGATTGCATTAAGAATAATGAGGGGCCGCCACTCAGTCACTCGGAGTGCAAAGTACTTAATGAATGCACATACACTTGAGAAGTCCGTGCACTCGATGTCCTTTAATAGCAGGATATAGCTTTAACAGGACAGTGAGAGAATATATATTTAAAATAAATTTCAGTGCATCCGGTATCCCATTGGGTACTCAGTCATTCAATTTTTCTTTATTTGCAGCTGACATCAAGCTCTTGGCGCGAAAACTTTCCCATTTTGATCCACTGACACTTAAGGTCCCGCTCAAGGATGTCGTCTGCTATTTATCACTCCTGGAAGCTGGACGTCCCGAGGATAAGCTGGAATGTAAGATGCGCCCAGTTTGACCTTCGATCCAATTTACTCATTATTTATTCATTGGATTGCTTGCAGTCATGTTCCGGCTGTACGACACGGATAGCAACGGAGTCCTGGACACGGCCGAAATGGACGCGATTGTTAATCAGATGATGGCCGTGGCCGAGTACCTTGGCTGGGATGTCAGCGAGCTGCGTCCAGTAAGTCCCGATTAATCCGGTTTACATTAAAAACTCATTACCCAATTGCAACTGCCACTGCAATCAATGCAGTGCAAATCTTCTTACAGGACCCACATCCTCGCTCTATATATATATATGTTTGTGTAGTCCTTTTCGTTGGCTGCCTCTCTCTCCCTTTGTGTATCTTTTAGTTCGTTATTCAGTGGCGGTCACGAATCCGCACGAAACCCGTTCAGCCCTTCATTGAACCAATCCAATCCAATAAAACTTTTTCAATTACTTACCAACATTTTCAGCTGCAACACAACAAAAAGAAAACAAAACAATACAGCGAACAGGGAAAACACTTGAAATTAATTTCGCTTTATTGTTGGACATTCAACTTTGGCGATAGTCCCAGTTTAGCCGCGATGGGTTTCCATTTCAACCGCAAATTTGCGGAGCTGCCACAGCTACCACATCGCATAGGCGACTTAATAGTTTCCCACCAACACCAACAGCAACAGCAACGGCAGGACCAGAAAAAAAGGACAAGCTAAAAGCCTTTCCCACACTGACAGGCAGAAAAAATATATATATACGGAAGCAAAAAAAAAGCGAAGAACTGCGACCGCAAATAAAGTCAAAGCGCCACAAAACTCAATTAACAAAATACCCCTGGCTATGGCGAAATGATTCCAGCCACATTTCTCCCCCACCAGACCTTTGGGTAGAGGGTCCTGTTTCATTTCCAGGACGACTTTATGCCTGCCACTGCCGCCTGCCAGCGCATACTTTAAATTCAAAGCAGACACAGAAAATATTTTAATCAAAATATTTTTAGCCAGTTCCCTATGAAAGCCAAGCCAAGCCTTGGATCTCCGAGTCAAGTCAAGGCGGGCCAAGGAGTCAAGTTTGGGTCAGCCCCTGTGGCCCATTATCCTTTTTGCCTTCCGTTTGCGCCACAAAATAATCAAAGCACTTAATGAGTTGCATAATTCTGGCATTCATTTCCGGCAAGAATATGAAATTCCAAAAGAAATAAAGGACGAAAAATAAAAGGATTCGGAAGTTGAATAAATTTGAGAATGGAATTTATCCACACCCTTGAATATTACTCTTAAAATAGGGAATATAGAGCTAGTTTAAGATTTTTCTCAACTCTGGGTAACAAGTTTACTTTCATTCCAACAGAACTGAAGGGCATTACAAACAGGATGTTACCTTTCCGTTACGTTTCCATCCATCTAAGAATTACCCTTTTAAGGCCCCCACCACACCACCACAGCAGAGCCATCGTTTCCATTTCAAGCCCACCTAAAAACCCATGAATCACACTCACTGCAATCTGCAATCGCTTTTTCTACTTACTTACAGATACTGCAGGAGATGATGGTTGAAATTGACTATGATGCCGACGGCACAGTGTCCTTGGATGAGTGGCAGCGCGGAGGCATGACGACCATTCCCCTCTTGGTCCTGCTAGGTAGGTCCTCGGCTTAAAATCCTGCACAGAGCAAAGTCACATGTAAGAGGGTTTGCCGAGCCAAGGTAAACTAAGATGTGTTTTTTTTTCGCTGTGTACTCTGCCATCCCGAGCTAAATGCGCCTTTGCTGGGTGAATACCTTGATCTGTGACTGGTTGGCTGCTGCCGTAATAATCAAGTCATTTACCGAGGTGGCTTCTCCAGAAGAAGCCAGAGCAGCTGCAGGGGAAGAGGGTGTTTGAGTGGCAGCAAACATCCTTGCCACTCCCTTTATGCGCTTATGCAAAGTGACAACTCACCTGCAAGCACATCTTACCCTCTAACCTCCAACTTCCTACCTTTCGCCCAGGTGTCGACAGCACCACTCTCAAGGAGGACGGCATCCATGTGTGGCGCCTGAAGCACTTCAGCAAGCCGGCGTACTGCAACCTCTGCCTCAACATGCTGGTGGGTCTGGGCAAGAAGGGACTCTGCTGTGTGCGTGAGTATCTGGACGGGAGTGACAGGAAATGGACCATTTCGATGGTCTGGAATGGTCCATCAAGAGACCATGAAAATGTCACACATCCAGCTAGTTCTTTGGAATAATTAAAATATATTTTATTTCTTTCCTGCCCCACTGATAGTTTGCAAGTACACGGTCCACGAGCGGTGTGTGCAACATGCCCCTGCTTCCTGCATCACCACCTACGTAAAGTCGAAGAAGCCCAAGTGCGGAGGTGATTTGTTGCACCACTGGGTGGAGGGCAATTGCTATGGACGATGCTCCAAGTGTCGCAAAAGAATCAAGGCCTACCATGGCATTACAGGACTCACCTGTCGTTGGTGCCACATGATGGTAAGTAAACAGGTCGTATACTTAATATTAGAATCAGTATTAGAACTGTAAAATAGAATCAAATTAGTGAGAGTCACTCGACTGAAAAGGAATCCCTAACAAGAGTAAATCAGGATCGATTTCGCCTCAAGTTTCTAGGATTGTTTTAGAACAAAAATTCCAATTATTTGAGAAAACAAGGCAGCCCTTGGCCAAGCACTCGTTCTGCACTTTTTGTTCAAGTTTGTGTTGGCAGCTGTGATTTGCAGCAAAACAACAGTACCACCCACCACACCACCATTACCCCGGGCAGCACCGCCACCAAAAACACATCCCACCAGCGACAGGATAGTAGAAGCATTCCAGGACCGGGCCGTATCCGGGCCACACACATGAACTGGCAACTTCGTTATGGCTGGCAAATTGTCACGTCTCGAGCAAATTGCGCTGCTGCTTTTGCCGTTGCCGTTGCCGAAGCCGTCGGTGTTGCCGCTGCCATTGCCACTGCCATAGCCGTTGCATGCCACAAACTTTTGTGTCCTCTGTCTTTGACAAGTGCAGCAAAGATAATGCCGAATTTGTTGGTGCCAGGACGCCGGGACAAGCAGGATCGGGGGCAGGGACACTTTATATGCTGCTGCATCGGCAAATACTTTGTAAGCCTTTTGACAGTCAATAACTCTGACATCCTTGCCAGGATAAAATTGTATGCTTAAAGTTTAGTCCTTGTGGCTGTTCCTAGTTCTTGGCTCTAGGAACTCCTAAGAGAATCTTGCCACTCACCTATCGATTCCATTTAATTAAACCAAAAAGAAAAATTTTTTTTTTTTTGGTCATCTGACTCAATTTCCAAAGGTCGCAGCTGTTGTACGAAAAAAAATGCAAAAATGGAAGCCAGGGAGAAAAAACGCTTTCCCCGAAATTGGTATTTAAATGAAAATCCGCGCCAAATCTCATTTAGGCCAAAATTAAGCATTTTTTTGGTGTTGTCCCGGGCTGGGGGGCTGCGACCGGCGAGTAGTCGGCGCTAACAAACTTTTAATCGGATTCATTAAAGCGAAATGATCCCCGCTTCCCCACTCTCAGTCCTAGTCCCCAATCTTGGCCAGCAATGAAGTGGAAATTGAATTTAAACGCGAAAATTTCGATGAGGTTGGGTCCCATCCCAGCTCCACTAATTTGATTTTGTATCCATCTCCGGCAGCTCCACAACCGCTGCGCCTCCTCGGTGAAGAAGGAGTGCACCCTGGGCGAGTACGCCGAGCTGATTGTCCCGCCCACGGCCATCTGTCCGGCCGTATTGGATCGCCAGCGTTCCGTAAACCAGGCCCACAAGGTAAGAATCTCCACTACCACCGCTTTGCTTAGAATCCTCCTCGATTGGCCAACTAACCACCCCGTTCAAAATTTAATTTCCCAAAAACACAAAATTTATCTAAAACGCAATTGGAATGGCTGCTTGTTGTTGTAATCCGTAACACTGTAACAATTGTCACATTCGCTCGAATGGTAACCAGAAATCCCAAATGCATCATCACCAGGCCACCCACTTCCAAATCACGCCGCCGGACGAGCTGAGCTGCCCGCTGCTGGTGTTCGTCAATCCGAAGAGCGGCGGTCGCCAGGGGGACCGCATCCTGCGCAAGTTCCAGTACATGCTCAATCCCCGCCAGGTGTACGACCTCTCGAAGGGCGGTCCCAAGGAGGGTGTGTGTGTTTTTTGTTCTTTTGACTGATGGAGCTCTAGCTCGATGATTGATTTCCGCTCTCGTTGCCAGGACTGACGCTCTTCAAGGATCTGCCCCGCTTCAAGGTCATCTGTTGTGGCGGTGACGGCACCGTCGGCTGGGTTCTCGAAGCCATGGGTAAGTGACGAGAATTGCTTTATAATTCTCAATTTAAATCTTAATTTTCCATGCCTCCATGCTTCCTCTCTCTCTCCGGCAGACTCCATTGAACTGGCCACCCAGCCCGCCATCGGTGTGATTCCTTTGGGAACCGGGAACGATTTGGCCCGATGCCTCCGTTGGGGCGGCGGCTACGAGGGCGAGAACATACCCAAGCTGATGGAGAAGATCCGGAGGGCCTCCACCGTAATGCTGGACAGATGGAGCATCGAGGTAACCAACACCCCACCCATCGAAGACTTGAGACCCAAGGTGAGTTTGAAAAATCATTTCAAAAACAAATACAATCCCTGGACAGAAAACAAAATTAGTCTCCAATATCGAACCGACTGCCATATAAACCTATAACCATATCTCGTTAAAAGTAGGCGGTGGTGGGCGTGGTCAGGCGTGGCTAGGCGCTCTGCCATCTGGAAAATCCAATTATTGGCCACAAAGCGCTTACCACGCACTCCATCCGCTCCAATGTGGGGAACTCTGGTCCCAAAACGATTACACAAACTAATTTCAGTGGGCGGGAGGCGTGGTGCTGACACTGCCAACTAGCAATCCACAGTGTTGCTGGGGGGCAGTGGACAAAATATTTTGCCATTTGCCTGGCCGGGCATTGGGCCAGGGATTTGCTAAACGTGAGATTTCTGTTACTTCAGGTGACGCTGCACTCGAACATGCAGAAGGTGATTGAGCTGTCGCAAAGTGTTGTGGTCGACAAATCGCTGATGGAGCGGTTCGAGGAGATCCAGAGGCAGGGAAGGCAACACCAGCCACAGGCAACAGCCGCTTCCACCACATCGATTATGATGGCCACGGCGGAAACGGCGACAGAGTTCAGCAGCACAACCACAACCCGGACAACAACCACGAAGAGCATTTCGATGTCCACATTCGAGACGCAGTGCATGAAGAAGACCCTGAGAGCCACCTTGAGCAGCAGCAGCAGCAGCAACTCGAGCAGTGCCCACACCAACGGCAATGGCAACCAGCCAGCAAGCCAACAGCAATCGGAAACGGAGGCCGAGGCCGAGGCGGAGGCGGAAGCTGAAGCTGAAGTCCTGCAGCAACCAGAGTCCGTGGGCCGAAGGAGGACCGATGAAACGGAAAAGCAATCACTGGAGACGCTTCTATTGCAGCACAAGCAGCAACTGCAACAGCAACAGCAGCAACAGCAACAGCAACAAGGAGCCACCGCATCCGATACCGGAGAGGAAGCTGCTACAGCAACACCATCGGGGAATAATCAAAGCGATAATAATAGTCAGCGCAATAAGCAAAACAACATCCTTAAACAGCAAATTACATTGTCATTGGATTTGTCCGACCATGAGGATGGCGAGGACGAGTATCCGGAGCAGGAGCAACCGAGCAGTCCACAAACACCAATCACACCGACAACACCAGGACAGCATCAGGAGCAACAGCACCAGCCACATCTTCAATTTGAGGAGCAACAACAGCAGCAACAGAAGCCCATCAAAGTGCAATCGGACAAGGATTGCACTGTTCCGTACAACATTATAAACAATTATTTCTCAGTTGGTGTGGTAAGTACACAGAAAAATATTAAAAGTAATTTTCTTTATAAAATATATATGATTACATATTTGAACAACTTGGAAGCCAAGATAGACTAGTACAGCCCATTGAAAGAAACCTCCATTTAAAGTTTTTAATTTTTTTAGGCATTATGCCAGAAGGCATTTAGTTTCTCAGTCTGGATGAGCACTCCTCTGGTTTAATTGGAAGTAATTCCAAAGCATCACATGTCAAGCAATAATCCTTGTTATGCCAGTTTCATTCCCAATTCCTTTTCTATTCCTGGAGTGCTGAGCAGCGTCCTGGATAGACCAAGTCCCTGTCATCAGCAGGAGCAACTATGAGCACAGTTTTCATAATTAGTGCGGCCAAGCTGTCACGGCGTCTGACATGGGATTTGCATTTGACAGGCTCACTCGCCAATCTAAATGTGATTATCCAAGGGGATCGCGACTCAGAACAGGGGCCTTTGTCCTGAAGTGATTGGCAGAAAATGAAGCTTTGTTTAAATCGAAACTATGGAAAGGGAATTTGAAATTACTTATATAGAAATATTAATTGATTTTAAGCCGCACAAGAGTGCCAATTTATAAATTGTATTTAATAAACTGAATTAAATATTCTGGCCAATCGGAGAAAAGCCTGGGATTTTGGGGACTATTAGCCCCTTTGGCCAGGCCTTCCACCCTTTCAACCCCATGGACCCCCGATAGTCCTTAAATGCCAATAATATTAAGAGCAAATGTCCCTTTCGGCAATTTAGCCGGCCAGGAGTAGGCGGCTCTCGGCTGCTCAATAATTCATTTAAATCGACTTAATCATTTATTCAGCGTTTTTGGCCAGAAAGGCCAGGAGACCGCATATTTCCGGCTTACCGGAGTCGCAATCAAACCCAAAACGCCAGAGTGAAAGCCAGGGCCGGCTCTTTCACATGCAAATTTCCATGGAAGGCTGGTTCTTGGATGGATACATTCATAACCGAGCGGCAAAAATGAACTCAAACAATGGCGTTTCAATAAAGCAAAGTGGGGCGCCATGGGCGGAGCAGTAGGCGGGGGAGGAGTGGCAGTTGGGGGCAATAAAGAATCGAGCCAGGCAGCAAACACTTTTGCATATCCTCCAAGTCTGGCGATTAGTCAAAGAGCCTGGCACGTTGCAACACATTTCGCATGCAAAGTGGCCGATTGCCACTGAAGTCGAATGCCACACGCCCCAGGCACTCTTTCTCTCTCTAACACAAACACCGAGATCTGGCAGGTAAAGCTACCTGATACAGATACAGATACTATGCAGGTGCAAGTGCAACTGTAGATACAGATACTTTGCAAGTCGGCTGGGGAGTCGGGAATATGCAAACGAGGTGGCAAGAGTTAAGCACACAATCATCAGCTGCGCATTTGCATCATTGATGCAGCGATGTATTCGATTGCCAATTGCCAGGCAGGAGCAGGACCAAGAGCCGGAGCAAAAGCCAGGTGAAAAGCAGTCCAGGATCCAGGTGCAATTTGCACTGTTTGCCTGCACTTTTGCCCATTTCATTCAGGCAGCTTTCGTAATCAAATAGAATTCCCCAGCTGGAATCGCATAGGCCCCCAAAGATAGGCAATATTTTTGCAGACATTAGTAGCAGGATAATTCCTAGCCAGAGTCCTCCTGGCTCCGTATACCGAATAGCCGAGAACGTTTAATTTAATGACTGTGCCGGCTGTTGTCGACAGGGTCAGGCTTAAGCGAAACTTGTCTCATTATAATTTCCAGCAAGTGTTAAATTAGTAACTGCTCGAGGCGACGCCAAAATACCGCAAAGTCAAGAAAAAGTAACAGATTGTTCCCCAGGGACACCCACACACAGCCACACACGCACACACACACAGGCTGTACACAGAGGGCAATAAATAGGAAACACAAGGAAAAAGGATAAAAGTTTGCAAAGTTTCACATCAGAGGTGGCGGCTTCTGGGGCATGTGAGATATGAAAATGGCACGCAAGAAGCAAAAATCAGAGATACTCGGCCTCGGCCAGTAGTCCGTTTATCTGGCCAGGATTTAAGAGAGCCATAAAGAAATGCTAAGTGACAAATTTACAGCACTGGGGGGCTGGCCGACGAAACAAAATGAAATCAAATGAAGGCCAAATAAAAAGGAAATGTGCTCCAAATCGGTAGAACCACACAGAGAAATATATCTTTGAAAGGTTTTATTTGAAATTAGCTAGAAACTCAGCTTTTTATTCATATTATTGAATCACAAACACCTCACCACTTCAAACTAGATTAATTTAAAACCATTTACCTTTAAAAAAATGACCAATTCCTTGTAAAGATTGTTCTCTGTGCCTGGGAAGATGTCCTGTATTCCTGTTTTGGGCCATCATGTAAACACGCCCCTTGGGCGGTGATTTGGGTGTGGTTTTTGGGCTACATTGTTGTATATGTATGTGTGTGGGAGTTGGCCCTGCGTAAGGTCACACCATTTGTCAAGTGGCGGCTAAAGCCGAAATCCTTTTTGTGCAAACATTTTGCGCTCCTTTTGCGCCAACGAAATCAGCCTAATGCTGCCACTGCCACTGGCACAGCTCCCGAGCTCCCAATCTCCCCAGAGCCCAAACAATTGCACACCAGATCCCACAAAATCCGCACCAAAACCGAAATAAAATTGTGTGTCCTGGTGGTAGGATGGTGTGATGGTGTGATGGTGCGATGGTAGGTGGTGGGCGATGCGTGTTAGTTTATTTATGACTTGATGTGCGTCTGTTTAAACAGTAGGCGTCTACAGCAAACTGTCGGCAATGATGTTATTGCCAACGCTGGCTGGCTCTGGTTTGCTGCTCTTGCCGCTTTTGCTGCTGCTGGGATTTCACTTGTCGGACACATTTCATACGGAGGAGCTCGAGCTCTTTGTGCTCGGCCCATCATGAAATCCATTTAACACTTATGTACATGTGTCTGGTCGTCTATGAGGGGGAGGGCTGCGACTCAAGTGGCCAAAGTCGCACAGGAAGCTTTAGGGAAAAGTCAGGATGAGGTGGAGAGGTTTTGGTGGTGGGGGGAGAGGCTGTTTGGGGAGTACCCCCACTGGGTAATACAGCATGAAAAGTATTTCACGCTGACGCTTGGGTTTAACGTCAAACAATTGACGTTGAGCGGCAACTTGGGCGACGGTGATAAAAAGTGCCAGCTTCAAGTAGACTTGACAGTTCCTCCTTTTATCTCTAGAGCTATAGAGTTTTTCAAGCTAAAAAAATATATACCTATTTTTAAGTAAACTTATAACGACTTAAAATTATCCCTTTTGTACACTTTGCCACTTTTCATAATTATAAGACCCTTTTATAACTTGCCTCTGACTCTGCCATCACTGGGAAGTAGAGGCTGTTGTGGAGTTGATGTGTAATTGTCTGAACTTCGACTTTGACTTTCGTTTGAGTTTTATGTTCCAAGGCCAGAGATAGCTCAGCAGGATACGCATTTTATGGCTGCTCTTTTGTACCTGCGTTGCTCATACGCCCCGTGGCCCAAAGAGATTTGGCCTTATCTTAGGTAGCTATGGCAGAGTTCTCTGCCCCCACCGGCTATCCTGTTCTGGGTCTACAAATTATTTCATTACTGTTCCCACCTCTGGGCCAATCAAATTTTGAGCCAAACTTTTGGCCGCTGCTTTTAGCCAGCATCGGCAAACTTTGCCAAAATGCAAACAAGCTGTCAGCACACAGCCCACATCCCACATCCCACTGCCCAGAGCCAGGCCCCCTTTGGCTGACTAATGGGTATGGTGCGGTCGAGGCATGCTAATAAGCCGGGCTGTCACTAAATTAGTTTACCGCACGAGCCATGCATAAAGTCGGTGTGACATCGTTAGCGGAAAAGGGAAGCGGCCGTGGCTAATTAAAAAGTTTTTCGTCGATTTTTCGATTTTAAGCACAGGCAGGCGCTCGCTCATGTTGACAATTCAATTTGACGTCGAGGCTGTAATAAATCTTATTTGCCAAGCGAATGTTGTGCAACCAGCCAGGCAGCCAGCCATCCAGCCAGCGGGCCGTAATTGAAAAGCCCTTACAGCACCACGTGTCCTGCATCCTGTATCCGGGACGGTGTCCGGACAAAGGACTCTCGTATCTGTGTTAGCATAACAAATGCGCTTGCCTTGCAGCAGCTGGGGCAACGTGTCGTATGAGCAACGGACTGCAGTCGCTTTCGCAGTCACGCAACCAAATATCCGCATAAGGAATTAAGTTGCAGCCGCCAACTGTTCCGATAAGAGTCCTTCGCGCTCCCAGCATCCTTCCTTTTTTTTCCGCGGAACGAAGTTTTCCGCCACCTTTCGAGTGGCGGGAGACACTTTTCACCCGCAACACTCGGCACGTGAACTTTAAAGGGAAATATCTTTTCAGAGATTAAGTATCTCAGCACTTGCAACTACTGAATATTTAAGTGCGAGCTTCGAACTCTCAAAGTTCATTAAATTCAAGACGATTATTGCATCCACCTGCTTGGAGAAAGTTTGTTCTGTTAATACAATTTAGGCGTCTTGGCTTGGCTTACAAATTGGCAACAACATTAATTAGCATTGCTGCGGTTCCATTGCCATGGAAAGCCAGAAGATGTCAATCTAATTGAGATTTCTTGGTATTCCTGAATGGGTAAAAGTGTTAGCAGGAGTAGTCAAGTACAATCCGAACGTGACCCTGAATGCCGCGATTCGTAGCTGACCTTTTAGCCGCAAACTGATTGGCCTTGCCTGCTTCCACATCCATTTCCCCTTCCAGGATGCCGCCATCTGCGTCAAGTTTCACTTGGAGCGGGAGAAGAACCCGCACAAATTCAACAGTCGGATGAAGAACAAGCTCTGGTACTTTGAGTATGCAACGTCCGAGACCTTTGCCGCATCCTGCAAGAACCTCCACGAGAGCATCGAGATAGTGGTGAGTGCACTTGTAAAAATTCTTTAAGATACAAAGACGTACTTTTAAACAGACTGTGGGATTTATATTACTTTTTATATTATTAAGCCATTTTATATATATTTTGTATATGCCTTTTTTAGTACCCTTTTCTGTTAGTGTATTGATGGGAAATTGGGTGTAAAAGAGGAAGGTTTATGGCCGCATTGGTGATTTATTACCGGATGCAGAAATAAAAGTGCAGCTCAGCGTGTATAACGTTCATTCCCTGCTTTCAGTGCGATGGGGTTGCCCTGGACCTGGCCAACGGACCCCACCTGCAGGGAGTGGCCCTCCTCAACATCCCGTACACACACGGCGGCTCCAACCTGTGGGGCGAGCACCTGTCCCAGAAGCGAATCCGCAAGAGTGCCGGGCCCTTTGGCAAAAGCAAGAAGCTACGGGCCGGCGACAAGGAGTTTTCCGCCACTAGCTTTAATTCTGTGGACCTATCCGTGGCAATTCAGGGTAAGGAAATACTCTAATCTTTAACTATCCCAGATATCTTACTCACCCTTCAATTAAAGATATTGGAGATCGCCTAATCGAAGTAATTGGTCTGGAGAATTGCCTCCACATGGGCCAGGTTAGAACTGGCCTTCGAGCCTCCGGACGTCGCCTGGCCCAGTGCAGCGAGGTGATCATCAAGACCAAGAAGACGTTTCCCATGCAGATCGATGGAGAGCCCTGGATGCAAATGCCCTGCACGGTGAGCTAAAGAAATATCTGATTTTAAACATGATAATAAGTAAAGTCCCACAGATCAAGGTGACCCACAAGAACCAGGTGCCCATGCTAATGGCACCGCGCTCGGAGAAGGGTCGAGGATTCTTCAACCTGCTGTGCAGCTGATTCCGGCGCAGCGCATCGAGCGACTTCATGGGCCGTCCGCCCACGGAGTCCGCCGATGAGCTGGATGATGACTTTCGGATCGTCACTAGGAGCACCACCGTCCATAACATAGCCTAGCACCGATAGCTTTAGCCCTAGTCCACCCGCGCTTCACACACCCCCTAGTCTAAGTTCCCCCTCTGATGTGTATATGTCGAGTGAGTTACAGAGCTTTATAATTAGCGATAGATTAGCCAAATATACAACCAACCGATTCAAGCCCATTCCAAGAGGATCTGAGTGCTAAACTGTATATAGTCCCGAGGGGAATCCCCGGCAGTTAGTCAGTGTTATAATTGTTAACCGTGCAAAGGCTTTAGGTGTACATACAACATATAGCGTATAAAATTTACTCGAACCGCAGAATATTTTAAGAACACTTTAAGAAGCGATTAAATAGCTGAAAAAACTTGTCCAATAACGCAACTGAAATGAGACCAACCAAACAAACCAGAAAAAAACAAAACTAACAGCATTGTAGTGCGAATTTTAAGCATTAGGCTTAAGTAATTTATTCCGTCATCGGTTGTGGTGGGGGTTGCTGGAATCGAGGAAGGTATCGAAGGTACTGGGCCTAAATGAAACATATCACTGACCTCCGACTCGAGGAACTGAATCTCAGAGATGGCTTTCCGGATGAGCAGCACCCGCCACAGGATTACCAAGTTTACTTTAATTTTTTAGTTTTTACTGTACAATGTATATAGCGAATAAAAAAATGTAACTTGATATGCAAATGTCAACTAAATGGTGCAGCTTTAAATAAAATTTTATATATGAGTACATATATTGAGATGACATGAATCGGACGTTGAATAATACAATGAAAGTGTATATTTCGTATAATCATATATGTATTGCCAATTAGATCTTAATATTAAAATACTCTTAGATAAAACAGAATTCATTTTGAAATAAATACGAAAAGGGCCAAAGTTACCCACCAAATAACATTTTTAGCATGAATATGAACATTCCATAGAAACCTCGAAGAATTCTATTATTTTTCAATATTTTTAATCACTTGTAAATTGAAAGGATAAACAGCAGGAAAAAGTTCAAATGGCACACACTATATGAATGTTAAAAAGAGAATACATCACATACATTAAACTTAAGATTTCCTGGATGTTTGATGGTAATAAATAATGGAGATTATTAGAAAACTTATATATAATTTATCTAATAATATTCAAAGTCATAGAACATATACGAAGCAAAGAGTAAATGTCAGAAAAAATATATATTCATTAGTCTCATTATTAAGAATTAGTTCAGAGAATAATCGCTAGCCTCCAGCTTCGATTTAGAATTCATTGGCAAACAAAAGGTATCCAAATTTTGTAGAACTTCGAAGATTATCCTACTTGATAGGTAGCAAAGTGCATCCACTTGGAGTCTTAACTGCAAATCCAAGCTAATATACATAAAAATCGATTTAATTTTGCAAATAAACATTTTCAATGCGATTCCTTGCGCCCACAGCTCTAGGATACCCCCAGGCGGAGGATCTAGGTTGGTGACGAGGGACCGCGAATGCCACACAGTAGCCAGTTAACATTAATTATAAATGAAACACGTAAACTTAGTAAAATGCAAAGCAAAGTGGCCCAGCTATGGCCAGGCTTGTGTACAGTACAAGTAAGGATAAGCGTATACCTGTCTATAGTACTCGTATATTAAAACTTTAAAATAATCGAAAAGTAACTACTAGTCGATATTACCACTAACATTAACGAAGAGAGCGAGTGGAACTTGCAAACTATATACTTTTAGTCATAATATATTTAATGCATAAGTAGATGAATATACATATTCCGTTAATGGGATTATCCTTTGTGTAAAAGTTCCATTTTTAGTAGCTTTATTTATGCATTTTGTTAATCCTTTAGATTTAACACGGAACTATGGATTCCAATATTGAACAGTAGGATTACTATAAGTAAAGTAAAGCCCTCTAAAAATGTTCCCGTATTTTATGTACAATTTGGGTCTTCACTTGTGCCAAGTACGAAACGAGATGCGGCCGGAAAGCCCTCAAATATATTGTAGAATATTCAATGTCGAGGTCAAACCACTATAAGGTAACAAGTTAAATGTAAATTATTATCCACACATGTATACTCCTATAACCAGTGTTTGAAACAACCACCAATAAAATCCAATTACGTGTATTTTGTGGTCAGGCCATAGGCATTCTGTAGATGCAATTGAACCTTGGGACCATATAGACTTATAAAGGTGAGCACTTGGTTTTTACTGGGTTCTCCAAACTGTTTCAGAACCTCGGCTGTTCGGCACGGATGGAGAGCCATGAAAGGTCTGAACAGAACGGGGTGATCCATTTGGGTGAGTATTTGATAGAGGTCTTCTGAATTTGTTTCCGACATAAACAGTCGCCATACGGCATCCAAGTCTAACAGGCTGCCATCTAAAAGAAAGATTCTTTAAGAATATACTAATACCAATGCTAAGGAGTCATACCTGATCGGTGAGCTTGCAGGAAAAGCATGGGAACTTGATAGGAAACACTGTAGACCACATGATACTCCACATTAATAAGGTCCTTTTGGCTCTTAATTTTCTGACTTATCGTAAGAAATGTGTTGGGAGGGTTGGAGTCCTGAAGAAAAGTGATAATTTATTGGCATAATCTATCAAGCTTCCCAATAATTGACTTACCTTTTCCTGAAGTATCCAAGCATCTCCCAACTCCTGCGAAATGTCATATAACTGCTTAGCTTGACTTAGAAACTCATTCCAGCTCAAGTCACCCATATTTTAACTGAAATAACAAGGTTTTTGTTAGCGCTTTTAAAGAGTATAATTTTTCTACATTTTATAAAAGTATCTTAATAAAAACAACTTATTTTTGCGTTGGTAACAAGCCTCAAACATATATTTTTGAAATGTCTGTGTCCTAGAGCAAAATTGAAACGCCAAAGTTTAAAGCTCTTCAACACGAAATACTTAAGCTAAGCATAAATCTCCAGAGAACAAATTTTAATTGCAATAAATAATGCCACATTAGGCGCTGCGCTGATCCCCATCCAAAGCGGCCACTTGAACGTTTTCGTTGCGCCGGATCTGGACCACTGTTACCGTGGAGGCCTTGTCGTCAAATTTGCACGTTACTGTCACCTCCCGCAGCTGGAAGGTAAATATTTGGGATCCATATTTGGTGCGCAAGTAGACGGACCGTGGATCCGCCTCTAGGATATCCACAATGCACTGCTTCTCCACCTGCAGCTCCTTCAGCTGAGCTTCAGCGTGCTCGTTAAAGGACACGCTCAACCTATGACTGGCCACCACCCAGTTTGGAACGCGGACAGCGCTAGGCGGTGGCACCATTGCATCCGCTCCGATACACCCACTGCCTGTGTAGCCAGCGGCGCCGTACAACTCCAAGTCGGATTCTTCACCGTCAGGTTCTTGCCTCGAATCGTAAAAGTCCATACTGTTCTCGTGAGGGCCCACTGAGGTGCGACCTGTACAAAGGAAACCATTTTATTTTGGATTTTGAAATTCGTGGATCTCCAAGCATACCTGAGTCTACGCTCAAGGCTGGCGCATCGTAGTATGGAATGTAGGGCTTGATATCCAAAACTGGGGTTCCGTCCACCATGTCAGTGCCAAAGAAACTTATGGTAGCATTTTCTATCTTCTCAATCTCCACTAGGGAAAGGCCTATGGGACATGGGCGATGGGGCGATCTGGTGGAAAAGACCCCTACCCGCTCGCCACCGAGACGAGGTGGTGCCACTTTAGCTTTGGGGTGGGCATTGTTGCGGTGAAAGTGGTAGATGAGCCACAAATGCGAGAAGTCGCCCAATCCTTCCAGGGAATGCTCCGGATTGGTAAAAACACTGTCATTTAGCTGGATTATGCCACGCAGGCGACTGCCCACAATCGATTGCCTGGGAACGGCACGCTTCTCCGGGAAGGCCGTTCGTATGACTCCGATGGGGCGAAAGAGAGCGGACTCATCTGTGGAACTTCCTCCTCCTTCTCCTCCATTTGTGTGATTGCACTGCAGTAGAGGATTTTTTGAGAGGGTGTTCTATGTTAAAGTGGTGTGTGTTGTGGCAAACGCACCTGACCCTGACTCTCCGGTCCCAGTTCATGTGAAGTCCGCTCCCGAGCCTCTTCCTTGCCAACAGCGACCTTGTCCTTGGCGCTTTTGTTGCCCGAACAGCCCTCACAGCGAAAGTCCCGGAGCAAGCTGGTTATCGTCTCGATGTCCTTGCGCTGCACATGCTGAAGGTTGCGCACTTGCTGCCTGCATCAGGATCATGGTCAACCGGTGCAAATTGAACTTGAACTTTAACACTAGCCCAGGACTCAAAAAAAACTGTTTCAAAACGCACCTTAGATTGTTGATCTCATTCCGCGCGATCGTCAACTGATTCTTTAGGTCGTCCTCGTGCATTTTCGAGACCGGCGTCCTGCAATTTGCAGGAGCTCCCAACAACACGGCTGTCGATAAATATTTACCCTCTGTGGTAGCTTCTTTTAAGAGTTTGATCCTCTTCTTGTCGCTGCTTTCCAGGACTTTTCTTGCTGATACTTCAAGCTGCCGTCAGGTTTGTCTTCTTATTTATGTTTTCCCGTGAAATCCACAAAACACTATCGTTCAATATTGTGAACTGTTCTTCAGATTTTATCAGTGCTGGTAAGCTGCCAGTATATAAATACTAGTTTTGTAGTGTTGCACAATAGTCAAAAATACTGCGCGCTTTTGCCTTTTTTAGGACTTTTGCTCAGCAGAGAATGACTTTATAAATTTACCAAGTAGGTTCGATTCGAAGCGACATTTAGTCCAAGCTATATACAAATTGTAAATTCTCATTGTTGAAAAGGTGGGTTATATTTTGTAGGGAGAAAGGAAATTGCTAAACCGAGCTTGTTTTAGGTTACCAAGTATATCAAAGAAAACGCAACATGTCTCGCGGAAGTTCAGCCGGCTTTGACAGACACATTACCATCTTCTCGCCAGAGGGACGCCTCTACCAAGTCGGTGAGTACCAACAGCTTTCTACATATGCTTAACATTACGATAATTCTTTTTGTTTTTTAGAGTATGCTTTTAAAGCAATCAACCAGGAAAATATCACCACCGTGGCTTTGAAGAGCGGCGACTGTGCTGTGGTAGCCACCCAGAAGAAGGTGACCGAAAAGAACATTGTGCCTGACACAGTGACCCACCTCTTCCGTATAACTAAGGATATCGGTTGCGCCATGACGGGTCGCATTGGTAAATACCATTAATGTTTCTCCCGAAACCGTGAGATTTACAACATTTCTCGTGTCTTTCCAACGTTTTTAGCTGACGCCCGTTCTCAGGTTCAAAAGGCTAGATACGAGGCCGCAAACTTCCGCTACAAGTTCGGATACGACATGCCCGTGGACGTCCTTTGCCGGCGCATCGCAGACATCAACCAGGTTTACACGCAGAACGCCGAGATGCGACCTCTTGGTTGCAGTATGGTGCTCATTGCCTACGACGACGAGATTGGGGCAAGCGTTTACAAGACGGACCCGGCTGGATACTACAGTGGCTTCAAGGCCTGCTCGGTGGGCGCCAAATCGATTGAGGCCAACAGTTACCTAGAAAAGAAGTATAAGAATAACCTCTCCGAAGAGAAGACCATCCAGCTGGCCATCACATGTCTGTCTAGTGTGCTAGCCATTGACTTTAAGCCCAACGGTATCGAGATCGGTGTGGTCAGCAAGACCGACCCCACCTTCCGTATCCTGGACGAGAGGGAAGTCGAAGAACACCTTACCAAGATCGCCGAGAAGGACTAAGTTCTGCGCGTTAGCTGTAATTTTGTCATATTTTTTAAAGCCTCTACATGGATCTACGGTTAAATACAAAAATGCGCTTGGCTTGCATTCAAAACTAAGGCAAAACATAAATATTTATTCCTTCTTTTTCTTATGCACTTTGCCGCCGTAGCGTATAACGAAGGCGTTTACATCGAATTTACGTCGACAGCCTTGATAGTTCATGTAGCGTATCTTTCCAAAGATGGATCGTTCCTTCCATCCCATGTCATGGATTCCCCCGATGGACCACATGCACCCCACATAACCATTGGGGTCTCGTCCGTCCAGACTGTACTTATCATTAAGTAGAATGGCGTACTCCAGGGCCTGCTCAGGAGTCTCGCTCCACTCGAGGATCTTTTTAGCCCAGTACATGCGCAGGAATCCGTGCATTTTGCCCTCACGTACTAGTTGTAGTTGAGCCGAATTCCACAGGTCGTCGTATGTGAGGGCCTATAAAAATAATTGATGTTAAGTTAAACGGTAATGGATTGGATAAGTCATGGTCTTACCTTTTCCATTTCATCAAGGGAGTAGCATGGATCCCTTTTATCCTTCCGATGGGCATTCAAGGTCTCATACGCCCATGAACTCAGCCCTTTCAAACTATCATAGTGTTCGTTGTAATAACAGAAGTTATCTGCGAGCTCCCTCCGCACGATGGCCTCCTCACAGAAGGCTTCTGCCGATGCTTTGTGCTGGCCCCGGAAACGCTGTACTTCTAGGGCACATCGCTGGGCCGATATCTGGCCAAAATGTAGCCATGGTGAAAGTCCAGAGATTGCATCAGCAATGGGATCGTTGCGTTTGTCATTGAAAATTCGAAGGCGGCGGCTGCAGAACTCGTACAGTTGCTTGCAAGCAGCCTTATAGCCCGGCTTTGCCCAATCCACTTCGTCGACAGTCTTGTCGCATTCTAACATTTCATAGGCAGCTGTCCAATCCACAGGATCAACTTTTCGGCAGCCAGTCCCATGCGGATGCTTAATTACGGGTGGAAATTCGGTCAGGTACTCACTCAACTTGGAGTTTATTTTGTTCCGAATGGTGCGAGCAGCATACTCCTGCTTGTCAGAGGCCACCCAAACGGGCACTACGTTATGTGCGTCCACCTGAACCAATGGAACTGTTTTCGGTAGAGCCTTTCCCACATCTTCGACCCATTTTCGGGGCACTCTAAGAGGCGCAAAATCGCATATCACGGCGCCCACTTTCCGAGATTTTACGAAATCAGGTAGGCGATCCACAGCAGGGCCCAGTAATAGGTGAAAGGGTATATCCAGCTCGCGACACTGCTGCTCTACCTCCTGCAGACCGCCCATCATGAATTTGTAGTGTCGAATGGTGGCGTTCAGAAACTTCGGTACCAAACAAAACACCACAGCCAGAGGCAGCTCCAATTTAAGAGCCAGGCGCTGGGCAAACAGCAAGGCCCAATTGTCCTGGACACGGCCATCGCGGGACATCCAGTAAACGACACCTCCTTCACAGGAATCCCCTACATCACCGTTCTTTGAGAGAACCCGCACCCTCTTCTTCAAAAAATTAAATTCCTTAATGCTTGCCGCTGTGGAGGTTCGCTGATGTTCGCAGTGGGTGAGAAACTGCTCCAAGTTCTTGTATTCCGGCTTCAAGAGTAGGGTTTTTGAAGTTGAAGCCTCCAACTGGCTACTTCCACTCGATTCCTGATCACTCTCTTCTGATTTGGGAGTCTCCTTTTTAGCGGCCTTCTTGGGCGGTCCTGCTTTTGAAGTCTTTGTGCGTTTCATGATGGATTGTTTAAGTAGCTGCACATAGGGAACAAAATAAAAATCTGTTTCGGAATCGCGTTTAAACGAAAGGTCTTGAAAGGTTCGCGCCACCAAGCCATATAAGTAAATATACACACCTGAGAGAAGGAATGGCAACCCTTTTAGTTGTTTCAAACTAGCCATTCATGCGCCCAACTGTAGTTTTTTCTCTTTACGTTAATATATATTGAATATATTGATTATATTGTGCTTAAAATGTAAATTTTTAAATTCAATTCAAGACGGACAACCACAGAAAGCAACACAATGATGAGACCAGAATATGGATTTTTTAGGATTTTTCACGTGAGGAGTCACTTGACAACCCTGACCCAGCCAATTTAATTAAACTGCAACTCATCGATCACTGCATTTCCAACAGAGACTTACGCCATTTAACAAAAGAAAAAAAAGGGCCACAGAATGCAGAAGGTTTCTCTGCTGTTGTTAGCCTGTCTGGCCCTAGCTGTGGCCGAAAGCAATCCTCGCCTGCTGCGGGTGCCGCTTCAAAAGTTTACGACCGCCCGGCGCCACTTTGCCGATGTGGGAACCGAACTACAGCAATTACGCATCAGGTATGGAGGAGGAGATGTCCCCGAGCCGCTGTCCAACTACATGGACGCCCAGTATTACGGACCCATCTCCATTGGATCGCCGCCGCAGAACTTCCGCGTTGTCTTCGATACCGGCTCCTCCAACTTGTGGGTCCCCTCGAAGAAGTGCCACCTGACCAATATTGCCTGTCTAATGCACAACAAGTACGACGCCTCAAAATCCAAGTCTTATGTGAAGAACGGCACTGAATTCGCTATTCAATACGGATCAGGTAGCCTCTCAGGATATTTGTCAACAGACACGGTTTCCATTGGAGGACTCAACATCAAGGATCAGACTTTTGCTGAGGCTCTGAGTGAGCCTGGTCTCGTTTTCGTGGCTGCCAAGTTTGATGGCATCTTGGGCCTGGGTTATAGCTCAATTTCGGTAGACAAGGTGAAGCCTCCGTTCTACGCAATGTACGAGCAGGGTCTGATCTCTGCACCAATCTTCTCATTCTACCTTAATCGCGATCCCGCTGGTCCAGAGGGCGGTGAGATTATCTTCGGTGGCTCCGATCCTAAGCACTACAGTGGCGACTTCACCTACTTGCCCGTTACCCGTAAAGCCTACTGGCAGATTAAGATGGACGCAGCTTCCATAGGAGAGTTGGAGCTCTGCAAGGGTGGCTGCCAGGTGATCGCCGATACCGGCACTTCACTCATTGCTGCTCCCATGGCAGAGGCAACTTCCATTAACCAAAAGATCGGCGGCACGCCCATCATTGGTGGACAGGTAAGAAACATAATTGAAGATGGAATTAGGACAGTGGTAATATATTGATGTTTTCTCTTGCAGTACGTGGTATCCTGCGACCTTATTCCTAACCTGCCGGTTATCAAGTTTGTTTTGGGCGGAAAGACCTTTGAACTTGAGGGCAAGGACTACATCCTTCGCGTGGCTCAGATGGGCAAGACCATCTGCCTGTCTGGTTTCATGGGCATGGACATTCCGCCACCGAATGGACCCCTCTGGATCTTGGGCGATGTCTTCATCGGAAAATACTATACTGAGTTTGACATGGGCAACGACCGAGTGGGTTTCGCTGATGCCAAATAATCCAACAAAGAATATTATTACTTAAAGTTTAAATTGTAAAATTCTCTGATACTTTCTCCTATTAGTCCACGAAATATATATGTTTATGTATCACCTAGAGGTTTTCTTTGTTTAACTTCGAGTTGTTTATGTCGGGACTGGTGTAAACTTTTTGCTTATCAGCTGGATTTTTTGCTTTCGTTGCGATTTGATAAGGTCCGAGTCCGAGACTTATATGTAAAGCTCATTCTTTGTATACAAATAAATAGTATGTGTCACGATCACTGCCGAGGCTCGTTTATAAAGAATATGCATGTTTGTCCGGTGAGCTTTTTGTACTCAATTAATTTGTATACTGTATGTTGTATATAATGATAAGTTCAAACAGCCAGGCAGCCGGTTGATAACAAATGGTTGGGGAATGAACCACAGCTGCCGTTTTCATTCAATTAACACAAATTTGTAGGATCTCCAAAGTTTATTCTTGAATTACACCTCTTTTCCAAAAGAGGAGACTAACTAAAAGTAAGTTTCGAGTTGTTGCATTTTATTATGTTAGTTTTTAATACAAAATAGTGTTTAGGTACATTAATTGCTTAGAGCTTTTAACATTAAATCCGCTCCTGGCTTAACCTACATAATTCAATTGTTTTGAAATGCCTATCAAGCCAAAGGCAACCTCTCGATAGCCTTAGACCTGGGCAGAAAGAATTGAAAACAACTGACGCGTGTGGGCTCTTCCGGATCGATGCCAACTCTGACGTACGCGCCCGCCCCCAAGCATGTAGTGTGCTTTTTGGCGGAGCCCGTAATCGCCCCATTAGTGGCTGGCCATTTATCAATGGATCTCCATGCGCGTTGGCAGTGCGAACGATGTCGACCTTTGCACTCTGACTGAATCAGCACACGTAAACTCAAATCATTGTGCTAAGTAGCCCGTACAGACGAACTTCTATAACTTGTTCCATAGAACTGCTTTGCTAGATAAGATTTCATTATTTTTGTATAGAAAAGGGAATTAATGGAAGTGTATTTCATTAACTAGAATCGATTTCTTGATAAATATATTTAAACTAATTTAAATAAATTAAGTTGCAGAAGGAGCATTACATAAAATGTCTGTAACACAATTAGCTATTACTTTGAGTTAACGAAGTTCGACTATAAAACAGAGAGCAAAAGTAACGACTGAGTAGATAAAATGACAATTTAATACTAGGTAGACTTATCTAATTGATACAGGCTGTAAAAGAGCTGGTATTGGTGCTCTGGGATCCTCGCTGCTGCCCCTCATTTCGGCTTGATATTGGCCGTAAGATCATCGACAGGCACTGTGGACGTATCGGCGGTGGCGGGCTGTGTGGGCTGCTCCGCGGGCTGTTTCTCCATATCCGGCTGAACCTCTACAGTCTTTGCTGTGCGAAGGTTGGGCTCCCGCTCCTCATCCGACTCGGTAGACTCACGTATAAGCTGCACGGGCGTGATCAGCTTTCCGGCGGCGCCCACCTTGTAAATATCACAGGTTTCGTTCACATAGCGATTGAAGACGTCTGGCTTGTCGGCGTAGACATGATGGCCCGCTCCGGTCACGATCTTAATGTCAACCATGTGGCTACCACGCTGCGACTTGATTTTCTCACCGGATGAAGAGTCAATCCAGGAGCGGGATCCGTAGATAAACGTAATGGGGATATCGTTGCGCACATCCTTAATACGGTGGATCATTGGGTTCTTGGCCCACCCAAAGGATTGCATCATTGTATGGAAGGCAGACTCACCGCTTGGGTGCTGAGCGTTACACTGGTGGATGTACTGCGGCAAGAGATTAATATCCTCTTCGATGGTACTCTGGAACTTGCGCATAATATCCGGACGCGTCTTCTGAACCACCCACTGGCCAAACGGTCCAGCGGCGCGTAGCGCCCACAGTGGATTGAGCGGCGTCAGTACTCTAGCTATTGCCCGCACCCAGAGCGGTATCTGCTTGGTGTTCGTCGAGTCGGAGGGCTTCTCGGGAAAGCCCCACGGATCGGCCAAAATTAGGTGTCGCACCCGCTCTGGATATGATAGGGCGTAGCTAGAGGCGATGAAACCGCCCATGGAATGGCCCAAGAGGATCATGTCCTGGATATTCATCTCGCGGCGCCACTCCTCCACGGACTTAACGAACTGTTTCTCGCATATGAGTGCGTCCTTGGCGAAAGATGGTCTAGAACTTCTGCCGAAGCCTAAGATATCCATTGCATAGACGGGCCTTCCCTTGGCGAATGCATCCAGGTTCATCACCCACAGGGCAATCCCCGCTCCTAGGCCATGAAGCAATACCAGGGGTACCTCCTTCGACTCCGTGTTCATACTGATCGTCCATATCTTGTCTGCCTCGCCCACCGCCGGACCAATGTCCACGAAGAAGCCGCGGTAGGGCAGCTTCACGTACGACAATATCTTCTTCTCCACGGCGCGCAGCATGGTCGGTGAGCTGGATGTCCAATTACACAACCATTTCCAGAGCCAGAAGCCGTTGTTTTTGGGATCCTGCAAGGAGAAGAAAGAAAAGTTACATTGAATTCGGCTGAAGACACCTCTAGCACCTGGCTGGTGATCCATGCCCCACCAAGGCGACTATTACTTAACAGGCAACTACGCAGTTGTTCGAAATTGGGAAGGGCAGTGGGACTTAACAAAATGATTCGGATATTTTTTATTTGGGAATTTCACCACTCAGCAAGGCTGACTGCGATACGGCCGCTTCAATGCCACCCTGCCACTGCCCCCCATAGGCACTGCTCCTTACCTGAAGATCCATTGTCTGGTTCAACCCCTGCGCAACTGTGGGCAGCGGCAGGGCGGATGTGGGCGTGCTGGCGGGAGCAAAATCTTTCCCAGCATCGCTCGCCAACGTCAGCGAGTCGCTCATTTTGCTCTTAATTTCGGTTTTATTTCGGATCTGCTCTCACTTTAGAATTTAAACAGCAGGTCGATGATGTGTGCGAGGTGGGGATAGACTAAAAATCCGCCACCATTTGCGCGCTACTTATTTCCACCCGCTTCCAGCACCGGGATCTTTACAAATATGACACGAAAGTAAAAACTAAGTTGTACCCGCTTCTGCCGAGCTGTGATGACTTTGAACTTTTCCTGTGCTCCACGGAATGGTCTGGTCTGGTTGGTTGGTCACAATCGCAATTACATGTTATCTATTCTAATGGTGAAATAGTTTTTGTTGTTGCTAATACTGGTGGAAAGGCACTCGGAAATACAATAGCCCACACAATAACAAACAAAATGCCACAAAAAATGGGGGAGCACGGCCACACAAACAGCTGATCTCAAAACAGCTGTTGTTTACGGTATTGCTTGGAAGGGGTTTCGAGTTTCTTCATAGGGGTACTCCCCGGTATACTCTGAAACGGGTTAAAAGGACATCATTAATATTTGCCAATTTTAAAAACTGCCAATTACGGAATAATGTCCAGTGAAATACAGATGGCAACCTATAAATAGAATGACTCGCAGCTGGAGGCCCAAAAGAAGAAGCAGAGCTATGCCTCCCTGGACCTCTTTAGAAATACGGTCACTTTAAAAGGGACCTGCTCCAACGTAAAATTTCTTTTTATTCTTCACCCCAAGCGGCATGGACGGCATAAATAAGTACAACGAATTTGTTGCATTGCACAAACCGCAGCTGGAGTCCTCAGCAATTCCAGTGCACTTCTGGCCAGCTCTTTACCGAAAGCTATCAACGGACACCTTTGATGCCGGCGAGGCCCTGCAGCTAATGCTGATCGATTATGACGAGGACGAGGAACAGAATCCGGCCCTGGACGACGACAGCCCTAACCCTATTTTTGCTTTGGCAGTGGCAAGTGAAAAAGGGATTAAAGTCACCGATCCCCAAGCTATTTATTTGATTGACCATGCCTGGACTTTCCGGCTGAAAAGTGCCCGGCAGCAGTTGGAGCAGTACCCGCAGCTGGGGGATCGGATGTCTGCCATTACCGGCGTCGACTTGGAACTGCCGGATCGCATTGACAAAATTTTGCGGCGTTTGTGGAAGTACTGCCATGCCTATTCCATCGGCACTGAGGGACTATCCGATGAAGAACGGCAGCCAATCTGGTATGTAATGGACGAAGTCGGCTCAGCGGTAAATCACTCGGACGATCCCAACTTCCGACTGGTGCCATTGCTCCATTTGAACAGCCAGACCACCTACAGCGTGCTGTTTCCCATCCGGAACTGTGAGGCTGGAGAACAGGTTACCCGCGATGTGGTGGAATACGTTTCCAAAGATGCACCCCAGCGAGCCGCCCTTTTATTACCTTGGCGTGATGCTGATCTCACCGACGAGAGCTTTTTGCAGGTGGAACCTCGCGCTGATTACTTCACCAGCGGTCATATCCCAGAGACCTATCCCAAAGAAAATACCGATTCTGTCCCTGGTGGATCCCGCTGTGATCCTCTAAAGGTCTTTGCCGAATACGAAGTAGTTCGCCAGCATCTTACCTCCCCTGAGTTTATTCTAGTCAACAACGAAGATGAGGCCGACGTCTTGTGGCTTACTCATCACTTCAAAACCTTTGAGGAGTTTGGCGAACAGTTTCCCAGAAAATTCATTAATCAGTTCCCCTTCGAGTACGTGATCACTATCAAGGATCTGCTCAGCATAGTGGGTCGTAGGGCAGCCAAGGAGCACCATAATAGCCATACCCTAGACACCTATCCCGACTGGCTACCCACCACCTATAATTTATCTACAGAGTTGAGGGAGTTTGCCTCTTATTACCAAGCACGGGAAGCAAAGGGTCTGGACAACCATTGGATCATCAAACCCTGGAATCTGGCACGCGGACTGGACACCCACATCACAGACAACATTAAGCAGATTGTTAGACTGCCGGCCACGGGCCCAAAGATCGCACAGAAATACATTGAACGACCGGTTCTCTTCAAACGAGAAGAGTTGGAAGGACCCGTGAAGTTCGACATTCGCTACGTAATCCTTCTCAAGAGCGTTAAACCCTTGATGGCTTACGTGCACCGCAAGTTCTTCCTTCGATTCGCCAATCATCCATTCTCATTAGACCAGTTTGACGATTACGAGAAGCACTACACGGTTATGAACTACCAAGAAGAGGCGCAGCTGCACCATGTCAAGTGCGAGGACTTTCTAGGACTGTGGCAGGAACAATATCCAGACAACGATTGGGCGGATCTGGAGCAACGTATATGTTCAATGCTCTGCGAAGTACTTCAGTGTGCCAGCCATGCGGATCCGCCCTGCGGTCTGGCTCCCTGCGCCCAATCCCGGGCCTTATATGCTGCGGACATAATGCTGCGATGGACGGACGAGGAAAATAAAAAGATGCAGCCACAGCTCCTGGAGATTAACTGGACGCCCGATTGCAAGAGAGCTTGCGATTACTATCCCGACTTCTTTAATGACATTTTCCGACTCCTTTTCTTGGACGAAGAAAACGACGAAATCTTCCGCCTGTTGACATCAGATTAATAAAATGGTTTTACCAACTTAATGCGTAATCGCGTATTTTATTTATACTAAACTTAGCTAATTAGCTTGCATTTTGTACAATATACAAGTAAGTGTATGCTTCTATGCGAGTGGAACTAAACTATAAGGCTTAACTAACTAGGACAGAAAGTCAGTTGGTAGTGTGGCTTATGCTTACGGTTCTATCATAGCTTTGACAAGTTCAAGAATTCAGTGTAGAGTTCAAAAAGTGAGCTTATAGTTAACGCTTTTTGCAATTCTCAACTGCAAATGGCACTTGATGAAAGATAAACAATGGAGATGAAATGAAAAAGTCTTCTAAACACAAAAACGATATCCCAAAAGTCAAATTAATTCACACGTAAGGCAATTTTAAAGGCACCCTTTGAAAGTTTAGCTAAATTCACAGTGGAAACAAAACGAAACTAAAAACGAATTAATTCAAACAAAGTAACTATCTACGGCTTTAGATATCAGCTGTCAAGATTCTGTACTTGGTTAGATCGTTATCTAACACGTGGGATCCTGGCTTAACTCTGAATAATACGCGTACGAACTAATAGTGTGTGAAAATGCAAGTGGGAAACGTCAATGAATGCTTCTTATACTAGCTAGCCTAGCTATTAAATCTAAGTAATCGCTTATCTCTAAGGTAAGACTACAACCACTAAACGCAGACTTCATCAAAGTCCAGTCGTATTTTTTCGTCCGCGGAAGCCAGCTTATGTATGGTCTTTTTGATGCGCAGCGCTGGCAAGCGTACGTTGGGGTTCTGGTGCCAGCACTCTTTCATTAGTTTAGCCATCCCAGCCAGTAGCTAATCAGAAGAACCAAAATTATTGATTGAAACCGATAGTTGGTCATTTACTTACCGAATCTGAAGTCCAACGGTTGGGAATGGAGGGTCTGTAGTTGTCTATGCACACCACCTTGCGCATGTCTTCGAAGCTGGGATCCATAGGCACAACGTCGTAGAAAGGCACCTTATACTCCTCGGCAATGCCGCACGATATTGTCCGGCGACAAACCTCCCAAAGAACTAATCCAAAAGCATAAATATCCGTGCGTCGCAAGGCCTCAAAACATTCCAAATTAATGCTGAAAATAAGTTTAATTTAAAATCTATCCTTTTCTAATTAAAAACAATCGAAAGCTCACCTCTCATCTAAAACCTCTGGAGCCATGTACCGCTTGGTGCCTACTTTTGGATTGTTTCCCAAATCTAGCTGTCCTGTCACATGTGAGTGGGTAACCGCTAATCCAAAATCGGCTATAACGCAGGACCCGTTGGCGGTGACCAGTATGTTCTTTGACTTTAGATCACGATGGGCCATTGCTGGCTTTCCTTGTTTCCCGAAAATCTCCGTATGCAAATGTACCAGTCCGTTGGCTATCGACAAGCAAATCCAGATCATGTCATTGTGGCTCAGTGCATTACGATTCAGGTGATCGAACAGCGAGCCCAGCGGGTAGTAGTGAGTCATCAACCAAAGCTGAGTGCATGAGTTACGTGAGGTCATATCGGAGCCGATAAAGCCAAGAATGTTTTCGTGGCGGAGCAAAACGGTGCTGCAATTTGAAAAACAATTAAATTGTATTTTACTTTATTTATTTACCAATAAAATGACTTACCTGTAGATCTCTGTCTCTCGCTTCCAGGATTCCTCATCCCGACTGAAGAATATCTTGACGGCAATGCTCTCTCCATGCCAGTGACCCCTCCACACCTCGCCATACTTGCCACGACCAATGCATTCTATCAGGGTGACCTGCTTGGCCAGGGTGCGCTGCACGAGAAGAGGCAGCCCACTTCCAGATCCAGAAGTAACCGAATGCTGCAGGTATTCGCGAAGCGTACTGTCGCCAGCGCTAGTGGCACGTAGGAGTTCATCGTTAACAAGGTATGACTCGGGATCCTGTTTAGTTCGCGATGCGGCGAGACGCTTCCGGTGACTGCGCCGAATGAAATAGATGGCCACAGCACCTAGCAGAGTGATGACCAAGAACGGACCCAGAATAGCAGCAAACATCTTGCTTAGATTACCAGTATCCGCCGTTATGACCGTAACTTCGTTGTTGGTCATAGGCGGCAGTTCGGGAAAATCTCCCTTGTTACAATAGTCGCCGGTGCAGCATTCTACATTGCGGTTCTTGGCAGTATTTCGTTTGCTCTGTCCATTGAGCTTGTTGAGCGAATTCTGGTTGCAGATCAGGGGCACCTGGTCCGGCGAAGTGGTGCAGCCACGAGACACTTGCTCCTGGCCATCGGCATTTCGGGTGCGAGATTTCCAGCACTAAAGAAATTTTAATACATTATTTAAGGAAAGAACTAAAAATACAAATATAGGGCTTACCTGAACGGCATTCTGGCAAGTGTGGGCCAGTTCAAAAGGATCTGGGCAGGGTGGATCGCACGAGTAGCATTTGTATCTGTTAAAAAAAGGCTTAGATTAATAGAGTTCTACAAATGAAATAAATATAAGGGAATAAAATGAAAAGCCACTGAAAATGCTAGCCTAAAAGAATGGTTACCTTCTTTTCATGCGACGCTTACTCTTAATGTGTCTCCTGGATAAGGAGAAGCAGCATGGTAAATGGGCAGTAAAAATAGTTAGCAATAAGGCAATTTTGAACCGCGGCTAATGAAAAGCATTGTCTTTAATGATAATCTATAGTCACCTGGGATGCGCTTGTAAGGAGTTCTGTGGCCCGGCCGGAAACTCCTTGCCATTTAAATGGCCCGATAGCTCCATGTCTATATCCTGATTCTCTTCCAGTAACCGGTCGACTTCAGCTAAAAAATTAATAAGCGGATTTGAAGAATAGTGTTTGAACTGAATTTAACAATTAGTGATTTTAAGTATTTCGAGTTTTATTTTTTAGTTTTCCCAGACTGTTTACCAAATCATAACACCCTCAGCTAGAGTATAACCAGAAGTACACACACACACTTGCCGCGAGGGAACCCTCACGCACACATGCTTGGCTCCAAGTTCTGTATACATACGGAACTCGAAAGCACGGCTGTGTGCGTGGGCAAATCATTAAGAAAATGCACTTATGCTGCGAACGCCCACGACAGCATTCGAATCCGTTTATATAATGCGTGCATTTGGGTCTTTACGTAGTGTTTCATACACTGCCAGTCCACTATCAGAGTTTAACACTTTGCTATGCTAAATACGCAGCACAATTGGCTAGAACCGTAGCATATGAAAACAAATCAGGGCTGTCAAAAACACACACAACAGCCAATTTTTAATCACTCTGTTATGACTCTTAAGAAAACCCGTTTTACGTTTTGCTTCTTGTGTGCTGCGATCGATCTACTTAATAAGCGATTTATACCGATTTATTCGTACCTCTCGCATTATTGCATATTAAAAATGACAATAGAAAAACTAAAAAAAAATTAGACTCCATTGCTCCATTCCGTTTCTGGGGTCCAGTGGGGCCGTATCATTAAACATCCTCTGCCCTAAAATACCTTTAATACTAAAAAAGAATAAATACTAAACTTTTTGTGAAAATACCAAATCATGGAGCCACATCGTGAGACATAGTGGTCCTAAAATATCGATAGCTTAGGACTTAAAAAACATCGATACATCGATGTTTCTGCACCTCTGCTAGAGAACGAGTAAGTAGGCATAATTTTTCGTTTCATAAGAAATATTGTAAAAATATATTTTCAAACCCTAACAGCGAGATGGCTTTCGGGGACTATCCAGCTGAATACAACCCAAAGGTGCATGGGCCTTACGACCCTGCCCGTTTCTACGGCAAAGGTATGTGAATTCGCGAAATTACGTAATTTTTGGAGCAACGTTTTGCGGCAGTTGCCCTGGCACATTATGTTCAATTACCCGGATTCTAACCAATTTATATAATTTTTTGGCAGCCGATGTTCCCTTCGGACAGGTGAAGCTCGGTGAGTTGGGCGCTTGGCTCGGACGCCGCAACAAGACTCCCAACGCCGTTGCCGGAGCCGTGAGCCGTGCCTGGTGGCGCTGGCAGCACAAGTATGTGTTCCCCAAGCGCGCTGGTATTGCTCCTTTCTTCCAGCTGACCGTCGCCAGCATGACGTTCTTCTACTTGATCAACTACACCAAGTTGAAGCACCACAGGAACTACAAGTACCACTAAACGTTGATGCTGCTGCCTCAATTTTCTCCTCTCGATCCACACTACCCACACTGCAAGGGCAAGACGCTTGAGGCGAGAACAGGGCAAACACTTAACAATTAATACTTTACATTTGGCTTTTGTGTTTCGAAAACTGCTTAAGTTAATAAATAACGGCTGCGAATATCAGTGCTGCTCCCCGAGACTCAATAGTTGTCACACTCTAGCACTGCATTTTTTCCGATGTCCACCTCGGAATCAGGTTGGTCCAATTCATGAGACGTCTTTGCCGTATGGACTTCGCATATAAAAGGCAGTTCCCGGTCGCAATGAAGCGTTTGCCAAGTGCCTTCGGGCGTCAGGGCCACGCAGCTGGCATTAGTGAGTTCTGAGCTGCATGAAAGGATAAATTAAATCTACTGTGCAAGATTCGTATGAATCTTTACTGACCCAATTCGTGGATGGTTTACAGCCCAGGCTCTATACAAGAAGCAGTTTAGACTCTCCTGCTGAGAGTTTCTAAAGTCAAGAGGATTAAGTGAAGTAGAGCGGTTATAAGCCAGACCAACATAGGCGAGAAAAACGTTTGGCTCTGCATGGACACTGCTCGCAGTCCTTTTATTGAAGTCCAGTAACCATTGGGCCAAGGATGATGTGCGAGATTCGGATGCAATGTGGGCAAGGCTGCCTGTAAATTCACTGGAGTTGGTGCACTTTAAAGAAGCGTTTAGATAACTGCTGGGTTGGGTATATACCACAAATAGGCCAACCTCTGGCACGCAACTGTAGTTTTGAAGAACTTCAAATTCTCAATAGGAATCTAAATTATTCAAGTTTATTAGTGCTAACCTGTTGGCCTGCCATATAAGCTGTAGTAATCAAAGCGACTGTCATTAACCATTCCAGAGAAGCTTGTATTTTGCGGGCACTGTAGCACATGGCAGTTAAAAAACTCTCCCGGCTGCTCGAAAACTGTCAACCGGCTTCGTATGTGCTTCTGCTTTTCGGTCTCGTTTTTAAATGGCCTGGCCTCAAAAATGTTACTACTCCTTTTGGGAGCTCCTGGTGCAAAGTTTATGGCAAGACCTTTTAGTTCTCGAGCCAGATTTGCGCAGTCCTCTAGAGAAGATACATTTTCGAGAGCAAGCGCATCATGCGCCGAAGCTCTTTGGCAATGACGAACCAAATGGAACTTGAGTGGATGCGAATTCTCAGTAGGACAATTTAGGGATCCCATTGTGAAACCCACGCATATGTGAATAGTTGCAAAAAATGTAGACCACATTTGGATAACAAGCAATGCCATCTATTTCTGAATCTAAACTGACTTACTTATTATAGTATTTTGCAGCCGCTTGTCTTGCCACCTGACACAGGTGTCCATCAAAATCAAATGCACTTAATTATAGTCAATTTGAGTTTATTGTTCAATGATTAATATTAACTTAGAGGTAACACTAAAATTGAGCTTTAAAATATGAATGGAACCGCATAGATTGAACGGCTCCAGAGAAGCATTCTCTTCGTTTGCAGTCAGAATGCTCGATTGAAGCTGTTCAAAGGCCTAATTTTGGTTTTGAGAACTGTTGCCATATGTATATCGTTCATTATCATATATTATATAGTAATATTGTATATGTGGCTGCTCGGGACGGCTGCTGTTTAATAAGGGCTGCTGCCTACATAAGTAAAACAATGACAAGAAAATATTCAGGAAATTCTACTAAGAGTGTCGAGGGAAAGGAGTTGCGTTTTGTTTGGACCTTTGGCAGTTAGGCATCCGATAAATTAATAAATTACGAATAAAAGTTAGACATTAAGTTTAGATACGAGTACAAATATCACCTGAGCGTCGGCTGCTGCATTCGTTGTTAGTTCGAGTGATTAAATTAGGGTAGAAGCGGTCAGAGGGATCTAGTGGAGGTCGGGAAGTGTCTGGAAGAAGGGCGAGTCCAACACCGACTGTGCGGAACAGAGCCGATTAGGTTCCACTACCTGGAGTCCTGGTGAGCTCTGCGACATTAGCGGGCAATTGGTATTCATTTATGGAACTATTGCCCGGTAATCTCTGCACGACATTTTGCAAACTATGACTACGCTTATCCTATGGACAGTCGCTGGACAACTCCAGCATCCTGCAGCTGCAACCTGCATCCTTACAGACTAAGTGGCTCCCATTCTCACAAATCGTTGACTACCGCAGCGGCACCTGCGCGACCGAAACTCATCCCGGTTACTTTCTGATTTTGAAACACTTTGAGTGTTTTTTTGAATTTGGAAAAATATGAACTTTAAAATTTCGTGTTTGAGGACACAGCCTATGTGTGTTTAGCTGCTATGCGAGAAGGCGGTGTTCGTATAGGGTCCACTGTAGATGGAGCTGCCGGAGTTGGAAACCGTCTTGGTGCTGCGACGGGCCATAATGCACAGAACGGCGGCTACAACGGCCAGCATGAGGATGAGGCCGGCGATGGCAATGGCTATGGCGAAAGTACGCTGGGAAACGCACAGGGCATCGTCCAGGGTCTGTAATAAAGATTTGATTAGTTCTTAATCGATTCGCGATAGATTAGACTATTCTCCAGTCCATACCTTTTCCTTGTACACTGCATCATCATCGCTTTCGTTGGAATTCTCGTTCTCGTTGACGTACAGACCGGAGAACACCTCAATGGTGGCGGGCAAACCGTCCTCCTCCTTGCTATCAACTGCTGTCTGTCGCTTGGGACGCTTGCCAGTGCACAGAGGTGCCTCCTGGCACGTTGGATCCTCCAGAGCACACAATCTTACGTTGCACTGGTAGTAGACGGAAGTGGTGTAAGGGAACTTGTGCGCAGGGAAGGTGACGTTGGCAGCCAAACGATCCTCGGTGTAGTTGAACTGGCCCATGATCTCGTTGTCCATGGGACAGCTAGAATAAAAAATTCATTTAGTTTTCGTCAAATACAGTTTTTGCGAATATCTTACCCATCTTCGCCGACTAGTCGCTGTTCTCCCCAACCCAGACCATCACGTACAATACAATCGGTCACATGGAGTCCATAAACCTTCTGCCTATCGATGCTAATCACAATGGTTAGGGGATCACCAATCTTAACATCGTCCGCAATCTTGTGCTCGTCGTTGTAGATCTTCATGTGGCAACCGGGCATGGGTATCTCGTTGTTGGTCACATCCTCCTCCTCCTCCTGCTGCGGCTGTGGTGCATTGGCATCGTAGACATCCTCCTCGTCCAGGTCGTCGTCCTGCTGCTTGTCCAGCGATCGTCCATAATCCCGCCGATCATCGCTGCGGAAGGCCTGCGGTTTCTGGGCATGCTTACGCAGATGCTTCTTGGGCTTGATGGCAGCATCACGACTCTTGTAGGCGCAACGGACGTGGTAGCCACGGCCTAGGTCGGTGATAAGCTTCAGGTGAGGCTGTAGCACAATCGTGTTGAAGAACTCAATGCCACCATCGTCCTGAAAAAAGTAGGGAGAATGTTATTAACCCAATCAAACCATAATTATACGCTACATTATGCTTAACACCCAATGGCGTTGTTATTATGTGAGTTTAGATTCAAAATTATTCAAATTTCGGAATTATCAACACCCATTAGGTAAAAAGAAACCCTAAAATTAAAACTCAAGAACCTAACAAGACCTGAAAACTTTCTTCACCTCATGCTACATAAATTCAAATGGGAATTAAGTATAATTTTAAACATCGAATTACCACCAACTGACAAAAGACTTGAACAACAACCTTGTTCGCCCTCAATTCAGCTATGGCACTAGCCACTGGTCACCGGCCAGTCTGGTTACCGGCCAAAGCTAATGCTAAGAAGCCATAGATATCACCGACCTGAACCCGAGAATAATGGTGGCGGGGCCTCTCCTCATTATGCATTCAGAGATTCACGCTCGGCTGCGTCCAGAAATCGCTTGGAAGTTGAATGTGCGATCTAGAGACAGACATCACTAAATACCAAGTGGTGTCTTGGGGCTACTATGGAGCACTTCCTGATGTTGCCATCAGAATGGTGCTAAAGCTGATCAGCCAGGTGTAACGTCTAGCCGCCAGGAGACCTATGGGCCCTATCTCCTCGCAAATTAGCCAAGATTGCATGATGAATTTTAATTAACACTTGTTACATTGAAAGGTGGAAAGTCCCAGAAATATGATGCAATTTCCATGAGGAAGCGTTTTTCCCTCTACAATCTATTTTTTTCTGGAAATTCAAAGTAGGGTTTATTTTCATAATCTTTTAAGATGGATCTTCATTTCTATAAAAAATTGGGTTGGGCGTAAAGATTATTAATTACGTATGTTAGGAGACAGAATATGAGTTAAATCGTGGTCCGAAAAACGACAAATCGCATTCATTTTTCTGAATAATTCTTTTCCAAGCTTAAGACTTTTTGCTAAGTGTTCTTCTAACGGTTCTCTCCCATCGGCGATTGTGCTAATTCCAAAAGGCAACACCAACAAATCGAGTACACACTCACCGGCTTTGGTAGAAAGGTGAGGTGGTAAGGTAATGACGGAGGCAAGAGGCAAGAAGTATAGTACATCGGTGGCTCGCAGCTCGGAAGTTTTGTAATTGGGTCTCTACAGATTTGGGCACGGAAGTTCTCCGCTTAAGTGGGCCCTCTTCTTGGCTGCAGGCATTCTTAATTGCCAGCCCCGATGTTTGTTGTTATAGCCGGGGCATTAATCGGCCAGAAGAAGTTGGCTTTAAGACGCAGCCGGTGTGCGATTTATTGCTCAACGAGTTTCCGTCGCTTGGCATTGTCTCTAATGATTGTCTGTCTGTCGGCCTGCCTGCCTGCCTGGCTTAAAACAAGACGAGAAATGGCCAAGAAACTAAATAAAAGAAAGACTGGGGAGGGGCTTCCTTTTGTTGGCCAAGTCTCTAAGAACCGTTGACAGTTATGTTCAAGTGTCGGTTCTCAGCGTCCCAGCATCTGGGCATCATCATCTCAAGACAATGGGCCAATAAAAAGCATAATAAAGTGACATTTGAGATTTCCAGCACAAGACGCGGTTGGTTGGGGGCTGGGTTCTAACGGTAGAAAAACCTATTATGTCATTATAACACTTCTCCGCCCAAAAACGGTGGTGGAAAAAGTGTCAAAAAAGGCATCCCAATGAGCTAAAATTATTATGGTCATTGTGCATCCGAAAACAGGTTCATGCTGGATACTCCCACGCATTTGCCTCCATTTCGACCAACCATTTGACCTTCGATCCAAACACGGCAGCACCAGCAGCAGCAGCGGCGGCGGCATTAAAATATCAATATCGTCAATAAAGCGCTTACATGTTTGTACACTTTTGGCCTTTTCATGGTCATCCGCCGACATTGGCGGCCAACGAACGCATTACCAGCCGAGCACCAACAGCCAACGTCGAAGCCGTCAGAACAAATTGATTTCGCTGTGAAACGAGCTTACTCGCTGAGCTATGAAAAATTGTTTTTAATGGAAGGAAGCCCACTGATTCTAAGATGAGCAAAACCAATTTATTTTTAATTGAAAGCTGTGTGAGGTGGCATGTCTTGTAAAATAGCTTATACATTTATTAAGATCCTTAGGTGTTCCAACAATCTACTTAACAAAATGTATTGTTCCAATCACCCTTATTGAATTATCAATCAAGGCACTTGCTGAGCTATGAATAATTGCGTTTAATTAAATCTCTTTTTTCTGATTCTAAGATGGCAGCAATTAAAATTTAATTAAAAATATTGTGTTTGTTGGCGGGAGACCCCAACCCTTGGCGACCCTGTGAGTACCTGTTCGTGGCTCATTTAATTATGCTTGACATGCGCACAGCTCACAGCACTCTCGACCCTCGGATCCGACTCCGTTGTCGGCTCCGGCTCCGTCTCTGGCAGTGGCAGTGGCAGATGTGGCGGCGGCTTGTCACGCGACTTTTTACACTGCAATGATCTCATCGCAACTATGACGTAAGACAGGATGGCTGGCAAGCGATTGCCATTAGTGAGTTGCACGCTGGATGAGACCTGCTCATCGTGTTTAATGACAAACATTAAAAAAAATATCTCCCTGTCCCGGCCTTGGACAGTCTCTGTTGATTTTCCAGCTGGGCCCACTGACTGGGCTTAAAATAATATTTACCGATTCTGAATTATTGAACGAACTACGAACGTAAATTCGTTGGGCCAACACAATCGGGCAAGGCGGCGAAGGACAAAGCAATGAAAATACAAAAGACTCAGGCAACAAACTCGAAATATGCGAAGAATACTATATACGTGCTATGTACTCAGAGTGTGTATTTATGCAATTTGTGCCTGCACTGGTCATAAAAAATAATGAGAGAAGCGTTGCAGTTATATATTTTTAGACGTTGATTAAGAAAATTGCTTTGAAAAGGCTATAAACTTAAGAATCTGTAATCCTAAAAGCTTCCTATCTAGTAAATTGTGATTGATGATTTTCAAACACTATTACGGCAGCTGTTCTTAAATGCAATTGACTTTCTTGCCACATTGCATCGATTGCTGTAACTGCAATTAACATTTGTAATGCGAAAAATTGTGTCAATCCGATCGGGCGAAAGGAAAAAGCAACTAATGGCAACAAACAGCAGCCACAAATTACAAAACGCTCTGGCCCCATAAATGCCGAGAAAATTACATTAATATGTATCACAATCGGGCTTTATACGCGTCGTTGTGGCAGCCGCAGCGGCTATAAAAATGCCTCCGATGCGTGAGCTGCAGCCCGCATTTAGCCCGGTTAAGTGCTAATTGAGATTTCAAAATCTGATTCCAGCACAAACACAGTCCGTTGTTGTGCCCGAATCAAACGAATCGATCGAACGAATGAGCCAATAAATAAGTCGGGGGGCCATATACGTATTAGACAGGCCCAACACCGTATCGAGTCGGATGAAATTTATATGGCACATCTTGGCCGGCCTTTGGATCATTCGATATCGTTTACAGGGACATGGGAGACAGCTTGTCATGCTTGCTTGGGCGGTTCAGATCAAAAATATCAACTAAATCCAAGAAAACTGGTTGACAACGAATCCAAACATGGCGAAAAGTTCGGCTTACTCATCAACCAGTTGCTTTCTTTAACAAAATTCTATCGGTCTTAATCCGACAATCTCTTAAGCTCAACTATTTTTATTAATTGGGAAATACATGTATGAATGTAAGTTCTTCAGACCATCCACTGTATCAAATGACTGCCATTTTAGTTGGAGCCATCAAATCGCATCATTAGTTTAGCCGCAAAAGGTGCGTGAGCTGGCCTTTTCAATTGACTAATCATCGAGGCATTATGGACCTTACCTTGTAACCAATGAGTCTCCAGTTGCCTTATATGTCTATAAGCTTAATTTCCAATTTTTTATTTGCATGCCAAAATGGTAGAACAAGTTGGCTTGGACATGGCACCACCACCAGCACCACCTGACATCTGCCATTCAGATGAGTGGGTGCGTGTGGTTGTGGTTCGTTGACTTGCGACGCCAATGAAATTCTAGAGCTAACAAACTTACCGTTTCCTTGGGCATCGTGTTGCACGATCTGAGAGGCAGCTTGTACCGCAGGGAGCCCACATGATCTCTGCAAGGAACATGGATTAATGCAGATAAAGTCGAGGATCCAATCTGAAACTGCCATCGATTACTCACCTGTATTCGCTGAGGCATGTGGAGTTCTTGGATAGGCCTTTCGGGTAAATCATTCCACTGAACAAACCCGTCTCGTGGTTCGGAGGAGCATCTTTGATGGTGATCAGCATCGAACCCGAAAGGCACTTGATCCGCACACTCGGCTCGATGATAGCCCTTGGTGTGGGCGTGGCCTCCGCCTCCGCCGCTTCAATGGCCTCACTCAGCGAGCTCTGGGCATCCTCTGCGAAAGGAAAAAACGAAAATCACGCAATGTCAGGAATTATAAAATGCAAACAGAAGATATTCATGATAGGCCCACTCCCAAAAATGGACTGTTTGCGCAGCTGAAAAACAACAGTAAGTTGTGGCAACGAGGATGTTGCATCTGCTGCATAAACTGCAACTGCAACAACCTCAAGATCCGTTAGCCCCCGTCCATGAGCCAACAATGGCCCATGGGAGCAGTATTTAGTAATGGACTGAAGCTTCAAGCCAGCATGCGGAAGACTAAATCAAAAAATGCCGGTACACAGGAAAAATAAATTCCACCCTGTAGTGATAGGTCTTTTCTTTGAAGTAACTTTGTTGGCCAAAATTGTTTTAAGTGCTCGCTCCTGACATTGAAAAGCCATTGAAGCGGCAACATCGAAAAATCAGCAGCAACATGGGGCGCAAACATGGCACAGAAGCAAGGTAGGTGCCTTGTGGCCATTAGAAAGATGCCACGGTGCCACAACTCCAGCTGCAAGTTCCTTGAACTTCAGCGGGCAGATCGAGTCATGGCCCGGGATTAGGTTGGGCTGTGTGCTCTTGGCATTTCCTGCTCTGAACAAGCAACTTTAGATTGCAATGCCAAGAACTCAGAGCTGATGACGCTTCTTCGTTTTTTTGTGCCAATGGACCCAAAGAAGGGTACACAGCACAACACAACAAAAAACACACACAATTGGCCAAGAAAGCAACACGAATCCGAGCCAAATCCGAGCACGTTCGCCCTGGCAGTATACACACTGTGCCCGGAATGGGATGCGATGTGGCCCGATGGGATGCCGCCTTCGGTCGGGTTCAGTTGGTTCAACGAACCTTGCAGCATTTCGCATCACTTACTGCGGTTCTTGGGCAAAGTAATTGCATGCAACACGGCCATCGTGGCACTCAAGCCGGTTTCTTACTGGAATCCCATCCAGTCGACGGCTGCCTGGCACATAAAACATTTAATGGCTTTCTATTATGTATAATTTTATGGTCTCCAGAGGCGAGCCGAACTGCAGTTTCTCAAATAGAACAAACTAGACTAAGGTAACAATGAATCGCATAAATTACACTTCTCCAACAATCTGTTCCCCTCCAAGATCTTACACGCCAAGTACAAAATACAAAGAAAATGCAAAATTGAATTTCTGGGCCCCGGCAGCCTTTCAGAACTAAATCATCTTTTCAGTTTTTACTTTACGAGAAGTGTGTATCGTAGTTTTTATGTAAATTACTGATTGTAATAAATTTTTTGTGGAGCATAAAAATGGAGGCATCTGCCACAGATATGGAATCATGTTGGGACGAGAAAGACGACTTGGTTACCAAGAAGACAGTGGACTCCCTGGCCGCTGAACTGGCTGCTGCCATAACTGGGAAGTATATGATGAAGAAAGAGTCAACCAAAATCTGTCCAGTCGAGATTAAAGAAGTCTCTAGTCCTAAGGTAATCAAGGATAATATACTTGATCCATCTGTAGCTTTCAATTTTCTAGCTTCTAGTAAGTGACATGACGAGTGATACATGCGTGGCTTCTGAGAGTATAACGTGTGTACTTCTAATATTATCGTATATTATGGTATAAAATATAACTATTTATTTTAGTTCCTTTACCTCAACGGAAACTGTCGCCGAGGAAAAGGACCCCTTGAACAAATCCTTTAGTTGCCTGCCCACAAAAACCCCAAGTTCTGAGATTCTCATGTGCAAACAACCGCAAAAAACCAAACTAAGCACTCACATTCTTCGCTTGCTCAGCGATTCCACTACCGGTGACTTTAAGGTCTATGTCGGGAAATACAAATTTCTTTGTCACCTCACCATTTTGCAACTGCACTCGAAATACTTCAGGAACAACGTTGATATAGATACGCGGAAGGTTCAGTTGCCCGCGGATAAAGTCACTCCCTCGAGTTTTTATGTCCTTTACAGCTGGATGCTGGACAAGAGAGCGAAGACCAAAAACCAAAAATGTCGTTGTTGTTTGGTGGAATTATACAGTGCAGCCAAGTTTTTGGCCGTTGAGGATATATTAGAATTTTGCTGGACGGTAGCCAGTGGGGCTGATATAAGTGGCAGTCGGGCTGTTGCTCTGTTTTTGGAGGCTCTTTCTTGGGATATACCCGAATTCAAGAACATCTTGATATCTCGTATTGGTGACTTCTTCCTGCCCCTGGTGGCATCCAGGGAGTTTGTGAAATTGGATATTTATTCGGTTCGGGAGCTGCTGAGCATGAACAGTCTGGGTGTAAACAGTGAAATCGAGGTGGGGATACTGAGCAACCTCATAACTTTTAATGACTTTAATTCATTTAACTAGATCTTCATGTCTGGAGTGAGGTGGCTTAGCCACGATTGGGTAAATCGTGCAATCTACTTGGAAATGATAATGGAATGTGTGCGTTTTTTTCTGCTACCACCACCCTTCCTTCGGTACTTGGTCGGTGATCAGGACACACATATCTTTGATGTCATTTCGAAGAACAAAAAAATCGTGGATGCCATCTACAAGGTGTTCGTGTAAGTTTTCATAACTAATTTCATTACTTAAGTAAAAGTCCCTAATCATCTTCGATTCCCTCTTAAGTCAAACTTCTGCTGAGCTATGCGATTTAGCGCAGTGTGCAGTGGATCAGGATTTGAAGTTGGTGGAGCAGAGGAACTGGATATACAATCCACTGTGTCCGTACCATCGTGAGCCAGCAGGTAACCAGGGGCAGTTCTTCACCTACCAGCAATTCCTAGACTACCTGGAGACGCTACACGATTCGCCGCCCGTGGCTCTTGACTCCTAGGTCACGGAGGTTTCCGCAAACTCTCAAAATTCAGCAAAACGCAATGTGAAAGCCAGAAGGAAGTGTGCCGCAATATTTGGGCAGTTGCCGACGCGGCTGCCTTTCATTAAAATAGGCAAGGCTCGAACCGCTAAAGCGGCTTAAACAGACAGACTTTTGTTTGCCCTGTTGGCTTGTTTCTTTGGCCAAACAACAGCCAGGAGATTTGGCAACCCGAAGAGACAACAGCGAGCCGCAACGGCACACTTGGCGCATTTACTTAACAATGGCAACAAAGGCTGGCTGGGATTGAAGCGGAGCTTATAATTGGGTAATAGTTTGGAGGTGAACTAATGCTTCATTGGAAGGCAGAAATAGTCACACTTTTCGTAGTCTTGAGATTTTTAAGATAATGTACCAAGACAGATTAAATTAGATAACAAACCAAGTTACTTCCTTAATGTTTTTAGTAAGTGTTAGTAAAGGTTTCGGTAAGGAGCTATATATTAGATAGGATTTTTTTATTTTATGTGATTTCTGCTCTCCAATTTTTCAACACTCTGAAACCAATTAATCGGCGGTCTTTGTATTTATTTTCATTTGATTTCTAAGCCCCTTTCTCCACAACTCTTTCTCCCCATTCATTGTCCAGCATCGAGGCCCAAAGAACTTGGCTTAGCGTCCTAATAGATAGATTTATGTACTCACTGACTGCCGTTGGAATCTGCGCCGCGTGCGCCGCCAGAGCTGCGATTGTCTGCAAAGAAAGTGGAGACAAGTCACTCATTAGCATAGTTGGCATATAGGCATTAGGCCATCCGATCGAATGGCTCTCCCGGCTCTCCACTTGGGGCTCCCGATTCTCGACCCCCAACCGCTGACATAAATCACCGCAAGCCGACAGTAAGTCGCCGGCCTAATCCATCGCCAGTAAGCTGCTTTAATTAAAGTGCAGGGAAATGTGGAAATGCCGTGGAGACGTTCGAGGAAAATTTCGTTTTCGTGTCGCTGGCAGGCCATTTATGGCAAGGCATTATATTCTCACGATTCTAAAGGCATGGCGAAAAACTTTCGCCAGCATCATGGGTTAGAGTTGAGCCTCCAGAGCACACCATAGCCACTCGGAACCTGATCAGAGACGAGGTTGAGTTCGGGGCCAAGCGGCTTAGAGCTTAGAACGGACCAGGCGAAGTCAGCTGGAGTTGTGCCACTTTTGGCAACTTGGCGGGAATCGCGCTTAGCATACGGAGGAGGCCAATTCAGCAAAAGCAACTCTCATATCCAGGTTAATCGCATTGGCATGCAATTGTCATTCAGCGGTCTCCGGCTGATTGATGTCTTTTGGCCGACATTCTGCCAATTTTCCATTTCGATGACGCTGGAACTAGAGACCCAGAGAACCCGTCGAGTACTTACGATTAAGTGCAGCGCCGTGTAGAAAATATCCATTGGAGTGGCAGTCTTCATAGTGCGACCTGCAAGAAAAATGAGAGAAAAATTTCAATATTAATGCGGATCGCAAAAACCTTGGCAAATAGTCAAAAACCCAAAGTTCAAAACCGGTTTCACACCCACACCAAAAGGAAAATACCTCGTATCGAACGGATTATGCTAAATCACTCGAAGACAACAATTCTGTAATGAATTTCGTGGCCCAAAGGCAAACTTTCTGTTTGCCAATTGGGTCAAGACAGCCCCGGCCCAGCCGAAATGTTGGTTCGCGTGCGGGCTTATTGCAAATGGGTTAACATCGGCAAACGGTACATCAAGGAGGTTGTTGTGGAATCCACGAGGTGCCACAGATCGAGCACAATGTAAACAAACATCCGTCAAATGCAACTCATTGGAGGATGACTTTGTCTTCCGCCTCGAAACTTGCTCAAGACGGGAGCTCCAGAAGCCGCCGCAGTATTACGAGATATTAAAGACATATCAATAACCCGTGACAAACGCTTTTAAACTTCCTGTCGAGCGGTGAGAATAACAGGCCAGTCATGGCCAGGAAGACATCAATGGGGTTGGTTAGGACACGGTAAAAAATAAGGTGGTCCTTTGGGCTTACATGTCTTTTATCTTTTAAAGATATTATATTTAAATCTTGTCTTTTGATAAATGAGGCTTAATTGAATCTAAGAAGAAACATTATTTCAGGCACCTTTCTGAAATAAAAGAACCTTTCTAAACTAAAAAAGGTAACCCATTTTCCACGCACTTTTTCCAGTGCATTTCGATCATTATCTTGGGCGTCTCAAGGCAACAACAATCAGCTTAAACTGATGGCCGAGAGGCGATAATGATTTGTTGTTTATACCGGAGCCGATGTTGCTGCCAACACACTTCATTCACGGCAATACAAACACACACACGGCGATTGCGATGATGTCACAAGACCAGCAACCATCCACTAGCACTCGAATCCAGTCCAATCCACTCACCCCGAAACGAGATACAAAATACAAGATATATACCGATATAGATACAGCTCGAAAGACTCCGGGTTATTATCCAAGAGCTGTAATCTCTTTGGGAGTCTGGTTGTTATTGAAATTGGTTCGCCAGCATACAGCTCGGGAAGAAACGCGGAATTGGGTCAATAGATATGAGTTGAAATTGATAAATTGTTGGCATTATGCACTGAGCACACGTCAATTTGTCAAAAGTGTGTGGTGTGCTGGCCCCACACTTCCTGAACAATGAGCAGAAATAAACGGATTGGAGATCGCAGCCGCCACCAGACAGCAACCAGCAACCGGGCACAAACGTGGCTCAAAGCCAAATGCAAATTGGCAAGCCGGCTAACAACATCCCACAGCGACAATGCTAGAGCGCGTACTTCCACTGGCATTGCAATAAATTAGCTAAAATTAGCCAAATGACGCAAGCGGGCTTAAACAGAAAAAAAAAAAACAGAAATTGAAAACGCAGCTCATGCAGGCAATAAAAAGTCAGTCGGGGAGTCGTCGCAGCACGCCAACGAACATTATGAATAATGACTTTGATTGGCATCTGCTCTCGTTACCCAGTTGGAAATTCACAAAAAAAATGTAGACAGGGAAAATAAAAGCTAATGCCAAATGGAAATGGCAACTACGGCTGACCTTCAATTATCTGCGATCAGTGATAAGGGAAATGGCAACGAATTGGGGCAGAAAATGATAGAGATTCCCGAGGCACATGGCTTAGCATTTCCTGCAGCTGTAGCTGAAGCTTATTTCCTTTTGATTTAGGATTCCCCACACGAAGCCCCACAACTCCAGACTAGAATATAAATTATATAATTTCCTTTCCATTGAATGACTCATTCTTCGATCGATCGATGGCATGTGCAATCGCCTGTAACGGATATTTCAAGTGTCGATTTGAATTCATTTGACACACATTTCAAAAAAGCATTCCAAATAGCACCAAGCTGGAAACAAAAAACTAAACAAACAAACACAGACAAAATGGGCCGTGCAACTGAATAAATTTAATGGGTTTTGCGTGCACGACGAGCCAACAAAGTTGTGTTTTATTTATTTAAAGTTTAAACAATTGCATTTTCATTGAAGTATATGCTCTGTTAATGTGGCGGCAAAATGACCTCGCGTGTTCCCAGCTCTAACGTAATTTATTTGCGTTTAAATACCTGGTTGAGGTATGCAAAAAAAAGGTAACAAAATAGTTGGTTATATAGTTTTTGAAATGCACGCTTAACTTTACGGCTTTATGCTTCAGCAAAATTGCTTGGGAAAAGAGCATACAAGCCAGAAAAATGTATGAAAAAAGCGCGTAACTGTGCGTAAAATTGTTACCAAGCCGAATATCTCAAATTACATTGTTAATTGGCCATTAAATTATCTGGGCCGTGCGAGACTAAACACTAAACACTCCAATCAAAGGGAACGGACCTCCTGTTGATCTCGATCGTTCATCAACCCCGAAAACTAGGTGATCCACATAAGCTTCGCATTAATCTTGGGAACCCTTTTTCTGGCTCGACTTGGAAGCTAGTCAATTAGAATATCTGACGACTCCCATCGCTGGAGATCTCTCCAGATCTGGTTCCAATGCGAGTTGGCCAACGGCAATGGCAAAAATCACAAAAATAAAAAAAACACAACAAATCTGTGTTAAGCACACAACACACACTCGCACACACGTAGCGATATTAACCACAATACTACACTAACGTGGCCTGACCCATTTGGAACGAGGGTTTCGGCGGGGGATTCTAGCAACTTTCGGTTGCGGTTTGCCATTAAAATGGGAAATCTCCGATCTGCGTCGTACATCTCTCTCTAAGGCCATAATAATGTGATCAATCAGCATAGCGATGCGTAAAGCTAATTTTGCTGCAATTTCGCTGCCATAGAAAGTAAGTTTGGGGCCGGGTTATGGGGTTTTAAAGACCTACGATGTAGCCGAGGATTCCCAAGATGCAGTGCCGACTTTGTCCCGCATTGTTCTTAATGATGCTAATTAAAGACGAGTCGAACAAAAAGGGCACAATCGCAGCGCGGCTACTTTTTCGTTTTGTTTCTTTTACAGTTCGAATGGGGTCAGAGACTTGGCTTTAATGTTTGATTTCGGGTCTTAGCTTTTACTTTTACCCAAAGACTGCTTCTAAGGCCCAGGGGTCTTCGGTGCGTGCTAATCAAGCCCAAAAGATCAATGGCAATTGAGGCATCGACTTTCACCTGCTTGTGTATGCAGGCGCTTCGGCTTCAAATTAGAATTTTAAATGCCAAGATCACACAATTAGCTGCACGAACAAAACAATGAGATCATTGTGGGGCTATATTTTATTTGTAATTAATACGGCTTCCTAGTTAAAAAAGAAATTTGACAAATAAGAAATTAGATTCTATAGTGAGTTTCTAATTCAATAACTTATCACCTAACCAAGGTTTTCAGAAGTGTTTCTGACATTTGATTGGGAAATGCTAACCGTTTTAGCTCCCTGTGGCAGCAATTAAGGTAAAGTCAACGAATCGGAACCAACTGTGTTTTTACCTGGCAATCGCGTCAAGGTCATTGCAATTGTCTCGTCGTCGCCGGCGCAGTGTATTGTATTTTTCTCCGGCATTTCAACAAAACACAAATGAGCTAACAATGCTTTAATTTGCTGTTGGCCAATTGCAATAAACGCCAACGCCGATTCCGTTTATAGATTTTTATTTGGCCAACAACAACAGCAGCAACCTCAGCCTTTGTTAATTGACTTTTGGCCACAATTGGCCATTAGTTAAATGTGAGAATTTGAAGATGAAAGGCGCATCATCAAAGTCAGAGTCAGAGGGGGAGAGAAGAAAACCTGACCCCACCTTCTTGGCCAAAATGCTGCGTTGACCTGGTTGTTGCCACACGCAACGCAGTGGCTGCGCCAAACTGGAGCGTGGAGACGTTGACGAGTTGCCACATTTTGTGCGAACCAAGTTTGGGTGAGACCACAAGATGGCCAATTCGAATTGCGTATTTTTTCTACCACTTGCTGTTATATAAGTTCTCTGCAAATGGCTAGCGTCTTCGTTTCGGCCATGTGGATTTGTCAAGTTGTCCAATTTGGCTCAAACGCTGACTGGCAATATGCAAACGTCATTGCCTATTGGACACCCACAAATGGCAGCAACAACATTAACGATGTAGGTACCCTGCGGCTCAGCCTAAAAATATATTTTCTCTCTCGTATTTTGACGCCTAATTTTTGTGGGTTACAAGTTTTGCGGCTATTCAGCCACAAATACAAAAAGTTAACGAAAAATAGGCGAAACAAACAAACAGCAAAGAAATTCGCATTGAACGTGACTTGAGCTAAGCCTGAGACATGAATGTGTTTGATTTTTATCAGCCGGGTCTACAATATTTCAGTTTAAGCCATTTACTCTTTTTTGCCTTTCTGACTTGGCGCCCATTGTTGCCCGCTGTTTTTTGTACATTTTTTTTGCTTGGCCTGAAGGCAGAGCCGAAACTAGTTTTTTGTAGTTCCGTTTTTGCCTCGGCTTCAGGTTTCTGGCCGTAGTTTTGTTGTTGGTGTGTCTAGAAGTACTTAAAATGGAGGCTTCCAGCGACATTGGCAACAGCTACTGCTGGTCAGCAGGCTGAGCATGAGGCTAATACGTCATTAAAACCCAATTTATTGAGAGCTTTTCGTTTTTTGTTTTTAAATGCATAAGCTTCTGCTGGTTGGAGGGAATCGCTTGATGAGCTAGAGACACGGGCGTTGCTAATTACCAGCAGCAGCACCCAGTTCTGACCTCATCCGAATTTTAATAACTTTATCCGAGTTTCCTTGGCTTGAGTTTCTACATAAATGATCTCATGTATGGCTTAAAATAGGGGAGAAACTTGGCTGCAGGCAATGGAAAATAAATGAAAAACCTCATAAATTTACATAGAAACTATAAAAATTAATTACCTGAACATTCTCTGAGAAGAGCCTGAGAGAATCCGATCTGAGAAGTAAAGCCAGTTCAAAAGTCTTGGCCTGCCACACCCCATCTAAGGTTGGGATTTGAAAGTGTTTCGGAATGAATTGTACAAACTCGTATTCAACTGCAGTTGCTGGTTTTTATTTCTTTTATTTTTTTGCGTGGGGTTGGTCTAAGAGCCTGCATTTAAGACCGCTTTAGTTTGCCAATGTTGATTTAATTCGCCTGACATGGCCAACCGAGGGGGAGTTGGTTGGAGTTCGAGCAAATCGACTAGCCAGACGACTTTTCATTTTGGCCAAACAAAAAAAAAAACAAACACGATATCCAATGCACATTGTCCAGGCCAGCAGGGAACAAAAAAAAATAAAGCATATGACTCACAAAAACTGACTTGGGCACACCTTTCGCTAGCGAAACCCACAAGCAACATTTTGGGTTTTTGCATAATTAGTGACAAGCGCCAACGAGTCGTATGAGTAATTCACCCAAAGACCCAAGTTCGTTGCCTAAGTCATTCGTTTTCAACTGTAAATCGATATGTGCGCAAAAAAATACGGCAAAGCGGCAAATCTAACGTTGTAAAGGTCTTAGCCTGGTTGAATGAACTCTTCTTTTTGGCGCTTTCTTTGTCAGTTCTTCGGCAAGAGGTTATTAATCAATCAAGCCACCTTTGTCGGAGATGCCCACACACATATTAAAAGCTTAGTTCATGAACTCCCAAATCTGCATGTTTTTTGTTCAGTATTGAAATAATTTTCGAAACATTATCCGATGAAGAAGTGAGAGGAAGTCTGGTCTTTATATTTCTCAGTTAAGTGCCTCAAACGCTGAGCCATAAAAATCATACACACAATGCTTTTAATATTTTTCCGTCTTCATTTTTATTTTGTGCCCGCTTCAAGGTCACTTGAAGCTGTTATATAAACAAGTTAACTACGAGCTCGCCAAGAAACTGGTATTCAAGCAACTCGAGCTCGGATTCGCCTTTTAATTATACAAATTTTACGCTTGCGTTGGCGTTTCTCAAACATGGCATTCCGAGAATAGACAGCCCACAGGTGAGAGAACCGAATCCAAGACAGAAGTTGGCGGAGGCAATCGGATGGATGGGCGACCCTCCAGCAAGCGTATGTCAAAAATGCAATTATTTACAACAAAAGGCGTTGCATTCAACACAGATAAAGACCATTACATTGGCCAGACAATATTTTGATAGCTAACAAACCACAAATTAACCAATTAATAGGCCGTGCATCACCAGGAGAGGGAAAGGCTGCAGCCGAGAGTTCCCATTCCCAGTCTGCGGATGATGCAAGTGTCGGATCGGGATGGGTCAATGGAAACAGACCTCCATCAATCAAATTTTCTAATTGCTTCTTTAGACGCCAACTCGCACGACCTCATCCACCGACAAAACGAACATAATTACAGACCTCTACGGATGGCTAGATCTTCCATAGAAGTGCTAAAAAGTTCGTCTGTCGGTTCATGTAGAACTTTAAGCTTTTCCCAGGTACATACAAAAATGATAAACTGGGGGGAATTGGAAAAATGTTGGGTCAGCCAATTAGCAACAGATTCTGACTTCATAATAACTTCACACACAGTGTGGAAAATGTGAATGGACCCACCCGGAATAGTCGATGACACATTACTTATGCCGCGCACATCCAGGAATGGGTATTGGTAATGAAAACAGGGATTTGGGAAATGGGAAAAGCGGATACAAGACGGATGTCCGTGATGTGGCTGTTTAAATAGGTAGCCACGCCATCCTAGCCATATTTGTGTCCCCAGCCATCCATCAGATGATGTAACTACCCGGCGAACTTGGCAGCCAATTTTGGCCACAGAGTCAACCTTGGCAAACAGGTTCAGATATATCCATGTAGACGGGGACAGTTTTGTTTCTGCAGAAACGCAGATAAAGACCGTTCCATTTGCACAGAAAACCGATTGCACTGCTCCCAGATGGGTCTTCTTTCAATTCAGTTGAGGCCCCCCCCAAGTACAAGTATTCCACGAATTTCGAACGCAACTAACCGGTTTGGCTGATGGATTTTTGGCACATCCACAGCGTCTGAAGTCGATTTATGAAGTCATCTTTTAAAGCATCGGGTTTCGAGTTTTGCAAACGGCAAGACTTTGAAAAGTGCATGATTTTTTGAGGGTTTTCTCTTTTTTAGGATCTACCACTCACCTCTATAGCCAACTTCGCCCTTTTTGCGTAATCCAATTAGTTATGTGGCCCGTTGTCTTTTTATATTTTTGTTTGCTTGTTTTCGCGATTTTGCTATGGTTTAAACTGGTTGCCCAAAGCGATGATGATGATTTTTTAAATATATTTCCAAAAATTTTGTTTCACATGAGTTTCAGCTTTGGCGGCAGGCATTTAATTGATTTTTGCTATTTTTTTGTGTTGTATATTTTTTAACGGGCTTCCTCTATAATTTTGTCGTTTTGTGGCCAACACTCGTTTTACATGTTAACGCTGGGGGGAATTACACAAATAAGAGACTTTTGAAAAGAGACCGAAGAGCGGATAAGAGAGCAAAGTCTCCTTAGCAAATTGTGGTAAATAATCCAAGCTGTTGCTGTTGTTGCTACTGCTGCTATTACCGCGATACAAAAGACTGAAGCAACAAACTTTCCGACACTTTTACACTTCCCCTACACTACGAAGAAAACAAACGCGAAATATTCAAAAGATTCACAAATCATTCAGCACGTATTTTGCTGCTTCGGTTCAACCACCCGTCGAGCTTAATCATTTCCCAAGGGCAACAACAATCAGAAAACACGAAAAATATCAAAAACACACAACAGCAACAACCGCAACTTAATTTTTTTTTAAATCTCAAAACCCAAAATAAAAATCTTTTAAACCAAGGCAATGCCGTTTCCAATTCGTTTGCACGATCCAATTAGAACCGGGTAAACGGAATCTTAAATTCTAACGCACTCTAAAATCTAACACGCACTCGAATATGTTTACGAATCAAATCGAATCGAATCGGATCGAAATCGAATCGAAGCGGAGCGGAGCGGGTCGGATCTGTCGTGCGATCCGCTTTCGTTATATGGTTGTGTCTCGCACACCAACCTGGCCAAGACTGACAGAGCCAGACAACGAAGCCTAGTGCTCGCACTCGGAGTAAAATAGTTAAGACGTCTGGCCAACAACCGGTCTTGCCAAGATTCGGAGTGGCGTCGCATGGCGGTTTCGGAGTAATTGGCAATACGGCAGCGATTCTCTGAGCTTGCTCTTAAAAATAACTCTCTACTATATTCCTGCTTTATTATTTTTACGAGACTTGGTGTTGTTGGCAGCTTTTCAGCAGCAACACCCAGCTGCGACCAGTCGAGTTGCACTTGATAGACATACTTACCTACAGTAGTTTGGAACTAAAATAGTTGCGACTGAGGGCCACGCTCCGCTGACTTCCTTTCCTACACCTACGGGCCGGGATTTTCTTTCTAATGAGTGCGGTATAATTAGGGGTACGGCCTGTGGTCATCCTATATCTCTAGGGCCCTACAATACACTTTGAGAAATAGTACTTAGAATAGTATATGAAATAAAATACATATTAAAGGCAAATGAGAGCTTCTATAAAATATATTAATATTAAATAAAATATAAAACACTTTTAAAATAAGTAGTCACAACAAATATATATATTAGAGAAAAAGCTCTATAATCATTACATCTATACTCTCGGAAATGTTGGCCAGATTCTGCTCATAACTTGGCAACACATTCGCTGCAATTATGGCCAAATGTGTAGGTTGTTACCAGAACACCTTGATGACGGCATATATAGCCACAGCTACTAAGGCTGATTGACTCAACGGCTTGACTTTCGGTCTGTGGGACAAAGGTTTTATTTTCTTTTGTTTTACTTCTGTCACGCATAAATCTTGAACTTGCATTTACATGCTGTGAACCCAGCACCCTAAAAGGTACCAGTACAGGTAGCAATGTCACCTGGAAAGGTCTCGACTGGGAGTCCTCTACTTCAGCATTTCAGAGTCTTTTTGTTTGTACTTTTAGTTATATCAATATTTATGAGTATTATGCGTGTTCCTTTTGTCGATCCTCAAATGAGTTCTACAAATGCAAGAGTTATTCTTATGAAACGTGGAGGAATTCTTTCGAGGAGAGAAGAACAATTCCTAAGCTAATATTTTGTCTGGTAAACATTTCCATTTTCTTGAAACTATCAAATGTAAAGAATGAGAAAGATGTTGAGTTTAGCTGTCTTTTTGATATGATAATCTTCAAGAGAATAATAAAGTTAACAAAAATACTTCATTACATCATAAAATTCTTCACAATTTCCGCAAAGCCCACACATTTTCTGCGTTCGTTGTGTGAATTATAGCGCCCACACACTTTAATGACAAAGAATGATATATTTAGTGCCTCCATCCCAAGAAAGTTCCATGGCCAAATCCAAGCAACAGTCGTCTAGCTGGGGGGCTTAATAACATATAATCGAACAAACCGAAAAACCACCCCAAAAAAACTGCAACAGGACATGTACGATGTGTCCAGGACACAAACGATTCCCAGAAGTGCCGGCCGGGGAGCACTGAAACAATTACTACTTCCAGGGGTAGCCAGGGGTAACTGTCACTATTTATGTACTCCAGGACTAACAGTTGTTGTAAATCAGATATACTTCGTGTTTCGATTCTAAACGTAGATTCCTGTTCACTTGGAAAACGAATCCAAAACTGAGAAAAATTCGATGTGTGTAGATGATCTAGGTATTTTAGCAATTCAGAAATATTAGAGAAACAGAAGTTTAATCCGGAAATTGGTAATTAATCCACACCAATGGCTGAGCTTTTGTCCCGCGAGAAGGAACTCTTCAAAATTAACCAAGAGCTCAATTTGCTGACACTCAGCCCTGCCGCCGATGCCATGTTCGCTGGAAAGATGGGAACGGCTGCCACGACCGGAGTGGCAGTGCCGCGATATGCCACATACCAGAAGCAGAAAGGTCCGAGCACATTGCTTCGCAAAAAAGGAGGCAATCAAATTATAGGTGGATCTCAGCTCAAGACAAAGCCGAAAAGTCCACCAGCCTGTGGAGCCGCCACGGCTCGACCTGCTGTCACATCTCCGTTGCCCGAGAAGAATCTGCTGACCAAGTCTAGGACTCTAGATTGGAAGCAGACCAAACACATGGGAGCTCCATCTTCGCCAATAGCTCGACATACGTCCAAGAACGCAACCTTTACGCGGGAGTCGAACAGCAAGACTGCCACTTTTGTCAAATATCGGAATCCCCACTTCAGTGAAAGTCCCTCGCTGGACATGCTCCTGCGGAACGATGCGAACGAGGGAAATAAAAATGGGTCCCCCCCTCCAGTGGAGACAATCCAGAAGCGAGAGAGCACTACTGTCGTCAATGGATTGGCTAAAAAACAGCTCACCCAAGATAACTACATCAAGTAAGTGTGAAAGAAGATAATTATTTTATTGATTCCCTTTCAGATGTGACTTTTCTTTCAGATTCCTCAAAGCCAAGGTGGCTATTCTGGAGGAGGACCATGCCCAGCATTCTGGCGAACTGGCCCGCCAAAAGGAGCAGCTCGAGATGGCACTGGAAGGGCAGCGAAAGTCCGAAAACCAGCGGGATCAAACTGCTTGCTCCAACAAACACCTATCCGAGCAGCTCATTCGTTCCGAGCGAGCTTGCGAGGATTTGACTCGGCGCCAAAAGGAACGCCAGCAGGAGTTCATCACTCAGCAACGTGAGCTGGAGCAGCTTAAGCGCGACGCCAAGGTGGCCAGGCAGACGAATATCAATCTGGAGAGCCGTCTGGGCCGCGCCCAAGAGGAGGCTGAAGTCGCCCGCAAGACTCTTGCCCAGGTACGAGAGGAGCAACGTGACCAGGCGGAGGTGCATCGTAAGGAGCTTAAAAATCGGGACAGTCGTATCCGGACGCTGAAGCGGCAGCGGGCCGAGCTGCTCAATGCCTACAAGAAGCAACTCTACATGATCGACAACCTGAAGCGCCAGTCCTCCTGCATGGAACAGTCGGCGGCAATCGGTTTCGGCGAGAAGGAGTTCAACAAGGTGCTCGAATGGAATGCAAAGACCTGAATTCATAGACCGGCCAGCTCTTGACATGTATACTTAGCTAAGAAATTAGTGTAAATAAGTTGCTTCCAATTACATTCTATGGTCCCGAAAGTACTAGTCCCAAAGCAATCTTGTTTTCAATCAAGTCCGTAACTCAATTATATCCTTGTGGCGGGTTGGCTGGAATTGGGGTATAAAAGTCGTGGCGTTTGCTTAGATAGCCACAGAAGCATTCACTCGCTCTAGGCGCTCAGACCATCCATAATCCACTGCCCATAACGCTGACCGAAGATTGTAAGATGGCTCTGCGATTCACAGTGACACTCCTGCTGGTGACCATCCTGGTGGCTGCTATTCTTCTGGGCTCCAGTGATGCGGCCTACCGAAAGCCACCATTCAATGGCAGCATCTTCGGCAAGCGGAACAGTCTAGGTAAGCAATCCATAGCTTTTTTTTTTTCAATCCATAGCTTACTTCAATTCCGCTTCAGATTATGACAGCGCCAAGATGAGCGCCGTGTGTGAAGTGGCCATGGAGGCGTGTCCCATGTGGTTTCCACAGAACGAAAGTAAATAGGATCACGCCCTCCGACTGCAACTACGCCTCCAAGAACTGATCTCAAGCCTACGACGAATCCACCAGCAACAAGTGGGGGGCAGATGTCGCACCTGCCCCTGCGACTAATTGGGCGAAACACCGGACGTTAGAAAAGTCATGTATAAAATTTATAGTGTAAGCCGTGCATATACGAACATAGAACTTATGCCATATATAAACATAAAATACTCAATAAACTAACAGCAATGAACTTGTCCGTCCTACTGCTTTGCAACTTCCACGACAGTCTTATAGCTAACCGGCTGATGAAAGGACACTCTTGAGATACAATCTGAATAGAATTAGAATACGGTTTTAAATATATGGCGCTGGATTAGCTAATGAGTCCTGGAGGATCGACTGCGTCCCAATTGCCTCAGTTCATTGACATGCTTGCGCAGATTGGTTATGTATTCTGTCATGGAGGAGGTGAGAGCCTGAAAAAAGATTGTTTTAAATCATTTTTATTTAGTATAAAAAAAAGAATTATCATTTACTCACTGCATCTATAACGTATCGTGGAATATAGCCCTTAAGATCCAGGCAAAGCACCCATTCCACAATGCAGTTATCTGGCTTGCCAACAATTTCGCGAAAAGCGAAACCCGTGACAATGTTCTCGCCTCTGAAAATTACAGAGCTCAGTAACAAAGAAGAAAGTGGGATTGTCATCTAAAACCTACCTGGTATGTTTTGATGCGGGCTTGAATCTATCATATTGAACGCTGCTCGCTGAGCTGACCCACACCTTATCCTTCGTTGTGCCCACGCTAGGTAACTTGGGCTTTGCTGCCATGTCTACCTCGACGTCCAACTTGTCTTTGGCGTCCTCAAACTCATCCTGATCCAACGGTGGTGGCTCGTTATCAAAGTTTATAATGGGACCCAAACTCTTGGCTCCCAAGCTCTGACCCAGGGTATCAAAGGCAGGGGGTGCCTCCACAGATGAACTGGGAAACTTTGCCTTGCAGCTTGATACGCTTCCTGGCAATGGTGTATTGGACTCGCCGTCGGAAATGGTGCTTACACTGCCTTCACATGAACGATTTAGAATGCTGTTATCGTCATCGTCGCTGCTTAGTTGGGCGGCCTCGTCGTCATTGCAGATTTTACCATTATAAAACAGACGCCAGCACCTTAAATTCACAAAATCGCGGCTCTTTACTATGCCACCACCTCCGCCAATAGACACCTGGTAGGTAATGTCTGTGTGAGAGTTGATTTTCTGTAATAATACAATGAGCATGAGATTCATTCCTGAATAGTTACATTTTTCTGTACTTACTCGCACAATCTTTGATTCCAGTAAGGCAGGATTCCACTTGGGACAGTCTTCAATGCGATAAAATAAATCTTCCATGAGAGCTTTAGCGGGGTACTTAATTCGGGCCTTTTGGGTAGAATAAAATATGAAAATAATGTTCATTGCAAGGCGACTTTACTAACTCACAGTTAATTTGTAAAGTTTCCCTATCTTGTCGCGGTGTGTACTGTGGATGGTGTCTCCTTTGGGAGTTACCTTCTCCACCTTCCATTCACTAGACTCGATGATTTCATATGCCTTGCGTAGGCAATCCATGCCCATTTGTATGTATTCCTCATCCTGAAACGGAAAGGAAAGTGGTATATGTAAGTATGGAAACAAATTTCAATCTTCTACCGACAACATCTCGATGTACTCTAATGTATTTTGCATCGGATCTTGGTTTTTATACCTCTTACATCTGTACAAACTCAATCGATTTAGGAATGCGCATTCATGAATATCTTACCTCCTCATCCTCCTCGTCAGAATGATGGGCTGTGTCCAGCGGTGAATAAAAATCAGTAACACTTTGAGGTGGTCGTTCATTTTCAATCAAAATGGATGGCTGCACCAAAGGTGTGCGATCGTTTGAGGTCATGGCTGAATGAAAAAGTGAAAAACTGTATCATAGAATTATAAAATACGCATTTTAGTTAAACCTACATCTGAAGTAATGCTGAGCATGGCGTTCCTGAGGAATAACCCGGCAATCTAGAAACCAAGCTTCACCCCAAGCCAAAATAAATGAGACTATTATGAGGATGACTTCGAACACTTGTTGCTTGGTTTGTAGCCACTAAAAAAGGGAAATCAAAATTAGTTTTCTATCAAAATTTTTTGAAGTTTAAGACTTACATCGAATACAAACACTTTGGATATAAGAAACAAGCAAGACCCACTTGTAGAGAACTAAAACAATACAAATTACTATTTCCATATTATTAGTGAATATAATACAAACCCACCGAAATGATAGACCAGTGATTGATGTACAATATGGCATAGAAAAATATAAGTATTAAAAACCGGAAGATAGCTAGGGCGACAACATCAAAGAGTGACTTGTAAATGGTATATTCCAAAATTTGCTTGCGGAAGGCATTAAATATATTGTCCCCGTCAATCTGCAAAAAAAATGGATGAAAGGATTGTAGTTTTAAAAGAGATGGCATCTGAAATACGTACCACAATGCAAATAAGCCATAGTAGCGATACGAAAACCAAGTCGAATGTAACAAAAAGGCAGAAAAAGCGACGCACCACCGACATCCGGCCATCCTGCATATATCCGGCTAAGAAATCTTCTGTTATCAGGTTGATGGAATGTGCCCGAGCTGGAATGAAATCAAAGTTTAAGAAAGTATGATAAAATCTTACTACCAGTGGCACTTACACATATCATACTGCATGTAGGGATTGTTCCCTTGGCGGGCATTCGTCAAAATTAATTGCGCCGCACTGCGTACATCATTGGGATCGGTTTGAGACATGATTGGATACTTTAATATTTAGCTCATAGTCCCAATACTAAAACAATAAAAAACAATTTGAGTTATCTCCAATTTCACGTAGCTAAGCTGTGAGTAATACTCTGCCAAAGAATTAGTAGATAAGGATTTACCTCTTTAAGACTATGAAACTAGGCTTCAAAACTAGGCCAAACGTAGAAAATTTGTTGATTATCGATGTGCAATATAGTGACTCGTCAGTCCCCGATTTTCTTTGTTTTTTCTTGGACGTAAACAAAACTTATCTTATTGAAGGAACCCGCATCATCAGCAAATGGTTGCCGTAAACTAAATTGGCCGACAATTACAGATACCGCTCGATTGTTTATTGTTTGGGATTCTGAGGCGAAGAGAGCCTTTAACCTAGGTCAATCAATGCATAAATTAATCTATTTAATTATACTTTTAAAAACTACACTGCGAACAAAAGAAAAACCGACAAAGGGTAAACAGCTGTTTGAGAGCGGCCTAGCGAAAACATGAAAATACCAAATCTTATGATAAGAATGCTGCCTCACTAATCAGTATGTTTATAGTATTTTTAATTTGTATATTTTAAAAATGCATAAAATTTAAAATTTGGAGTTAAAATTTATTTACAATCTTGGCTTAATTACTTAAGTGAATGGATATTATTTTGATGTCATCATAGGGCTTGTCTGTCTTGGGATTCGCTTTAGAATTACAAATGTTAAGAACCACTTCCATGCCGCGGTAAACTCTTCCGAAGACAGTATGCTTATTGTCGAGCCAAGGCTAAAATTAAATATTAATAAAATTAAGCATTTAAAAGGAAAAAATAATATTTTTTATACCGTTGGTAGGACTGTTATAAAGAACTGACTTCCATTGGTGTTTGGGCCAGCGTTAGCCATGCTAACCGTATAAGGACGATCGTGTTTCAAACTTGGATGAAATTCGTCCTTGAAATCGTTTCCCCAAATGGACTTTCCACCGGTACCAGTTCCCGTAGGATCTCCTGTTTGGACCATAAAGCCCTTTATTACTCGATGGAATATGTGACCGTTATAGTATCTAAAAGAATAATGAAATAGAGGATGTAACATATAAGTAATGATAAACAAACCATGAAAACAACCAGTGGCGGATTTAAGGAAAAAGGCCCAGGGGCAAAATTTTTTCAGGGTACATTGAAGGGTATTTTAAAGGGGACAGCCCAGAAAATTTGACAAAATATCTTAAAAATATTTTGTTCCCAGATTTTCGATCGATCCACCAATCGTTTAAGGTATTCCGTTCAAGAATAGGATGAATATTTCCTAAGATATGGCCTTCGCAATGGGTCATACGGGGCTCCCCATGCATTTTGCACATTTTGAAGGGGACAGCCCAGAAAATTTGACAAAAAATCTTAAAAATATTTTGTTCCCAGATTTTGATGCAGATTTATGGAGAATCGATCCACAAATCGTTTAAGGTATTCCGTTCAAGAATCGGATGAATATTTCCTAAGATATGGCCTTCGCAATGGGTCATACGGGGCTCCCCATGCATTTTGCACATTTTGAAGGGGACAGCCCAGAAAATTTGACAAAAAACCTTAAAAATATTTTGTTCCCAGATTTTGATGCAGATTTATGGAGAATCGATCCACAAATCGTTTAAGGTATTCCGTTCAAGAATCGGATGAATATTTCCTAAGATATGGCCTTCGCAATGGGTCATACGGGGCTCCCCATGCATTTTGCACATTTTGAAGGGGACAGCCCAGAAAATTTGACAAAAAATCTTAAAAATATTTTGTTCCCAGATTTTGATGCAGATTTATGGAGAATCGATCCAAAAATCGTTTAAGGTATTCCGTTCAAGAATCGGATGAATATTTCCTAAGATATGGCCTTCGCAATGGGTCATACGGGGCTCCCCATGCATTCTGCACATTTTGAAGGGGACGCCCAGAAAATTTGACAAAATATCTTAAAAATATTTTGTTCCCAGATTTTGATGCAGATTTGTGGAAAAGAAATCGAAGGTGTAACTTTCAGCACGAGGGGCCCTGAAAGCCTTTCGTCGGGGGGGCGCAGTGGGCAAGCGCGCCTTTGCCCACCTGTTAAATCCGCCACTGAAAACAACATACTCACCCATTTTTGGCATGAACACAAAAGTTTTCCACGGTTTTGGGTACCTCCTTGAAGAACAGTTTCATGTGGACATCTCCCTTGGTAGTATGAAGAACCACGTTCTCATAAATACGTTGCACAACTAAAAAATGGAATAAATATTAAAATAAGAATATATCCAATAAAATAATTATTTAAATTATAATTTATATATCTAAATAAGTAAAAATAACCTTCGTCTTGAAAATTATTGTGTTAGCGTGAAAGGAAAGATTGGTTAGAGAATTCATAAATAATTAATTCTAGACTTATACCTGTAGCCTCTGGCACTGCAATAATATCCTCCTTTGAGGGTTTCTCATTGAATATATCACGATCCACGTCCTGCAGGTCCGACGGCAGTCTCCTACTGTACAAAAAGAACCGATTTTTTCTGAAAAAAAATATTTATAAATTAAACGAAAAAGTCCTTAAATCCTTAAATTTGTAACCAACTTGTATGCGGTGCAGAAGGCGGTTGGATCATTCAAAATATTCTGTAGAGCCGGATTTTCACTAGCTTCCTGTTCAAGAGTAACTGCTGCCTTTTGTCGTTTAATTCTACCCTGGAATAACGCCACTTGCAAAGGACGTATATTGTCTGTTTTTCCAAGGATAGTAACACAGCGGTTGGTCACCACATTAACCACCTTTATTCCCAGCATTGTGGGATAAAGCAGAAAATGGCCCGTGCTGTCAAACAATATATTGAGGGTGGTATTGTGGGAAGTCTTCTCCAGATCCCTCTCAGCCGCCATCCTTCTACCAAACTCCATATTGGGAAGAGCATGCTGGGTCTGTTGCATTTGAGTGTACGTGGTGAGGGCTTCGTCAAACACACGGATCATCTTTCCCGTGCTGAACTGAAAAACACGAACTTTCCGATCTGTGGAAATGGCAGCGAATCGTTTTCCATCCGGCGTAGCTGCCAGACCTGTAACTTGAGTTTTTTTCTTGGCAAACTCAAATAGGCCTAAAAAGAGTATCAAATTCGGAATCGTTGTAGTTTTTATAAGTTAATTAATACCTGTGTCCAGCTTGGAGTCAAAATTGACCAGACGCTGCGGGAATTTATAGTCATTCTTTGAGTTCTGCCAGTACTCAAGAATCCCATTACGATCTACAGATATTACAGTTTCCATAGCCGCATTGAAGCACATGGCCACCACCGGCGCAGAATGGAGTTTCTCCAAAGTGTGCAACACTTCTCCACCTCCTTGCCCATCATATATGTGTATGCAGCTGCTCTCCGAATCCGATCTTAGAAAGGATAAGTGAATTAGAAGAGATGTTAATCATTTATATAGTTCTACTTACATAGCTAATCCTTGCACTGGATCGGCAGGAGCGTTTATCCATTCACTGCACTGCGGGGTGAAGCCCAGCCGGATAATGTTGATCATATCGAAGTTAACAACATCAAAGACCTTAGCGGTCTGATCTGTGGCCGCCGAGCAGAGAAGGGTGCCACTGCCATTAGTGGTCAGCGATTTGATGGGTACTTAGGGTTCAGAAATGGTTAATTACTTCGCGATGACTCCTTATAAAAAAAAAACCTTACCTAGATGGCTGCGAAAGTGCTTGACGAACTCGATGCCCAGCTCCCCTTTCTTCCAGAACTTGATGTGTCCGTCCAGACTGGCAGTCACCACAAAATCAGACTTGGTGCACACTAGGTGCGTGATAACATCGCGATGCATGTAGCTCCTCTCGTAGCTTTCGGCATTGGGAAGGTTTTCCAGATAGATGTGCTCATAGGGCAAGACTGGTGATCATTTGGATCAGTTAGGAGTCAAATTATGCTGTTTCTAGTTTTTGTTTACCCTTCTTTTTCTTTGCCGGTGCCGGAGCACTTTGTTCCGATGGCATTGGTCCAATCCAGCCGCCATCCTCGGCTTCTGCTTCTTCCGGATTTTGAGTAGATTCGGCTTGATCAGGTGGAGGTGCTTCATCCTCTTCAGGGGCAGAGCGCTTCAGATCAGGTTTCTCGGGATTATCGCTCATTTTCCGGCTGCACAACCACAACACAAAACAAAGTGTGAGATGTTTTTGCCGCCAGCTTTGCTGCCAGGGATGGAAAGTAGCGTAAATCAGCTGTCCCATTTGGCAGATACGTCGTTCCGTGGGAATGGCTGTGAAAATTCACACAAATTGCAAACACAACAAGGCACGGAGATTTAAACAAATTGGTTGTATATAAAAGTGCCAGCCCAGCGATGCAGAACACACCGGACGAGGAGGGCGCGCCGCCGAAGGCAGCGCCGGTGGGCGTGGTAAGCGCCCTGGAGGGAGATGACGGCGGCGGAGGAGGAGAAATCAGCGCTGGAAGTGCAAGCGGAAGCAGCGGCATTATTGTTTTGAGAGCCGTGCTGGGGGAGGCGGAGACGAGGGCGCGGATCAATAAATGGCGGGTTCGCGAGGGCCAGTTCGTGTCGGCCGCGCAAATTCTGTTCCTCTACCAGCCCGTCGGCGAGGATGGAAAGCCATGGCCCGGAGAGCGGAAGGCGGGCGAATCCGGAATCCAGAAGTACAAGTCGCAGCGCGCCGGGGTGGTGAAGAAGCGCCTCCGTAAAGACGGCGAATTTGTGTCCAAGGGGTGAGTTTACATTTGTACATACGTAGGCGGTAGGGTTGCTTCGTGTGCGGATCCTAATATCCGCATCCGCGTTGGCCAATAAGCGAAATGAAAAGCCCTTTGAATTAAATTATTTAAATTTTAATTCCTTTAGATAATAAGTAAGAAAATATAATATGTTAGGAAGCAACTTTTTAAGTAATCGTTTATCAAGGATATATAACGTGGGCTCATAATTCCTTAAATTAAAATACCGGATATTCATATCCGTATTCTAACATCCTTGTTGCAACCCCATGGTAGTGGGCTTTTAGTTGGGCAAGCGGCGCGGTGCATGGGTGGGATGCAATTATGCAGCCATGTCCGTATACACACGAACTGAGCATGTTTTCCCTTCGTCCTTCAGTGATGCCATCCTGGAGTTGTCCGAATGCATACACACCACGGTTATCAAGGACATGTGCGCGGACTGCGGAGCCGATTTGCGTCAGAACGAGAATGTGAGTAAACAACCCGCCTCTTTGCCCCAATACACCCCAACTGACTATTGAACTTTTCTGTTCCAGGGTCAGACCTCGGAAGCCTCGGTGCCCATGGTGCACACCATGCCTGATCTGAAGGTCACCCAAAAGTTGGCCCAGAAACTTGGGCATGATGACACCCGGCGCCTTCTGGCCGATCGCAAGCTGGTTCTGCTCGTCGATCTCGATCAGACGGTGATCCACACCACCAACGACACGGTGCCCGAAAATATCAAGGGCATCTACCATTTTCAGCTTTATGGACCTCAATCGCCATGGTACCACACTAGACTGCGGCCGGGAACGGCAGAATTCCTCGAAAGCATGTCCCAGCTATACGAGCTGCATATCTGCACCTTTGGCGCAAGGAACTATGCGCACATGATAGCCCAGCTTTTGGATCCGGATGGGAAGTTCTTCTCACACCGAATTCTCTCCAGAGATGAGTGCTTTAATGCCACTAGCAAAACAGATAACCTAAAGTAGGTAGTAGTAATTGTTTATTCCGGTTTGGTTACATAATTTGCACATTTCCATAGGGCTTTGTTTCCCAACGGAGACTCGATGGTGTGCATTATTGATGATCGGGAGGATGTGTGGAACATGGCTTCCAATTTAATTCAGGTTAAACCGTATCATTTCTTTCAACACACGGGTGATATAAATGCTCCACCGGGCTTGTCCAAACACGAGTTAGACGGCGAGGGCGTGGACTTCAAAGGTGGGTTCTTTATCCTATAGCTCAAAAGCTTAATTTCTCATAAATTGTTACAATCTTTAGATATTACCGAGAAGAAAGAGGAAAAAGACAAGCCAGAGTCCGGCGAAGATGAAAAGTCGGATGAGGCCGAGAAAAATGACAAAACTGTCTCAAGTACAAGCAAAGATGATGAGGGCACAGAGGAATCTGTAGATGTCGTGGATACCGAGTCCTCGAACGAGCCGATTGACAAGCTCAATGGCAAAACTCCTGCAGACGAAATCATTTCCATTGATGACAGCCCATCCGAAGCTCAAAAGCCTCCTAGTGAGGGTGATGACGTAGTTATTATTGACGAGTCAAACTCTGATAACTCAAAAGAGAGCACAAAAGTCGAGGCTGAGAAAGCCACGTCGGCAGAGGCGTCATCCACAACCAAGTTAGATGAAGACGCTCCGACTTCGGAAGTGGATGCAGCCACCACATCGAAGGACACGCCTCACATTCGTGTGACGCATGACGGCCAGAAGCAGATCGAAATCGAGGATCCCGATGACTATCTTTTGTACTTGGAAGTCATTCTACGAAACATACACAAACGTTTCTATGCCATCTATGATGAGACTATGGAGATACCTGACCTGAAGATCATCGTTCCGAAGATCCGTTGCGAGGTTTTGCGCAGCCAGAACCTGGTCTTTTCCGGTCTAGTGCCCACACAGATGAAGCTGGAGCAGTCTCGGGCCTACTTTATAGCCAAGAGCCTAGGCGCGGAGGTGCAAGCTAACATTGGAAAGGAAACAACGCATTTGGTGGCGGTTAATGCAGGCACCTACAAGGTGAATGCCGCCAAGAAGGAGGCCAATATTAAGGTGGTGAATGCCAACTGGCTGTGGTCCTGCGCCGAACGATGGGAGCATGTTGAGGAAAAGCTTTTCCCGCTGGATCGCAAGGTGCGGAACAAGGGCCGTCAGCCTCCGGCCCATTGCCATAGTCCCGAACACGTTGTTAACTACAGCGAACGGTCAGAGATCTCGCCCTCGAGCAGCAAACAACAGGAGGAACAGAGCGGAAACTTCCGGGAGACCCTCAATCCGTTGTTAGTCTTTACCAACGCGGATATCGAGTCAATGAACAAGGACTATGATAACTTTTTCGAGTCCGATTCGTCCAGTGACGAGGGGCCCGTCAACTTTGGTAAGACATTGTTTAACCGACTTTGAATGAAATTTCAAGTTTTTCTTTAAATTTCAGAAAATCCACCCATGGACAAAAAGCTATTGAAGCGAAAACGTGAGGATGACAACTCTAACCGAGCCCATGATTTCTTCACGCGCGGCGAGGACGTGATGATGGGAGCGCCGCTAAATTTCGATAAGGAAGGTATTGCTGAAGAAGGCGATGATAATAACGAAGACGCAGAGGAAGACGACGATGATGAGATGCCTAGCGCCAAATTCCGACGTGGTAAGCTTAAAAATAGTAAGCATTTAAAATAGAACTTCCTATAATTATAAATAATTACAGGAGAGGAACTTCCCTCCGACCTTGAGTTTGGATCTGACTCGAATAGTGATAACAACCCGGAGGATGAGGATGATGGCGAGTGGAATATGATGGGTGCTGCCCTGGAACGGGAATTTCTCGGCCTAGAGGATTAGCTAATTGGCTTGGACTTTGACTTTGAAATGTAGAATTTTTGTGCGATCCTTGAACACCAGAACAACGGTGACTGGAGCACAAGTGACGCGTTGGACCGCGAACTGCTTGGCTTGGAGGAGTAGTCAAGCGATGGGATGAGTTATGTGCTTATGATAAGATCAGTACTGTATGTATTAGATGTTAATATGTACTTTTAAAGTAGATTGTAAGAGATTGCACATCGGCCCCCGGCTCGCATTGAACATTTCGAATCGATCCGAATCAACTTGTTGTGAATTGAATAGAATCGAAAGCTTTCAATCTGATCTAATGTAAAGAGACCCTCTGTAAATGTTTAAAAAATAAATTCCGTAGCAGCGGACTAGCCTCTAGAGTTTAATTTAAATAGCAATGTACACCACACGAGTAGTTGTTTATTGTTTGTTGTGTTTGTAATACAAATCCACATAAAACTTGAACAAATATATGAGTAATTTCCCGCTAAACTCTCAGTTTCTCTCCTCTGCTACGTCTTACTACGATTCCGCTGTTCCTTGAAGCGGCTGACCCGCTTCTTTGGGGCATGCGTATCGATGAACTTGCCCTGGGGCAGTGGCTCCGGCGTCTCCTGGGCCGGCTCCTTCTCCACAAGCTCGTGCATCACCTTCTGATAGGCACTCATGTCGCGCAGATCATCGTCCAGGGTGCGCTCCTTCTTCTTTGGTTTCCTTCCCTTCTTTCCAACTTTCTTCAATTCCTTTTGTTGGTTGGCAATGTGCGGCTCCTGCTCCACGGCCGATTTGTTGCGGAGTATCGACTTGGTACTGCCTTCTGGGCCACTGGACTCGTTACCAGAAGATCCCGGTTTGGAAAACTAAAAATGAAGAGGATTATCAGAAAATGAATGCACCCTTTTTATTCTACCTACCTGACTTCTGGGATCTTCGTAGGCCGCTTCACGAGAAGCTTCGGTCATGATTGGCACTTTCACCTGATCCTCTCCTTCGAAGCCATTAACAAATATAGGAAACGATGCATTCGCCTGGGCTCTGTCTTTTTCGTACTTTTCATAGAAATCTGCTGGAGTCCCTGGGATGGCGACTTCTGTATCATATTTAGGGGCAGATACTGCATTGGAATGGTTAAAACTTATGTGTAATGTGTTAATACGTCCTGTGGACTCCTCCAGAATCTGGTTGAGCAAGTCAAAGTCTTGGACACTTTGATTCTCCTTGACAAAATCGATGTTTTTCTCGACTTTTTGCAGAATGTTTGTGCTGGGTTTGTTTTCTTTCTTCTTGGCGATTTCTTTCGTTGGCGGTTTTATTGGCTCATCCAAGCGTATTACGTCCCTGGAATTTTTCCTGGCATTGGGCAACATTTCCGCCACAGTCTCTTCTCGTCGGAATTCTAGTTTCTCGTCTGCGGCAGCGAAGGAGATGCGGCGCGTTTTCGTACTAGGTTCTGGTACAACTTCAGGCTCTGCTGGGGCTTCTTCGGGAGCTTCGACCTCTTCGACTTGCTCAGCATCACTGGCTTCCAGCTCTAAGTCGCACAGCATGTCCTGAAGATCGTCCTCCAGCATAACCACCACATTCATCAAGTGTACCAGTTCATCGCTAATGAAGTTTACTTTCTGTATTTTACGCATTTTTGCCGTCAGTATCTGAATCTGTGATCTGAGGAAGGGTTCACGTTCTTCGATTGGCAACATGGACATTTGTTCTCGAATTGTTTGCACTTCCTCCGCCTCATCTTCCTCGTCACTATCCACAGATTTTTGATCCTCCTTTCCGACGGTGTCTTTAACATCCGATTTTTGTTCTGCGCTTTCAGGAGCCAGTTTGTCTCGTCCTACACGCTTTTTTGAGGAGGTTGTCTCCATATCACCAGACATTAGTTGTCTCAAAAGAATTTCCGTACTTCTAAGGCTTTCCTCTTCCTCGGCACCGAGATCTTTCGTTTTTTCGCTTTCCTCTTGAGCTTCGAGCTTCTTCCAGATTTCAGACTCCTGCTCTTCGGTTAACGCTGCAGGAATTGGATCTACGACGGCGGGTTCTGGATTCAAAATATCATCCAACATTTCCTGGCTGAGGTTGTCTGGATCCAGGCCCAATTCCTCCATCATCTCCCGCTCTTCTAGCTTTCTCAGTACATCATCGCCACTGCCTGCTGGTTCTGCCTGCCGCTTCAGACGCTCCTCTTCCTTCTGCCGTCGCACTCGTTCCCTGTGTTCTGCCATCCACTTGTTGTGCGACTCCTCATTGAAATCTTCCACAATCTCCACCTGATCACCACTTGCCACTGCACCTTCGGTGAGAGGGGTACTGAGCTTGTTTCTAAAAAGGGCAAGTGTAAACAATGATTTCAATTTATCGTGCTGGATCAACTTACTGCCACAGATCTGCCTCAGCTTGGAGCTTTTTCAGCTGCTCATCGGCGATTTTCAGGCGGTGTCGACAGATCTCCTGGGCTTTGTGCGCGGAGCATTGGGAGAAGTAGCCCTCATAATGGCCCACTAGGAGTTCGTTCGTGTGGATCAGCTCACCGGGCATAAGAGCCTTCTTGCCAATGGGAACCATAACCTCCACGCTGAGCTTACGGACGAACATTTCCAGATTCCTGATGGCGCTCTCATTGTCGCTTTTAAAAGTCTGCCACCGCTCCGTTTCGGCAGCATTATTATCGAGGGCCTGTTGGGGTCCAAAGCGTTTGTTAATTATAAGAGATATATATTTCACAATGTAATTTATAGGACCTGTCGCAAAGCATCTTCTCGCCGGTCCATTGTTATTGTTATATTTCTGACACTATTAATTCCCTAAAGCTTCGAAAACTTTCACGCGCGCAACTTGAAATGTGCTAACGCGTAAGTTTGGCGCCAAACTTAAATTTTTATTTAAATATTTTTAGTTTTTATTTGCAGGAATTATATATTTGATGATAAGCTACAAAACAAAATCTCCCTTCCTCCAACAAAAGGATGGAAAATTCATGGAATGGACAATATGATCCCTGGCCAAGGTTATATCTGGGAATAAGTATCCGATGCTAAATTCTTGTACTTTAAACGAATCGTACATCGATTTGCCATGAATCTGATATCTGAAAAATACAAATAAATGCATAGAGCGACATTAATACCCTCAGCGACGGACATATCTGCAAATATTAGTTCGACCATTGAATGGAATACCTTGAACGATTCCTAGATCTATTCTATTTTAATATGCATTTAAATCAAAGAATAGTTTTCAACTTTCTGGATTCTCTCCGAAATGAGTGAAAATGGCTGGAAAGGACATTGAAAATAGTTATCGATTATGTATGAAAATACTTTTCAAAAACCATAGGTTGATTTTCTTTCAATCTGCCTCAAAATATAAGAATTTTCGGGGGGATCTCCATTGAAAATAGTGAAAATATACAGGATGGATAATGAAAACCCGGAGAAAGGCTTTAACTTTTCCAAAAATTATCCGAATCCGAAAGGGATATCTTTAAGGGATAATTACGAACAAAAAGGAGTCTCCTAATAACTATAATTGTCAAAAATATTATAAATTACTAGATAAAAAAGATAATTCCAATTCAGAATAGATAATTGGACTCCCGAGCTCCATATGTTGAATAATAAATCTCACGAGCTCCACATTTTGATAACAAATCTGATGGGACCCCAAAACAGCCAATTTCACCTGATAAGCAATCTCAGGCCACCATATGTTGCCACTTGATAATTATGGTTCCGTGTTGCTCTTAGCTCTGGGATACGAGTAGATATAGGAGCTCGCCAACATCCAAACTAATTAGTAAATAAAAGCTTGTTTGATTTGAACTTTATTCTGGTTTTGGGTATTTGCGACACACAGCTCACTCATAAAGATTAAAAACGCATCCCAGATTAATAGGTTGCTCACTATGCTACAGCTTGGACTAAGTCACACCAAATAGATTGCTTCATAGACGCACTATATAGGTTGCATATAGTTTTTGTTTCGCTCTCAGATATCCTTAAGAACTGATTCGTTGAAACGACGGTATATACATAGAAAATATACATTGATAAAGCTTTTGTTGTCATCGGTATCATGGGGCCTCAGTGGCGTTGTACATTGGAAGCCGAGCTGCCAAGCACAGGGAAGTTCTTGATTAGATCGTGAGCCTTCTTATGGCTATCCAAATCGGCAGCCATGAGGATCTGTTTGCAGACTTTGCAAACTTCAAGGCTCGGCACGGATTTACGCTGGGTGGGGGACAGGGTGTTCAGGTGCTGACTGTGCACTAAATAAAGTTCCTAAAATATATATATATATATTAGTATGGTTTTTCTATATAAATACTTAATCCACATACCTGCTGCTTGCTTATATCAGGCAACATGGCCAACAACTCCGGGAATAAGCTATGGAACGAGCTCAGCATGGCGCATTGGCAGTGTTCGTAATACGCACGACCTGTGCATGAGCCCTCTCTGAACTTGGACGAAAGTAATCGAAATTCGTTTAAAGCCTCTGGTGTTTGGAGTATATCCCTGAATTGGTCCACCAATTTCTGAAACGAAGACCAAATACACTCATTAACCTAACAAATTTGAGAAAGAAAGAAATATCATTACCTGATTTCTTTGGGCGGTATCAGGAGGATCGGTGTAACTATATGGGCTAGGTACAATTTTATAAGATTCGCCTGATGAGCTGGTAAATGTCAGGTTGTTGGGTAGCTTGGCCACTGAATTGACCGTCACTTTGGACATGAATCCGGGCGGTGGTTTTAGTTGTCCACTAGATTCTAAACCTGGCGGGGCACGTAATGGCGTGCCTGGGGACCCATTAGTAGGAGATTTTTGCTCGTTGTTGTTTTTCTCCTTTTGTTTGACAGCCTTGGGCTGATTCTCCTGATTGTTCTTCTTATCTTTCGGTTTCTTCTCTTTTTTGTTACCCTGTTGCTCCTGATTGTTGTTGTTGTTGGTTGCCTTTGGTACGGGTTTCGATGTGGACGTGGGTAAAACAGGGGCAGGTGCCACCTTGGCTTTGCGATTCTCCAGCTCCCGTTGCTTCTTTTCGGACGTCGGCTTGGACCAGTTTAAGGCGGCAGCGCCGTTGGCAGGCTTAGGGGCGACGGCTCTAACGGAATTGGAACTGGTACTTGGTCCCAGAGTAGGAAACTCGGCTGCCGTTAGCTTGGGAGCACTTTTCTTGGCAGCTTCCTGACGCGCTTTAGCCTCATTCTCTTCCTTTTGCACCATTTGAATCTTCTGGAAGGTGCTGGGGTGTGCCACGGACACATAGTCGTCGACTAGGGTGCGATGCTTAGCAGACACATTCGTCATAGGCACAGAGGAGCCACTGGGTAACATGTCCTCCTCCAAATTCTTCTTCTTACTGCCCTTACCAGATGGCAAAGCTGGAAAGTCAAGTTGGGGGGCAGCGGCTTTTTTAGTCGGTGGCGCGGCTGGTCGGTTAGACACATGCAACATCATTCCATTGCTCGGAGCTTGAGCTCGAGTGGAGGCAGTTCCCCCACTAGTCGGTTTTTTAAATACAGCTGCCACTGGATGTTGAGACTGGGCGGCTCTTGCGGCCAGGTTCCCGGCCACGCCGCCTGCATTTCCTCCCCCCAAGGCCGGAAAGTTTTCCTTTGTCCTAGCAAGTCCGGATGTGCCACTAAGATTACGCATTGAGGGCGGCGGTGGTCTTACCAGAGAAACGCTGGGAGCAGTAGAGGCACCACGCAACGTGGGGAATTCCTCCTCGTTCCCAGCATCGATGCTCACCTGACGATGGGTGCTCGACGACGGCAAATCGTCTAAATAGTCGTTGTGCTCATCGTTTCTAAAGGTTTTCTTCAGTTTAGTATTGGTTTTTGTAAACAAAGTGGTTTGTCACTCACCGCGACCTCATGTTGGCAATACCCTGCTCCGTCTGCCCGCTGCGTCCGCGTGGGCCCAGTGTAATCTCCAGTTGCAGTGTGCGCGTTTGCTTGGCCTGCTGTTTGTTAAGTGTCTTGCCATGCACATTGGCCACGTGAGCCTTGTACTCGATTTCGTTGCGGAAGGCGCCAATGAACTGCTCAGTGGCGCATTTTCCCTCCTCGCAGAGAAAGTGCTCCTGCCGAAAGTGGTCAGCCAGATCCGCATACTCATTGTAGAACTCGTTGCAGCCGTCGGCATCGCAGAAATGGCAGAAGTAGTGCTCGCGTCGCAAATGACGGAAAAGCTCATCACGGTCTACGTAGCGCTTCTTGCAGTATTCGCACAAGGGATGGCCCCGGTGCGAACGGTTGTCCGGATCGCCTTTGGTATTGTGCAACTGCAACTCTGACTGCGTGTAGCATCTGCGTTCGAAGGTAAAGATCTTCAATGTCTCGACACAGAGGTCGCAGTAGTGCAGGCCGTGCTCGCTGCGCACGTGGTTGCGAAGACCCTGGAAGGTTCGATACGGCGGCACGTCGCATCTGCAAGGTATCATATTAGCGGGACTTCCCCGGAATAAAAGATATAATAGTTACTTCGGGCAGGGATGGTCGAGCAGTTGAAAGAACTTCTGCCGAATCTCAGCAGTGCAGAATCCGATGCGGTACTTTTTGCTGTAGTAATCAGATTTGTTGCTGGCCTCCAGTTCGCGATAAGGCAACTTCTCCAGCGTAAACAAAACCTGCCAAGGATCATGTTTAGTCTTGCAACGACACCCCTTCAAATAGCTGACTCACCTTGGACAAAACATGGCGGCAGATGGGACACTCGTTCTGCTCACACAACACCCGCATCCGAGTGGAGCACTCGTAGCATACCGGATGATCGCAGTCGCCGATGGAGTAAATGTCCACGTTCTTAAAACACACAACGCAGGCATTGTCATCGATTCCCACCTGGGTATCGCTGGCACTTGTCTCTGCCTGCTTTACCCCGGCCGGCTCCACTGCACCGGTAGGCACTCCGGATCTCGGCCGTCGGTGGTTCGACTTGTTCGCGGACCTAGGCTTTGCGCTCTGCATCGCTATCTTTCGTAGCAAAAAGCGGAGAGGGGGAAATTACTTGTTGCCAAGGGCAAAGTGAAATCGTACTGGTGTATGGGTTTGAAGGCTGTTGGGTGATGTGTTCCTTGTTGCCCTGGATACCTTGTTCGTAGGGTAAGCCGCGAGCTACCGTCGCAAACAAATTATACTAAATATACAAATATTAAAACGTATAATTCGGTGGTCCACACGAGGAATCAAGTGCAGTGTTGCCAGAAAACGAACTTTCAGTTTCTCAAGTGACCAGAGTGGCCAAGTTGCAATTTAAATTATTTCGCCAAGTGGTTAAAAAAAGCTCATGGACAAATGCGGGAAATTTAAAAGAATGATGAAATTAAATTGTATTGTATTTTAAAGCTTTTTCAGATTTTTATTTTCTAAATATAAAATTGATAATAGCTTGGTAACTTTATTATGACAGGATCAATGTTTGATTTTTATAGGATATACTTATACTTAAATATACTTATTTAGACAAGGATTAAAAATTATTTTTTTTATTAATACAGCCGTATAGCATGAATAAAAACTAAATACATGGGATTTGAAATTCCTAATCTTATAAAATTGAAATACAAGAATTTAAATATCATGCGATAGATAACGAATTCATGGTAGCCCTGGCTTGCGAGGATGCCAGATCGATGGGGCAAAATGTGGGCAATAATTACAAGGAGTTCACTTTCACGTGTGGTCAGACGTCTAATTCCAACGTCAGCAGTTACAGCAGAAGGCAATAAAAGGAGTATTCAGTTGGTCACAGAACAACACAGGCTTCCCACAATGACCCAGTACGAGACAGTTGAGAAGGGCGCAAAGAACTCGCCGAGCTACAGCCTGTACTTCAGTGAGTAATAATGCCAAAATCTGAACCCGATGACCCGGCATAACCTGCTGGCGTCACAGGCCTGCATTCAGTAGTGCAATAAATCAGTGGGCTTTAATTACAACGGATTACAGCTAATCATAGCTAATCCATTATGCAACAAGTCAAACCGGACTCTGCTTATTCAACGCGTCGCTTTATCAGCTTTATCAGGCGATTTGTCTTTGCCGACGCGGAACTGGCGGAAACACTTTCGGACTTTTGGTCTTCTTGTTCCTTATCAGCCAAAACATATAGCTTCAATAAAGCTGATATCGGATACGGGGTGCAAAAATTCAACTTTATTGGCCGGCCAAACGGGGGGCCTGCGACCTTTGTCTAGACGCCGGAATTTCCAGCACTATCAATCAAATCGCGTGTCCAGGATCATTATAATTTACGAGTGCGACTTTTTCTATCATTTCTACCATTCTCCACAGAAAACAAGTGCGGCAATGTCATCTCTCCGATGCACGACATTCCCCTCTACGCCAATGAGGAAAAGACCATCTACAACATGGTTGTGGAGGTGCCACGTTGGACCAACGCCAAGATGGAGGTGGGCAATGATTGATCCATAAAACCATAACTTTCCGACGATTGCATGTTTTATCCACAGATCAGCCTCAAGACCCCACTGAATCCCATCAAGCAAGACATCAAGAAGGGTAAGCTGCGCTTCGTGGCCAACTGCTTCCCGCACAAGGGATACATTTGGAACTACGGCGCCCTGCCCCAGACCTGGGAGAACCCCGACCACATTGAGCCCTCCACTGGCTGCAAGGGCGATAACGACCCCATCGATGTGATTGAGATTGGCTACAGAGTGGCCAAGCGCGGTGATGTGCTGCAGGTCAAGGTGCTGGGAACCATTGCCCTGATCGACGAGGGAGAGACCGACTGGAAGATCATCGCCATCGACGTCAAGGATCCCCTGGCGTCGAAGGTCAACGATATTTCGGATGTAGACCAGTACTTCCCTGGCTTGCTGCGTGCCACCGTTGAGTGGTTCAAGGTAATTCAATGTTATTTGATGGCCAGAGTATTTAATTAATTCATTTGACTATGTAGATCTACAAGATCCCCGATGGCAAGCCGGAGAATCAGTTCGCCTTCAATGGTGATGCTAAGAATGCTGACTTCGCCAACACCATTATTGCCGAGACCCACAAGTTCTGGCAGAATCTGGTAAATCAGACCGGCCTTTCCAGCTCTATTTCAACGTGCGTCTGGTTTTCAATACTTCCTAAAGAATTATTAATCTAAAAGATTTATTTTCACAGCACCAACATTACTAACCGTAACTCGGAGCATGTCATTCCCAAGGAGGAGGCTTTAAAGCTGCTGGCCCAGGCCCCAGAAGGCGGCGAGGTGGAGGAGGTGTCCGACACAGGTAAGGTTTACTATGTCAGATCGAGTTTATAGAGCTGCTTGCACCAACCCAATCCAAAACCCCGCTACTTGAACACACGCTTTAACACGTAACATGCAAACAAATTGGCACACAAGTCCAGCAACCTGCATGCTTACTAATAATAAGTTCTGTCCAGAACCCAAATCGAATTACCCCCACGCTGTAAATACTGCTCTAAACACCTTTAATACATGTAATTGGCTTGCTTGCGTTTGTAAATAGTCGTTTTAGAAATATAAAATACAATACCGAAATAAACACCACTTTAAAACCATGTCCTTTTTTTTATTGTTACAGTCGACACATGGCATTTCATTCATCTCAAGTGAGATGTCGCTCTGGGATGAATCCTTCGTACATCGTATCGTAGTCTAATCGAATTGGAGATTTTTTTCACTTGTGAATTATTGATATTGGAAAGCACGTGAAGACCTTGAATATTGAATAAAGTTTTGCACAGCAATTAAATTCCGCAACCGTCTCTTCTTGAAATATACAATCTTTATTTATATTTTACGACTAGATCCAAACAAATTTAAATTAATTAATTAATGTGTATGTATTTGTAGGGCATACGCGCAATAGTACATAGTATCGAATCGAATTATGTTGTGTTCGGAAGAGTTTTACTAAAACCTTCTCATTTCTATTTCAGAAGTTTTGGTGGTTTTAGATTTTCCGTTTCGTTTTTTTGGGCTTCTATTGGATTCACAAAATGTGGAACGTAAAATGTACTGCCGTAACAAGAGTTAACTTAATCTTATAAATTAAACGAAATGTACAAAATAGTTAGGCATTATAAATATTTATGCATACAAATCTTTAAAAGAAGACAAAATAATTTATTTACATCAGACATTTTGATTCTTGTTCGTTCGTTCGTTTATTATATGTGTATTGTATCTTGTTTGTTGGCGTTCCCCCTTTTTTTTTGTTCTTTTGCTTTTCTTTTTTAAGACAAACAATAACTAAAACAAGCATAATTCTCAAAAATTACTAAAACTAAAAGCTCCACGAGACTGTTTTTGTTAAACGGATCAATGTGCATGCCAGAGAATAATTAAAAAACGAATAAAAAACTGATTTTCAAATTTTTTTGATATCGGTGCGGATAAGTAACGGGTAATAGCGTAGTAATTGTTTTCATATATTTTTTTTTAAATCATTTTTTTTTGCTTCTCTTTTTTTAGCATTTAGTCGAGAGAGTAATTTATTTTTTTTGTTAAGTGGATACACATTCCTCGGGTTGATCGTTTCCTGGTTGCCATTGGTTCGTGCCGTATTCTGCCACAGTTATCAATAATACATAGGGTACTTTATTTTAGTTTATAGTTTATAGAATTAAGTTAAGTGCTCGTGCCAGTGACGGTGCCAAATCCCATTTTACTTGCGACCAAGGGTATCTCGCCATTCGTTGTACTTGTCCATCTCGTCGTGCAACTGAAGAGCCTCTATGCAGGCGTTGAAGAAGGGCGATCCGAAGCATTCTTGCCTGTTTTTGGAGAAAAAACTTAATAGATTAGTTTTACGAATTAAACAATATTTTTTTTTAATCAAGTTTCTCCCAAAAAAATAGAGGGAGTCAAAATGTCAAAAACTCTTGATTGTGTTAGCTGGTTTGTGTTAAAAAAAAAGTACACACAGCTATTGTATTTTTCAAAAGTCAAAAATCAAAAATTAAAAAAATTAAGAAAAATAAAAACGTACCAAAACAAAAACGGTAAGCGCGCGTTTTTAGTCGCGCCAGAAACGCGCACAAGTCGCCGCCGCCATTAGCTCATTTTCTCAAGCTCGATTTTGAATGTGTGGATGGTCTGCTCTGGGAGTCTCTGGCTGCGTCGTACACTCGCATTTTAATTCTCATTTATCACAATTTTGATGCTTTCAAATAGCCAGCGAATGATTAACTTTTTGTTTCATTTTTTACATCAGTAATTATAATGGATTTTGATACATTTGTAATGTAATCCGAGTAGTTGCTGCTGCTGGTGGTGCGGCTGCTTTTGTTGCTGCTTTTGTCGCGTGTTTTTACCAAGGGTTTTTGTTTGTGTCTTGCACAAATTGCGTTTTTGCGTTTTTAGCGTTTTTTAGTCTAAATATTTAATAGTTGTGTGTGTGTGTGTGTGGGTGTGGGTGTGTACTACGAGTAGTATGCGGATAAATTTTATATAATAGATATATATATATATATTTATATATATTGTATATAGTTCCCCTTACGCTAATTAGGGGCTTTCTTTACAAAATAGCACAAAAATATTGTAACTGTAATACATTTGCAAAATACTTTCGGTCTCGTGTGCGTGTGTATGTGTATGTGAGTGTGTGAGTGTGTGTGTGGAGAAAGGATATCCTTTCACCATTTTCTCTCATCTCATCATCGCCCTTGTGTGGAAAATCGTTTAAAATATATGTATAATTTTAAATGCTGATTTTAAGATACAAAATAAAAATAATCATTTTACATTATATAGATTAAAAACAATGGATTTCGTTTGTTTATTTTATATACATAACGCATAACGCAATAATAATGAAACAAGCTACGAATCTTACAAATAAATACTTCGGCTTCTAATTTTTTGGGGAAATCCGAGAGATCGACTATCCTTCCCATACTTTCTATCGCCCCTCGGATGATCCCCAGTGATCGTTCCTACGATTATATGTTACTTACAACAAACGCATAACGTTCTCAATAAATTAATAAAAATAATTCGTTTTTAAAAAAACACATATATAGTAAAAACTGTAAAGCATACAGTAATAAATAAGTACGAATTAAATTTGGGCGTTTTAATTAGATTTTAGTGTTCTTTGTTCTGGCTCTGGGCACTTGTGGTGTAGTTCTGGAATCCATTTCCCTTATTTTCCATGCCACATTAGTGCATCTATGAGCCGGGTTCTTTCTTTCAGTGTAGTATAGGGGATGTGTGTGGTATATGAGTTGCAGTGGGGGGTGGGGTTGGGGGGGAATCGGGGACTTAAAGTTATGTTTGCGGCGTCATGTTGAAGGATATGGGCGAGCCGTTAACTACTCTCAGAAAGTGTTGTAGGTTAGAAACCTCCTCTTCGGGTATTAACAGCACTTTCAGGCATTCGCCAAACCATTTTGAATCAAAGCAGTCTTTCCTAAAATAAAAAATAAAAAAATCATAATCGAACCAAACACAAAACTAAAATATAAAACTATAATAAAAGTCATAAAGTCATAAAACAGAAAGATACATAAGTGGAAAAACGAAAGTGACAGAAGGTGAGAAGAAATCTAATGGTATTTGGGCTTGTGGAACGGATAGGGCGATCCATTGATCACTTTTAGATAGTGCTGGAGCTGCGATATCTCTTCATCGTTGATCAACAGCACCTTGAGGCAGTTCCCGAAGGTTTCGTGGACGAAACAATTAGCCCTGCATCGAATAGACAAGAAATACAGATATAGAAAGTCGCACAGAGGAAAAAGAGTAGGATGTGCGGTAAAGTCATGTGAAAGTAGCTAGATGGTCAAGAAAAGAATTCGGAAATAAATCAAGGTCCCCCAGTATAGTTTTTTGCCCGAAATCCCCATTTGTGTCAGGGTCTGCCAAAGCACTTAAAATCCTAACTCGATCAAGGCAATCGAATTAGTAATATTTTGGCACTACCTTGAACTGATTTTTTCACTAAACCGCTGTAAGGTAATCTCAATTTCAGGGTTAGGTCATATAGTCATACCTATGTATATATTCAGAGATCTTGGGGGAAACTTACTTGCATAATCGATGTATACTCGTCTCGCGGAACAACTGATAGCAGTCCTCGCAGATGCGATCCAGTCGGAAGAACATGGTCTTGTTGAAGATACCCTTGCACTCCAGATCGAAGAAATTGCTGCGCTTCGACAGATTGTGGTTGTGTGGCAAGGCGGTGAAGATTGGTATCAAGACGAGAAACAGCACCACCGAGATCTTTATGTTGCGGGAACACATCTGCAAGAGAAACCACAAAAACAGAGACACACAGACTGGTAAGTACGCGTTCAATTGTATGTAAGTGAGTGAGAACCGGAAATGCCCTAAAAATAGGTTCCTATTTATAGGTCCTCTTGGCAAAAGCCAACCATCAATTAACTGACTGGCTGCCCATACCTAGGCCATCTGCCTCTGGGCGCCTGGGCGGTAATATTGCCCCGTAACTGGGTAAGCAGATATGGGCCAAGCTAAGCCTTGAAACAGAGCCGCCGCCAAAATGGTGAGGGGAGGGAGGGAGGGCGATGGGAGATGGCCAAGGGCAGCAGGCCCAGGCAATCAGGCAGGCGGCTGTTTCTGCCACATCGCGGTTCCTATAAATAGCTATCTGTCTGACAGCCGACTACTGCCGGCTAAAAATAAACCTTCCCTGTCTGCCCAAAGGTGCAATTGCAATTGCGATTGCAGGCTGCACTTTAAGAAAATATTCTTACAATAAGCTTGTAAGATACCAAGATGATAGCTCTAGTTTTTTCATAGAATACTAGTGCTTTTTTGTTGGTGCATCTGCACTTGCTGGCGATCTTATCGCAGGACCGCTCTATAAATAGCCCCGGCGATTTCAATGTTTATTGCATTATTTGCCATCTGTCGGCGGACTTAATTTATGATGTAAGTTTGCGGCTTTGTCGGCTCAAAGGAGAGCCAATTTACGGGCGGACAGGCCCCCCCAAAAAATAAAAAAAAATAAATAAATATACACACATATTTGTTTACTTTGCATATTTTTATCAATTAGCGTCATCACTCGCGGCTGCTCTCTTTAGTTTCAATTACACCTCGGACATGGTGTATATTATATATATGTACATACATCCAGGCATTCCAAACTATTGAATAATTTGATTAAGAGTGCAAATTTTTCCATTGCGCATTGTGCCAATTGTTTGTTTGCACATGACATGTGTGAAATATTTTCACCCATCGCCCCCCAAACTGAAATTCTGAATGAAAACCAAAGCAGACACAACGACGTCGGACTATTTCGAGAATAAAAACAAGTTTTTTTAAAAAAAAAAGCACACATTTTTGAGGGGAAACATGAAAGCGAATTTGTTAAACATTTATTCGCTCTTCTGTTAATGATTTAAACACATTTGTATATTTTGTTTTAACGAGTTTTTTTGTTTTTTTTTTTTTGTTTTTGGGATGGGGGGCTGTCGAATCTGACGATCGGAACGTCCTAAGATCTTTAAGAAAATTGATTTTTTATTGGCTTGTTGATGTCTTCAATTAAGTTGAGCACAATTTTCGCTTGTTTCGTCTCTGATTTATGGACACTGACGGAAATGGGAATGGGAATACGAGTCGGAATTCTCAAAAAAGAGTTCATCAGACGCACGCCGATGGCCTAGCAGATATTTTTTTGGCTTAAACTTTTATTGGCCTTTTCTTTAGAAATTTGGATCATTAAAGCATTAAGCAAATGTCTTAATCTTTCTTCAGATATAATAATTATACTTTCAAGTTTAAATGTAAATTCCTGGCAAGAAAAAAAAATGAAAATGTCCCATTGGCAGCTGCTTTTTCCCACACGTGCTGAGGCGGTCACAACAAAAAAGTGCAAGTTGTGGTTAAATGGGGGAAACCTCTGTTGGTAATACTACGCGCTCTCGGAGCCCTCCTGGCGGCAAAGTGCAACAGCTGCCCAACAGGCTACAAGCTTTCGATTCGCCCCGGTATTTCCCCGGTGGCGTATCGGCTTCGACGTCTTAACTTCAATTGCTAATTGGCTTCGAGTTGCACGATTTATGGCACCATCATCGCCCAGTGCAAGCGGCTATTTTTAACACTTGTACGAGTACATAAAAATATGTGTTGTATATTTTTTAGCCGGCATGCCGCATGAATGGTATAATTGATATGCGAAACGCGTCAAAGATAATGTAACATCCGTCCATGGACCCCGAGGCGGAATCCAGGGCCCAGGGAAAGTTGAAGGAGAAGTGCCAGTGCCAGTGCCAGCCAGAGCGAATGGCGTCATTTTTGGTTTAACCACAGAAACCGCAGCAAAAAGGAGCCAACGATCTTTGATCTTTAATACTCGAACCATCTTCGATCATAATTATTAGCAACGCCATCATCATCGCATGTGCTGGCAATTTGTTTGCATTTTACTTTTGATTAGCTGCCAATTGATTTTATTTGTCGGCCGACGCTTTGTATCAATTCAAGAATTGATACTGAGGCGTGCCGTCGCACATACAAGTCATCCCATTATTCGAATTCCAGGCTCTATGTCTATGTGACAATATGTGGGCATATCCATCCCATCCATAACACACTGAATCATTGGAGCGAGTCGCACGCACGCCTCTCAATTACCATCCTTATGTGTTATAGCTACTATGGCTATAGCTATAGCTATAGCTATTGCTATTGTTGTTGTTGTTGTTGTTGTGTGTGATTGTCGTCTGATTGTACACTATTCAACTTTGATTTGATGGCTGCTGTTTCTGTTTCTGTTTCTGTTGTTGTTGATTTTATTTTCGCTGCTGCCAGGCGACATTGAATGAAGTCATGAGCCAAAAATAATTATGGCAATTATGACTGAAAAACGGATTGTAGATTCTTTTTTGCGCAATAGTTTATAATTATGATACCCCGCAGTGTTATTTTAGAGTAGGAGAGGGCATACTCGAATGATTAATCTTTTTGGGTACTGCTTTACCATTATTATAGTATCTAGTATCTAGACCTCCCAGAGCATACCCCTCTCAGAGTGGGCACATACGCCCACCATTCTATTATTAACAGGTTCAAGTCCAGGCCTTATCAGTCCCCCCCATTTAAATTCGTCTCGGTATGTGGGAAACCTTATCATGAGATAATATGATATATCAACTGGCATTATACGGATTATATACAACGACAATAAAATGACTGCAAAACTGTGGCCAAACAAACCCGTGCATTCTATATAACCGATTGCGATATGTGTGTGCTGATACATACTACTTACAGATACTGTATCTGTATATCTTAACGCTTGGCTACGCAAGCATGGCACGGCGGTCCGAGAGCCGAAAGCACTCTTCCCCCCCACCACTTACAGCGCAACTAAAAAGTGCTTAGACATGCAAAAAGCAACAAAAAACACCAATAATAATAAAAGCAGCAGAACAACAACAGACATAAACATTTTGCCATGGCGAGACTGCTTGGTACCAGCCAAAGTGGCACAACATTGCTGCCATGTTGCTGTTGCTGCAGATGTTGCTGCTGCTGCCAATATAATGTTGCCGGTTGCGCCTGGATCGCTGGCCTGTTAGTTTGATGGACATGCCAGGAGTCTTGAGCTCCCCGACCAATTTGCATGATATGTGTATGCAATTAATATTCATTTATTCATGAAATCTATTGGCTATGCAAAGGAGGAGAGGCCCCAGAGGAAAACAAACTCGGTGTGGTCGGCTGAAGCCAGTATGCACTGAAGAAAAGACTTAAAAACAAGAAGAATCTTAGGTTTTCCCCAAAAACCTAACTAATCTTTAAGTTTCCACACTCACTCTGACTGCTGCCATTGCAGTTCGGTGTGCATGGAAATCGTGAGCCCTTCTATGGCTTCCATGCGAGGGGCGATAGCTGGGGGGCATGGCTCTGCCTGGTGCGGGCTCACAGCGTCAATTGATCTGAATATATATCCAATTGATATTATTGAGATTAATGGCGAACCGTTTCGCAATAGATCGGCATCTGCCAAAAGGCAATTGGCCGCGCGTTTCGGTTCACACACTCTTCTATCCGAATCCGAATCCGAATTCGAATCACTTTCCAAGTACTTTTTATTTGCTTTGGTCTGTCTTGGGTGTTTGGTCTTGGGTCTTCGCTTCGGCAAACACGCTTGAGACCCAAATGATGTTTAAACGGCGATGACAAAAGTCAGTCAATAGCACGGGATACCTCAACCGAAAGCCAAACATGCATAAAAAAAAAATATACGTATATGTATAAAAAACGAGAACGACTCGCGCGAGCAATCAACTTTTGTTGGCAACAAAAATAAAACTGAAGATCGCAAACGGGTGTTGAGGTTGGGCTGTTGAGGTGCTGGCTACCGCTTCTCTTATCAAAAACACAGATACACACACACACACTCGAAGAGGCGGCGACGACAGCGAGTCTGGCATAGCCAGAGAAAAACCAAACGCCAGAGACACAAAGCCAGCGAAGCGGAGAGGCACTCTGAGCCAGAAGCCAGAAGAGTGGGGGACCGGAGCGGGCCAACAGCAGCCAGTTATGCATGCACTGCATGGCTTCGAGTGAGTACCAGATACAAATGTATCTGTGTATCTGTGAGACTACCATGGCAGCTGCAGAGCCAAAGATCCAAAGAGGCGGAGAGAGCCACAAAAGAGTGCGATCCGCGGTGGAACACCCAGGCGTATACGTGATGTGAATGGCCAACTTACAAAGTGCTTATCATTCGAGCCAACATCGAGTTGGCCGGCAAGAGCCGTTAACACCGATGGAGCGATGGAGAGCTGGCACTTGTCCTGGCAGAACGCTTGCGGAATACCTAACTAGCGATCGATTGGTTGGCTAAACTAGTTTGCTCTCCTACTACCCTTTTTCCCCTTTCACTCTGACGGAAAAGTGAATTAATCAGCCATAAACGAGTGGTAGCTAAATTTTCCACCAGCCCGGGCAAATTCCACACTTAACAATGCACTAGCGGTGGCAGTAGCACTTGGTACTCAAGTGTGACTAAGCTTTTTCCAAATTAGAGTCTAATCTAGACAATTAAATAGCTATCTGCAGGTTATCATACTTTATGATGCTCGGTAAACAGCGGGTTTATGGAAGTCTAAAATTTTATTGCATACATTTGTGAGCAAGCTCCTGATAAGTTTGTTAATTAAATATTAAGGGATTCTGATAATTTCTAAGGAAGTTGTTAATAGGCATGACAAGCCCCGTCTCTTTCTATCTCTTTCTCTCGCTCTATAGCTCTCGCTTTC